TAGTATATAATAATAATAATAATAATAATAATAATAATAATAATAATAATAATAATAATAATATGAACGTTAGTGACAATATATACGACTGTGTGTGTGTGTGTGGGAGGGGGAACTGACACACACACACACACACACACACACACACAGGTCACCGGACACAGTAAACCTCTCAATTCCCTTAACAACAGCCAAGTGGCGGGGTCCAAATTAAGGGAATTAAGGTTGAAGGTCAGATACTGTATATAGTATATCAAAGGGCGTGGCATTGCCCTTAATTTTTACCCCCCCCCCCACCCCCGTGATAAAAGGATGGGGGTATTGTGTGATTTTCAGCGTCTGTTTGTCCGTTTGTTTCTAATTATTTCCCAGGTGGGGCGTAGTGGTCTTTTTTGTAACTTTAGTATGTCAATATCTCAAGATCTGAACTAATTAACTGCTTGTTGAACTTAACACCCATGACAACAACAACAACATATCCAGCAAAAGAGAAGCTGTAAGATATAAAGGAACAATAAATAATAATAACAATAATAATAATAATAATAATAATAATAATAATAATAATAATAATAATAATAATAATAATAATAATAATAATAATAAAAGCCGCCATAATGACCCTGGAATGTCAAAGGTCAGTCTGTTAAATTCCGGCTCCCGATAACGAACGACTCCTGCATTGTACCTGGCAATTTTTTTTATTGGGGTTTTAATAATCCAGAGCGACCTATAAATTCTCTGATGGTATCTGATAACCGTTTGATATCCTCACTAAAATATTTATACTATCTCTTGATATCTAGAAAGGTCTCGGTCTCTCGTAAAGTCTCATATCTTAATAATATGACAGAAAGTCTATTACGGTGTGTCAGAAACGAGACAGCTTTCCATGGTACTGATTTACAGAGGACCATAAGATGAATTTCCAACTAATTGGCGCTGTGAGGACGTACCCAGCTACGGCACAAAGAAAGCGATAGAAGTGGCGACGAAATTGCATTGAGACTATCGTAACAAGACGCGAAAATCTCGTTCCCAGTTAAAAGATAAAAACAGAATCCTGCATATGTTTAAGGTTCCAGACGCACGATGTTTTGAGGCGAGAGTGTCGTATCGAAGGCGTCACTCCCTAGTACTTGGTCGGCCTCGCAGAATGCCGTAATTAGCGTTATTTAGCCGTGTATGGCTGCAGATTGGTCCAATACTGACACAATTTGGCCTGAATTGTATGCAGATTGGTCTCATATGGCCGCGATTTGGTCCAACATCCGGGGAATGTAGTCGCTCGGGTAGTAATTCTGGTGCTTGTATTTCTCTAAACTTTATCCCCGGTTCGCTGTATTCTAACCCTTGTCTCGTTACTTCTAAAACAACGTCGTTAACTTCTCTTACACGTGGATTCAAGACGTTAGTTTATTTTCTAAAGACAATTAACCACTTCTTCATTGCCTTATAACGTTGATTGGTTAAGACAATACCCGATTAGTTTCTCTTCATGCTTTGTCTTGCTTGTGTGATGTCATCAGTGTGGTTGAATGGTAGCCAATGAGCGGGTTTGTGTGACGTCATAAGAATGTTGAATGGTAGCCAATGAACGAGCTTGTATGATATCATAAGAATGGTTGAATGGCAGCCAATGAACAAGCTTATGTGACGTCGTAAAGTGGTTTCGGGTAGCACTCGTTAACAACATAAGATGATCATTATTAAACCCTGCATAGGTCTTGTTGTCATAAACCCACACACTACAAGTGGTTAATATTCGTTGGTGTTTGTTTGAGTTATCGTGTTGACAAATCTTGGACGGACTCACAGACGGAACATGAACGAACACGAGTACAGTATGAACCAATGGACGGGATCACGGGCGAATAAACGGACGGTAGCACGGACAGAAAGCACGGACGATAATTTAGTTCATAAAGGTTATTTGAGAGACACCGTAATGCAGTATCTTAAAATATGCAAGTGCTGGTAAAAATTTAATAAGGGCTAATGTAAGCAGTTGAGGGCTGGTAGGTACTGCATGTTGTGGTAGGGGACTGGTAGGTAGTGCTTGTTGTGGTAGATGGCTGGTAGGTAGTGCTTGTTGTGGTAGAGGGCTGGTAGGTAGTGCTTGTTGTGGTAGATGGCTGGTAGGTACTGCTTGTTGTGGTAGAGGGCTGGTAGGTAGTGCTTGTTGTGGCAGATGGCTGGTAGGTAGTGCTTGTTGTGGTAGGGGACTGGTAGGTAGTGCTTGTTGTGTTAGGGGACTGGTAGGTAGTGCTTGTTGTGGTAGAGGGCTGGTAAACGTAGGGGGGGGTGGTTGAGGGCTGGTAGTGCTTGTTGTGGTGGTGCTGCTGCTGGTAGTGCTTGTTGCGGTAGATGTTCTCAGTAAAGGGGGGGGGGGCGTAGTTGAGGACTGGTAATGTTTATTGTGGTGGTAGACGCTCTCAGTATACAGAGGTGTAGAAATAGTTGTTATAAATGAACTTAAAACCAAATGCGGTTTATTTTTTCGGGTTTATTTTCATCGACTACAGACTTTTGAATATTTTATCCTAACCTTCAGTGGCCAGTGAAGTTGTTAGTAATTTCTGTGTGTGTGTCATTTAATCAGTCAGTCAGTTTGTCAATGCTATTTCGCGTACAATTTTTGTTTTATTATGATCGCGTCTTTGGTTAGGGTTAGGTTAGGTTAGACTTAAGGTGTTGGTTAGGTTAAGTTAGGTAAGGTTAGGTTAGGTTAAGTTAGGTTAGGTTAGGTTCAGGTATTGGTAACAGATAAGTCCACACAACATGACATAACGCCCATCATTGTCTCCTGTGTATCAGAACTGACTCCTATCTCCCACATACTAGACCTGACTCGTACATCCCACAACCCCCATACACATTATACTGACCTAGTCTTCCCATTCTCTATACTGACCTGGTCTTCCCGTTCTCCTCCTAACAGCACCAACTCCGTTTGAGTCAGGGGAGCGGGAGGAGGTTCTCGCCCCTCAAGCTGCCCCTAGGAGCCTCTAAGTCGTCGTGGAAGCGTTGTTCTTGGCGGTGTACTACTGTCGTCTTCGTCTGCGTCACCCTCTGCCTCGCCGCCACCACCACCTTCTTCGCCAGTGAGTATTGAGAGAGAGAGAGAGAGAGAGAGAGAGAGATATTGACAGACAGACAAACAGACAGACAGTAATAGGTAAGTAGACAGAAAAAATACAGTAATAGACATAGACAGGTAAGAGATGGAGAGATAAATAGATAGATAGACAGAGATAGGTAAACAAACACAGTGACAGGAATTTATGGAAGTTTACAGACATACAAACAGACAGACAGACAGACAGACAGACAGACAGGCAGACATACAAACAGACAGACAGACAGACATACAAACAGACAGACAGACAGACAGACAGACAGAGCAGATGGTGAGGGTAAGGTGTATAATAGTGTTCCGTTATATTCAATTTTTAGTTTCATTTTATTGTCTTTTATTTTTATCTGTTTATTTTACTTTGTTACTTTTTTTTATTTAATTTCTTGTTTATTTCCATTTTATTTTATTTTGTTTCATTATTGTCAAACTTAGTTTTATTTCCATACTATTATCTTATTATATTATTAGTATTATTAGTATTTATTAGCATCTCATATAAATTATTTTTTGCGGTCGTCAATGTTAATACAAGTTGTAGGAGAGGTCAGGTCAGGTTAGGTTAGGTTAGGTTAGGTTAGGTTAGGTTAGGTTAGATCAGATCCCTTCCTCACGCGTATTGGGGAGTACACAGGGCGGCAGTGGGTGGCTTGGTCGGGTGGTCGGCCCCGTCCACCACCACCACCACATATGCAGCCAATGGACGAATCCTTTGAATGGTTAATGTAATTTGCATACATATGAGGTAGGGATATATCTTTTAGCCAAGATCGGGTTATAGCAGATGATTCCATTTTGTGAGTGTTTGGGAGGGAAGGAGGGTGGGTGGGTGGGTGGGTGGGTGGGTCGGTGGGGGCGTAATAGTACAGGTCGGTGTCAACACTGTCAGTCCGCTTATAGTGATGATGAGTCTTCGCTACCGTGTGCCAGCCTGGGGTATACGGTGAAAGTTGACCTCCCGACACACACACACGAGAGAGAGAGAGAGAGAGAGAGAGAGAGAGAGAGAGAGAGAGAGAGAGAGAGAGAGAGAGAGAGCTGTTACACTTCCTCTCTGTTCATATCCTCGTCACTCTTCCCATTTCTTAACCTTTCATGACTCTCCCCTTCTTTCCTTCCTTCTTACCCTCTCTCACTTTTCCCCTTGCCTTTCCTCTCTCCCCTTTCATCCCCTCCCAGCTCTCCCTTCCTTCCCTCTCCCACCTGTCCCCTTCCTTCCCCTCTCCCACCTGTCCCCTTCCTTCCCCTCTCCACCTGTCCCTTCCTTCCCATCTCCCAGCTGTCCCCTTCCTTCCCCTCTCCCACCTGTCCCCTCCCCTTCCCATCTCCCACCTGTCCCCTTCCTTCCCATCTCCCAGCTGTCCCCTTCCTTTCCCTCTCCCACCTGTCCCCTTCCTTCCCATCTCCCACCTGTCCCCTTCCTTCCCCTCTCTCCCACCTGTCCCTTCCTTCCCCTCTCCCACCTGTCCCCTTCCCTTCCCTCTCCCACCTGTCCCTCTCTCCTTCCCCTCTCCCACCTGTCCCTTCCTTCCCCTCTCCCACCTGTCCCTTCCTTCCCTCTCCCACCACCCTGTCTACCCACTTCAAACTCTCACTTTCGATGCAAGGAATTCTGGGTATTTTTTATATTTTAAGGGGAGGCGTAGAGGGGGGTGGTGTGTGTGTGTGTGTGTGTGTGTGTGTGTGTGTGTGTGTGTGTGTGTGTGTGTTGTACGTCTGCCACAGTACCACTAACATCGTGTTTGTTTCCCACAGCGTCGCAGGTAGGAGGGTGGCAGAGGTGCCTAGGAGATGGTTTGGACAGCCCTGGGGTGAGCTCGTCGCCTCCACAACAACCAGCAGGTAACCTCGCCAAGCCCCACGTCACAGGGGCTCCTTCTGTCAGTCCTTTGTCGAGCATGGCTGTTGGTGTAGCGCGTGGCGGCGTCCTGTCCGACCCTGCACGACCCACTGGCATGGACCCCCCGCACCTCCCTCCTCTCATACCACTTCACTTCTCTATGGACCTGCGGCGGAGGCGGCGGCGGAGTATCTACCGCTCCCCGCCCCCGCCTCCCTCACCGCAGCACGTCCAGCACCTCCTCCCTGTTTTGACCGCTAAATCCCATTTGTCTTCTCACCAGACTATTGGTGACTTGCATGTTTACTCTTGGTCTGTAATGGATGTTTCACAGGCACCTTCAGCACCCGGCGTTGGACCTGCCGCAACAGTCGACCCCCAGAACAGCAGGATGCCCCCGTCACCGCCCTCAGTATACCTCGGTGTCAGGAGGCCCTTTTCAGCCCCCAGCAGCAGGCCTCAAGAGTCGGGGTCCACAGGCAATAAATTAAGCACATTAGATAGCAGAAGCCCCGGTATTGATCTAGGGGCGGCCGAGGAGCGGCAGCCACAGCTCGCCACCCTCTCCACGCTTCACGAAAAACTCATATCATTAAATCATGTGAATGGCGTTGGAGATAACACCCAGGAAGACCCGGGAACATTTGTGGCGCAGGACCTGGCCATCACCCGCCGTGTGAGGTCAGCCCCCGACCTTCACCACGGATCTCTCGCACCCTCACCCACTCTCTCCCCACGCAGAAAGTCTTTAGTGAATCTCTCTTATAACTCGGTTTTACCGTCGTCGGGATATAATTCTTCCTTACCCACTCCTGCGTCAGGAAACACACCGCCGGGAGCTGGTGGAGACCAGCTGCCAGACGTCCCTACACAGTCGCCGTCAGGAGGCGGTACACAAGTGGGCTCGGGGGCCTCCTCAGTGGTACTCATGAATAATCCAGGAACATTAGGCACAGCAGCAGCACACGGCCACAACCCGCAGTCGACAGCTGTAACTGGAGCTCCCCATTATGTTATTACCGCACGGGGAGTTGTACCCACCAGTGCCGCACCCGCATCAGCTGCCGCGCCAGGACACGGCTCCCACACCCCACATCTCACTGACGGAGAAAGTGTAATCTTAGCAGAGAGACGGAGCAGCGTGTTGGTAAGCCGCGCGGGGGCCGTCTCACCTGATCACATGACCACACCTACATCAGGAGCACTTGAGGAGACCTCGCCCCAGGAGAACGTATTGTATGACAATGAATACCAAGTGACTCCAGAGACAGTAGCGACTCCTCTCGTACTCCCGTCATTCCAGGAAGCTACACTGGGCTTCGCCCGCCACGGGACAGGCCACGCCCAGCCTACTGACGAACTTGAGGACCCCCCTGCTACAGACACGAAAGACTTGGTCACCAGGGAGTTGAGGGGAAATCCCCCACACAGTGATGTAGACGTGGGAAGAGAGATGTCGGTGAACACACAGGGGTTGACACACTCGGGTAGTGCTCCTGCTACACCCAACACCGATGAGGCTCTTACCGCCGAGGCTCCAGCTGACAGGATCCCCACCTCACCAGCTGCACAACAGGCGGCGTTCCCACACAACTCTCAGATTTTCTCACTAGTGGATCACATCAGCTCTGATTCTGCGTCAGTAATCGCTCAAGCGTCCTCCTACGTTGAAGCGGGTGCACGTGTCCCTGAAGATGGAGTTGCCATTGATCAAGCTGGTACGGGTGTTCTCCAGTTGACTACACCTGTTGATCTGCCTACGCCAAGCACAGTTCTCACACCTGTTGGAACTCCGATAATGACTGACGCATCGACTGTACTTGTTGATTCCGTCCCGACCACTGACCTTCACACTCATCTGTTCCCGTCCTTTAATTCCTCTGCTACCAGGTCTGCTTTCACGTCCAAAGGTCAAAATGACACTAAGGACGTCGCCCACTCAGCTGTTCATCCCTCCTTAATAGCAGCAACAACATCGGCAGCAGTAGGAGTAGAAACAGCTACACAAAAGCAGAGCATAACAGCCCCAGCCGCCGTCCCTGTAAAGCCCCTCTCAGATGGGCCCATAAAGCCTGGTCGTTTGGAAGCTAATAATACAAACCTCGCGGCCTCTCGCGGGGGTTCTCGCGCTAATCACAATGAAGACAATATAATGCCAAACCCGCAAGTTGTGCCAACTATTAGCCATAAAGTCGACCTAGAGCCGGGGAAAGGCCATGCTAGAGATCTCGAAGGACAAACAGGGGACCAAGCAACGCTCAGAGGAAAGGAAGGAAAAGCTGTAGGAGGACAGGGAGGCAATAAGAGAGAGAATGGAATTCAAGAGGAAAAAAATCTCCCAAGACAACCAGAAAACCACAGTGAGCCACAAGAGGGTCCTGGAAAACAATTAGATAACAAAAAACCTCTTGAAGACCCCACAGATCCCAGAGGTTACGAGTCACTGGAACACCAAGGACAGCGAGACAGTCCCGGTGTTTCGTATCAGATGCCAGAAGAGAATGAGAGAGATCACAGCCACGAACAATTTTCTCCCCATAAAGAAAGTATCTATGGGGAATGGAAGAACCTCCAGAGACGACGCGACGACGAAGACGCTGAGGTGGATCTCCCTCCAGAAGGTCACCACCAAGGGCCAGAGTTTTCTGCCTTGAGGGTTGTCCAGAGTGACGAGGCCGACACTGAAATTAGACCCGATAGAGACACCTTGAGCGCGCCCTCGCTCCAAATGTCCCAAGATGGCGGAATACAAGGTACTGAACCCAAGCCGGAAGACATTGTGTTGCAGGAGGGAGATTATCAACGGCAGATGAAAAGTTTAGAGTTGCAGGAACGAGAAGATGGGGACCTGGGGGAGCACAGTGAGCTACAGCAACAAGGAAGTCATCAGAATCATGAAGCACGGCAAGTCAGTGAGGTAAGTGACCAAGATATTGAAGCACAAGAGGGTGACCAGAGTAGCCAGCCTGTTATTGATCACAACCAAGATATTGTTGCTACACATGATCGCCCCAACCTCGTATCTGACCATATATCTCCCACCCACACCATCTCTCAGCACCTCCTCACTACATCCCCTCACGCCCACACGCCCTCCGACACCCCTGCTACTGCGTCAGTCGTTACCTCCGCCCACTTACTCCCTCAAGAGGAAAGGCGGCGTGAAAGCACACAGGAAACTCGTGAGGGATTACTCGGAGAGGAGGGTCAAATCTCCATGATTTCCACCTCGCGAGGGGAATATAATGTCAGGGATGAAGAAGAGAAGAGGGAAGACCCGCCAACGCAAGGATCTGAGACCTCTACAGACGTTCATAGTCCCGAGGAAGACGCTGTAGCCAAGGCTCATCACGGGGAAGACGCTACTGGTGGTACTCCCGCCAGAGAGACTTTATCACTGCGAAATGATGACAATGAGGACTCACAGCCCTATCAGAGCGCTTCACTTTCCTCATCATCAAGACGTAGTGAGATAAATATTGATTATGAAATGCCGTCACTCGATGTCCCGCGTCCCCCTGATGGTCACAACCAACAGTCGCCCGGTAATGCTCCTAGATCCGAGATCCTTCCAGGAATTTCCAGGGTGATGACACCTGACAATCAGAAAAGACTAACAGACCAACTAGTCCCCTCCTCGGGACCAGCCCCAGCGTCCTCATACATCCAGGAGTGGGAGGAGAGTGAAGTGGGAAGCGACAGTGAAGGCTCCTTGAACAACGAGAGTGAAGGTATAGTTGAATTGACACCGTTCTCTGATATCGACACTCCTCCAGACGCCCATGTGAGTAATAGAAATTCTTACGTAGATGTTAGTGGCTCTCTAGCTCTTCCCGTCATCGGAAATATGTCACTGCAAAAGACACCGGCTGCTGTGATGGAGCAACAGGCCGATGTTGGAATCACCAGCAGTGATGGAATTGGAATCAACGACGTAACGGCTAAAGATCAAAGAGACAAAACAAGAAACGGTATCTCTCTTTCCAGGAGCAACCAAACTGGAGAAATTGCCGCCAAGGGTCTCTCGGCCCCCACGACACACACCACCCACAATGTTATTCTGCCAGAGGAGTATAAACGCCAGAAAAGTATCGAATCTTTGGGAAAGCAATCAGCTCCCGGGTCTCTAGAAGCATCCGCCAGACCGAGTTACAGTGAGCGTAAGGAATCTAGTATCGATACCAGGGGATCTGAAGCCAACCAAGGACACTCTTTCCTTTCAAGAAGCAATCAAGTGGTCGGTGATCCCAATCAGGAGTCCGTCCACGCTCAGGTCAGCTCACGGGATCCTGTTGAGGAAAATAGAGAAGATCAGAACCCGTCTCTATCGATCTGGAGCGATGGCACTGTGGACGTGGACGGTAATATGATGAGTTCTGATGAGGACAATTACGATAGTAATTATTCTCACGACCTCATTGGGATCCCCGATTACGAATCCTCATACGAGGATGAGGATAACGAAGAAAGGAACAATAGTGACGACGGAGTAGAAAAAGAGGATAATTTCAGGCACGAGGGTATTGAAGAGGACGAGAGGGATCTCGAGAGGATTCCAGGAGGCTCACTGGATCGCGCTCTGGAAGGTTCATTACTGGACGAGGAGAGTGACGGCAAACCCTCCGGGCGGCCCCACACCACCCGTCTCCTCACCACTTCTACACCACACTTGTCTTTGCCTACACAAGCTGATCACCGTTCACCTGACTGGATTTCTCCTGAAGAAAATGACGACCAAAACAACACTGACGAAGGAGACGACGCTACACATGGATCTTGGGTAGCAGCTGGAGGTGGTCTTAACAGTTCCCCCGACGGCATCATTTCACATACAAGCAGTAGTAGCAGCAGCGGCAGTAGTAGTTTCTATGGCAACAGCAACACCACTCCACATGACAGCAGCAGCGCCTGGTCGGCTGGATCACATCACAGTGTTATGCCCCATCGCGAACCATGGCAATCCCAGGATTCCCCATGCAAATGTTCGTGTCAGTGCGATGGAGGTGAGAATCCTCTAATAATGCCAGGGCGTGTCGCGGCAAATCTCAATTCTGAGGCTGGTGTTGGTGGCCCGGGCCATGTGGACCCGGCCCCGCCCCCGGGACACCGCCACCGCCACCACCACGGTGAACCAAGGGGTACCTCTCACTCGCACCACAACATAACACCCCTCTCCTCTTATCCGCCCGAAGATAGTGGTGCACCAGTTCTCATAGACACTCACACCTCCGTTGATACCCACGTATCCATAGACGCCCACACACCCACACCGCCTCTGGAGGGCCATTCTACCCCCCTAAATATGGTACTTGAGGCTCCCAGGACCGGAGAAGTCTTGCCTGAAGGCGGCGGCGAAGGTTACGCGACTGTTGGTGGGGCGAACACGGTGGAAGATACTGTAGTGATCAGGAAATACAGTTATACCTTTGTTAACGCCCCAGCCGTGACACACGTTATGGAGGCTCCTGATGTGGTGCTATCAGGGTCCACAGCCCCGACCTTAGAGCCCACGAGTGTCACCAACATCCCCGGGGGAGCCACCATCCACGCCACGCTCATAATGGATCCTCCAGGTGAGTCATCTCTCCTTCCGTCACTAACATCGTCATCATCACTTCGTAACTGTCATGTAATTCAACCTAATAGTGTGGTCACAGCGCCGAGTCTTACGCTGCTGTGGTTTGATTAGGTTCCGTTAGTTGGACACATTAGGTTGTTATTAGCGTAGGTTAATTGGGTGGTTAGATTAAGATAGTTATACCATGTTGGTAAGGTTACAATAGTTGTTTATGTTAGGTTGGTGACGTTATAGAATACGTTAGTCAGGTTACATTAAGTTGGTAAGGTTAGGTCAGTTTGGTGATGTAAGATTAGGTTAAAGATAGTTTGGCTCCTGTCGTCGGCTTTTATTAATGGCCCAGCACCGTGGTCCTAAACTCCCACAGTCCTAAACCATTATTTTCCGTGGGGGAAATCCACCTCGTGATCCGGGGAAACTCAAAATAGTCCCTGTCCTAATATCATGTAATTTCTCAACGATAAGACACATTTTTTATTAACATTGTAAATATTTTAAAAAACAAAACATGTAAATACCGACATATCTTGAGATTTTTGCGTATATGGATGGATTCTGTGAGTTAGGGAGAAGTGAAGGCGAGCGAACGTTAGTCTGACTTCGTTTCCAAATGCTTGTAACTGAGGGATGAAGAGTAATAGCCGGGCGCTACTAATTTTCGGTCTGGCGCTGCTCTCTCTCTCTCTCTCTCTCTCTCTCTCTCTCTCTCTCTCTCTCACACACACACACACACACACACACACACACACATATACAGTATATATCTTTATGCCTGGACAAGTATTGGCAGTCATATTGTAGGCGTGGAGACAGGACATTCACAAGCTCTGTGCCCTGACTGTCCCCAGTCACGCGACCAATGTGACCCCACCCCTCAGTCTCTCCTCACTCCCTGTGAGCTGTCGACCCCCCTCCCCCCCTTCCCCTACTAATACCAATGAGCAAACACGTCCACTACTGGGGTTACAACACAATGAGTGGTGGGGATGGTGGTGGTAGTAGTAGTAGTAGTAGTAGTAGTAGTGGTGGGAGTGATAGTTGTGGTAGTGGGACCATGACCCTTCATGAGATTTCAGTGGTGGTTGTGGTGGTAGAATCATAGCGCAGTGGGTAGTAGTTGTGGTGGTAGTAGTGATAGAGCCATAACGCACTGGGTGGTAGTAGTTGTTGTGGTGGTGGAGGAGCCATAACGCACTGGGTGGTGGTAGTTGTGGTGGAGGAGGAGGAGCCATAACGCACTAGGTGGTGGTAGTTGTGGTAGTTGTGGTGAGGATGAAGGGAGGGAGGGGGGGGGGGCAGGACACGCTGAGTTATGATTGTAATTTCGTTGTGTAGTTTTTATAAGATATAAGTAGTCTCAACACAGCCACTGAGGGGGTACAGGCCGCTCTTGAACACAGAGAAGTAACTGGGAGGAGAAGATAGATATTCACTAAAATTATTATATAAGTTCACATTGATCCACTTCAAGTATACACACAATGTAAACAGACACATACCCACTGTACTACGTCATTGGCTCACCTTCCCCACCCACTTCCCCACCCACCTACCTCCCACTTCCCCACCCATCACATTCCCCACCCACCCACCCACCCACTTCCTTCCCCACCCCCAGAAAACAAAAGAAGAAAGCAAAAACTCGAGAATCCAAGAATTAGTCAGTAGCTGTGTTAAGCCTCACTAGAAAACACCCCACAGCTCTCACGGGAACAATATCCATCACTCAGGTTAAGAATGGCTCGCACCGGCCCGACACAACCAAGCCACAATATATGATACGAACAAAGGTGTCACAAAGTTAAGTGTTTTCGTTTTTTTTTTTTTTGGGGTTCTCGTGTTTGATTTTTATTCGTTTTTATTATTATTATTTTGTTTACATTTTTGGGAGGTGTTCTTTAAGTAACATGGACAGTAAAAAGAACACCACCTCCTCTTCCTCCTGCTCCTGTTCCTCTTCTCCTTCCTCCTCCTTTTCCACCTCCTCCTCCTATTATCTCCTCCTCTTCTATCTCCTCCTCTTCTATCTCCTCCTCTTCTATCTCCTCCTCTTCTATCTCCTCTTCTATCTCCTCCTCTTCTATCTCCTCCTCCTCTTATACTTTGACCTGGATGGTGCTGAGTTGTCAGTTAGGTTTTTTAGTGTTTTCCATTTTGGAGGGCGGGGAGGGGTTCTTTTGGAGTGGATTCTCGTACTACCTCCTGGTTGGCCGAAGCCTGGGTTATTGAGGAGGTAGTTTATGCTAAACAATGGTGCCCCTAACGACCACCATTCGTCTAACAAGCTTCGGACAGCCCAAGGCAGTTTCCACCCCCACTTGAGTTGCCATATCGGCCATTTCCCAGAATTGTTCATTAGGGAACTGCAGTTTAAAGTGTGACTGGTTGTTGTGTACATTAGTGAGTCACGCCACACACACACACACACACACACACACATTCACACACACATACATACGTACATACATACATATAAACACATTGACACATACATATATACAGACACTCACACATACATGCATGTACATACACATATATACAAACAGACACTCACACACTCATGAATAATAAGTATATCAGTGTTATTATGCGGGTTTGTGAGAGTCGTTTGTGGCTTCCCATAAAACTGCCTTGAGGAATATATGAATTTATATATATATCCTCTCTCTCTCTCTCTCTCTCTCTCTCTCTCTCTCTCTCTCTCTCTCTCTCTCTCTCTCTCTCTCTCCCTCTTCTCCCCTATCCTCCCTTCTCTCTCTCATCCCCTTCCTCCTCTCCTGCCCCTTCTCTCCAACCTTTCTCCTCTCACCCCACTCATCCCCCTCTTCCCTCTCTTCTCCCTCCTTCCCTTTCCTCCCACTCCCCCCCAAAAAAACACAACATCAACACACAACGTTTATGGTATTTTTTTTTTGTTAAATGTAATAGCGGGTTTTGTATAGTTACGCTTTTGATTTTGTTTTTATACTTAGCCTGTGTCCCGTTCATAACGTTTGTTGTTTATATCTCACCGCAATATGATTATGTAAACAAATCTTATAATGTTTTTAGTTTGTTTTTCATCCAATTTTGTTATCGAATTTTTTAATGAATTTTTTATCATAATTCTAGCCTTTATTTCTCTTTTTTTTTATTTTAACTTTTTTTTTTTAATTTGAGTGAATTTTATAATATCGTTAAGGAAAAATTCAGTAATATTTTTTTTCCACTATTGACTTTTGTGGGGAGTTTTCCTTACTCGTTCACCACACATGGAGATGTATGTGTCGTAGGAAAATATATTATTATTATTATTATTATTATTATTATTATTATTATTATTATTATTATTATCATAGCTTAAGTAATACGGAAGGTGTCGTAGTTTTTTTAAGAAAGGATGCGTTGAAGGTAGGTTAAGGTAGAGGTCGTCTGGGGTAGTGTAGTGTGGTTTAGGGGGTCGTAACAGGAGTAGTGCAGGGAGGATAAAGGGGTCGTACAGGGATAGTATAGTGAGGAGGTTCAGGGGTTCGTATGAGGGGTAGTGCATGGAGGAGGGTCAGGGGGTCGTATCAGGGGTAGTGCAGGAAGGATAAGGGGGTCGTATCAGGGGTAGTGCAGGAAGGATAAGGGGGTCGTAGTATTTTAAGGGATTGAACTGTGTGCCGAGTGGTAAATCAACCAATGTAAGGAGCTTCAAAGGTTCACGGGTTCAGATATTCAAAGATTCAGAGGCTCATTGGTTCATAGGTTCGTTCTTCATATGTTTAGGAATTCAAAGTTTCAAAGGTTCAGGAATTCAAAGTTTCAAAGGTTCAGGAATTCAAAGTTTCAAAGGTTCAGGAATTCAAAGGTTCAGAGGTTAGGTTGATACTGAATGAATTGTAGGGACTTTAAGCCATACAGTATTAAGTCTATTCTTAGATTAGATTAGGTTAGGTTACGTTGGGTTAAATCGGAACTTCATTATTTCCTTAGCTTTACAGTTTATTATTTACTACGACCATTCGTGTGAAAACCTTCACTATCATTATCATCATCGTCATTATTAAGACATTATCATCGTTATCATCATCGTTGACATTAAAGCTATCATTTTAATCATCATTATCATCATTATTAAAATCATAATCATCATCGTCATCATTAAAATCATCATCATCGTCATTAAAATCATCATCATCGTCATCATTATTATAATTAAACAACATTATCATAGGAACCTTATTATGTTAACTCACCGAATATTCCAAATTCCCGGGAATGAGAATACCTTCAGAACATGTAATTATTAATGTATATACTACTAGTGTGTGTCAGACTAACATTTTTAACATCAATTTTAACATTACTGATACTCATTACCTGAGATTAACACGTGTACCAGCATTGTCATTAACATCCCATAGTTGCCAGCGATGTTAAGAGCTGTAGTTAGATTTTGTACATATATTGTGTTTATTACAAGTGTGTACTGTACTGTAAGTTAGGAGCTGAGGTCATATTCATCTAACATTGTGTAACTTTAATATAAACTTAACATTACTTCTGTGACTCAAACAATATACACCACTAAATCTACAATGATGATGAAAATTAATATTATAAACCAAAAAAATCTTGAGGAAACAATATATTTATTTATTTTTTTTATTTATTTTTCAACAATGAACGTCAAGGTCAGTGCTATCTGTCCTGGGAGCCTTGGCACCAACAATGGTAATTTAATTGACAAAAAAAAAATAGAATCTAGTGACGAGTCAGCCTTTCAACCATGGCACCATTGGCCTTATTTTTTTTATTTTTTTTTAGCCTCGGTGCCAAAACTCACATCCAAAACCATGGCACCCTCTACGACGTGAGTGACCATCGGAACTGTCAGGTATTATACTAGTGCTCAAGTGTTCCTCTTATCACTTTTCTCACTCTTAATCGTGTTGGCTAGAAACTCCTGTCGTACGGTCGTTGTCGCAGTGCTCCACCTGTTGATAGCTTGCTTGCATCAGTGGCTCCTTCTCATTGGTATTTGCTTGCTTGTCAGTAGTCTTGTATTGCTCTTCTCTGCTTGTTAACTCATCTGTGTATATATTTGTTGGGAGTTGTATGGTTGTGTGGGGTGATTGGGGTGTTTGTGGGGGGGATTGTTTGTATGTTTGTGGGGTGGGAATGGGTGGGGTTGTGTGTATAGGGGGGTTTGTATGTAGTGTGTGTGAGTTGATAAGTTTAGAGAAGTGTTTAGTTAACGAGAAAAGAGAGAGAGAGAGAGAGAGAGAGAGAGTATAACAAAACATTAAATAAATAAATGGCACAAAGTATAATAAATTCAAAGTCTCTCCCCCACCACCACCCCATAACTCTCCCCTTCTCCCATAAACTCCTTCCCTCTTACCATAACCCCCATCCTCCGCCATAAACCCTCCCTTGCTCCTCCCTTCTCCTCCCTCCCTCTCTCTCCCCTTCCCTCCCTAAAGAGCCTTCCCTCCTCCCATTAGCCTTTCCTCCCTCCCTTAAGCCCTTCTCCTCCTCCCTCCCATAAGCCCCCTCCTCCCATAAGCCCCCCTTCCTCCCATAAGTAAGCCCTTCCTCCCTCCTCCTCCCATAAGCCCTTTCCTCCCATAAGCCCTTCCCCCTCTCCCATAAGCCCACCCTCCTCCCATGAACCCCATTTCTCCAAGCCCCTCCCTTTCCCTAATCCCCTTCCTCTACTTAGGGCCCCTCCTCCTCTTCCATCCACCATAAAGCTGTATTTGGGGGCCGCTCTTCGATGCTCCGCTAAAGCAACAATTTAGAAAACGACCTTCCTTAAGTCCCGCCGAAGGTGATTTTCCTGTGATGGCATATTTGTCGCGCCGGAGATATACTGTGTGTGACTGTATATGGATTGGTGGTAGTGTGTGTGTGAAGGTGCGGTACATGCCAGAGTTAGTGAAACGCGGGTGGTAAAGACCGTAGACTTTTTCAATAATATTCTTCGCCTATGCATAGAAGATTGGTGGTAGTGTGTGTGTGAAGGTGCGGTACATGCCTAAGTTAGTGAAACGCGGGTGGTAAAGACCGTAGACTTTTCAATAATATTTTTCGCCTATGCATAGAAGATTGGTGGTAGTGTGTGTGTGAAGGTGCGGTACATGCCTAAGTTAGTGAAACGTGGGTGGTAAAGACCGTAGACTTTTTCAATAATATTCTTCGCCTATGCATAGAAGATTGGTGGTAGTGTGTGTGTGTGAAGGTGCGGTACATGCCAGACTTAGTGAAACGCGGGTGGTAAAGACCGTAGACTTTTTCAATAATATTCTTCGCCTATGCATAGAAGATTGGTGGTAGTGTGTGTGTGAAGGTGCGGTACATACCAGACTTAGTGAAACGTGGGTGGTAACGACCGTAGACTTTTTCAATAATATTCTTCGCCTATGCATAGAAGATTGGTGGTAGTGTGTGTGTGTGATGTCGGGGGAGGAGGTGTTTGGCGTGTGAGGGTTCTTATAAATACACGTACTGTACATAACTTAGTATGCATGGATGAACCTTTTCAAAGCGCTTGAATACGACTATTTTGCCCTTACGCTTATGTATGTACATCGCTTTTTATACGTACATATGCATGTGTGTGTATGTTATCTTTATTTATGTATAAAATATATATCTTGTGTGTATACAGTATACCCACCCTAATACTAACTCAAAACATCTTTTCAGCTGCAACTTGCAACTAAAATGTAAAGCGCAATTCTATTCATCATTGAAACGCACTTACTCAAGAAACGAATAACAACCAATTAGAGATGAAAAACAGCTCACAAACGTCATTCTTGTTATTTAAAGAACTAATATTATTCATAGTAAGTTTCTTGTATAATTCTTCCACTAACAATTTTGGTATTTTCATCAGTGGGTGTTCCTAGCAGTCATTCATTAACATGTAATATAAGATCAATGATGAGATGTTATCGGTATTTCCTGGCGGCATTTTATATCAACACTACGATCAGGGACAAACTTCATGTGGTCATATTTTTAAAAGTCTTCCTGGGAGTTGTGTGGCCAGGGTAGGTAGGGAGGACGTCGAAGGTTGTTGGATGAGAATTATTGGAACCCGTGCCAGATGAAGCCAGAGTTTGACAGCGCGAAACTCTCAGTAGCTTGACCATACTTCTCTCTATATTTCACAAATCGTTTCAGAATGGTAAAACGTTAAGTCACAATAAACAGGAGTCCGTTAATTCTAGAACCAAGATGATAATTAACGAATTAAATCAATATTTGGGGGTAATCAAGGGGTAATTATTCCTGTAGTCTGTCTGTCGATTTTTTTTTATGGCGTCTTGCTACCAGTCTGGGAACAGTGTTGTCAAGGCAGACTTTGCTTGACCAGTGTTACCAGTACTCATGGGGTGGATGGGGGAAATTTAATGGGGGTTTTAATATGGAAGGATCCCAGGAAGCTTTGAAAATATGGCCCATTATTTAACTCATTCCATAACCCATTTGACAGCCCCATTCATAAACTTACGTTGCGTACCCTTAACCCATTCCATTATCCGCCCCATGACCCTTCCATCTAGTTGATTGTTTAACCCATTCCATACCATATTTATTAGCGACATGATAGGTTAAAGGACAGATTATGGAATAAGTTGCAGGAGAAATTATGGAATGGGTCATGACCTATTCTATAACTCCAGTCTACTATCCATTACTGAACCCCATTCCTTTTCATAACCCATCCATTAAATATTATTATAACCCGTTTTTACCCCATTCCTCTGCCTAACCCAACCCATTCATTAACCATTTCTTAATCCATTTTTTAACGCATTCCATGAACCATTCTCTGACCTATGTGGACTACTGCCTGCAGATGGCGAGGCAGTGCGACGTCCCCAGCAGGTGGCTCCCCCTGACGGAGCCTCGTTCTTGGCTCTGGCGCTGGGAGAGGAGAAAGCCTTCACCCTCGCCCCTTACGGCTACTGGAACATCCACCTCACCCTCAACTACCACACCGACATCAGGATATCTCTCACCATCCCCAGGTAGGTCTTGTAGGTGGGAAGATGTAGATGGCCGCCCATGTCAATCCACCTTAGTACGTGGCTGGTTGTTTGTGTTAGCTCTAGGTGAGTGGAGAGGAAAGGGGGGAAGGGAATGACGTGGATTTGGTCCTTGAAGAGTTAAGTCATTATCTTGTCCTTGTCCTAAACTCATTATCTTGTCCTTGTCCTTAACCCATTATCTTGTCCTTGTCCTTAACCCATTATCTTGTCCTTGTCCTTAACCCATTATCTTGTCCTTGTCCTTAACCCATTATCTTGTCCTTGTCCTTAACTCATTATCTTGTCCTTGTCCTTAACCCATTATCTTGTCCTTGACCTTAACTCATTATCTTGTCCTTGTAGGGGGGAAAGGAAATTTATCTCCCATCATCAATATCCTTCACTGGAAAGAAATGTGTATCCTCCTAATGTTGAGAACAAATGTTAACATCTCATGGAATAAATTTACGTTCGTCTCTACAGCATCCAAAATATATCTGTTAAAGTGAAGTAATGACCATAGCTGATGTATAGTTTGTGAGGGAAATGTTAAGATAGACAATTTGTTAGAGGACAGAGCTAGAACAAGGTGTGGTGTGGTGTAGTGGGTGAGATTGTTGGTGTGGTGCTTGCGTCGACACACCTTGACAGTAATAACCCGTGAACCATCGTTGCTGCAGAGTTCACAAAGTTGATTTGCCCTGAGCCAAGTGTAAACCAGGGTGTGTGTGTGTGTGTGTGTGTGTGTGTGTGTGTGTGTGTGTGTCCTTCGTCTATTATTATGTGATGTACTTCCTGTACAAGATTCATTTACAAAGGAAAAATCTAAAAACATGACCAATCACTCCCCCCACCCCCTTAAAATAACTGCACGCCCCTTCTCCCCCTTTTCCTCACCTCCGTAAACAAAGGCCTACAATTCGCTCAGATTTTAAACACCCCACCCCTTACCCTCTCCCCTTTCACCAATGGACCAACTGCACTATCGCTCTTGTGCCACCCCTTCCCCACCCTCCCCAGCCTCACCCACCCCTCATCCACCCTCCCCACCTCCTCCCCACCCCCTCACCCACCCACCCAGGGCTCCGGTTTAATAAATCAGACGCCCCTGTACGATATAATCCACATGATCTGCTTCTTGTCTTGGCAAACATCCACGCGAGTGATTTATTCCCGAGGAACTCCAGACTGCCTCCTCGGTACCCCCCCCTGCCCCTTCTTCCTCTTCTTCTCCCCACCTCCTCCCCACCCCTCCCACCTTCCCCTCCTACCCCCTCCCTCCCTCGTAAGTTTTGCCTGTTTTGGTTCTAAGTAAGATTCTATAATTACCACACTACTACACCTCTCACGGTTCTTCTTCCTCTTCTTGTTCTTCTTCCTCCTCCTCTTCCTTTTCTTCCTCTTTCTTCTACCTTCCTCCGCCTTACCCCCTTTGCCTTACCGGTTCACTCTGCGTCCAGCGGATATGAGAACTTATGGTGGTCGGATATACAGATTCTGGGGTATGAATATTATGTATGTGGATGTGAAGTGTGTGTGTGTGTGTGTGTGTGTGTGATTATGTGTGTGGATGTGAATATGTGTGATTTGAGAGTTGCGATTTAGAGTGGTTGTAGTGAGTCCTCGCCCTCTACTAAAAGAAAAACTAGTTATGAATATATTAAAGGAGAATTACAGTCGCCCTAAGTTCAATTAAAAATAAAACTAGACATTATCCAGGCGACCAGTAGCATAATTATATAATGTTCTCAATGAGTATTACATTTTCCTTTGGAGAGAGAGAAAAAGGAGAGAGAGAGAGAGAGAGAGAGAGAGAGAGTTGAAGGTTGATTTTGAGGAAGGTTATGTTACCACTAGTAAACTCGCACTAGTAAACTAATAGGAGGGCGTCTTTAGTATCGAAATAGTCCAATACTATTCTAGTAGTCGACCACTATCAACTTTCCACACCGTCTACAGTATAGGAGTGAACACCAACCCCCCCCCTCCCCCTGCCAACTATGCCTGATATACAGGGTCTGGCTCAACTTATGCCCGATGTTTTCAGCGTTACTTCTCCTAAAAGCTCAGGAATTGATGCACAAATCCGAATAAACACGAGTGTTGTGAAGTTATGGTACATGCTCGACTGCTTGTTGGCTCGGGGGGTAGACAGCCAGGCCTCGCATGTTATTTGTTGAATAATGTGAACCTTGTTAATCCAAGACTAGATATATAAATTAATAATATTTTTTGGCTAATCACATAACGTGTTTGATGTATAGAAAACAAAAAAAAAGAATAATGGAATTGAAAAAAAGGTAAAATATATATTATAAAAAAGAATAATAAAGTGATATGCCGACCAAACCGCGGAAATGAAAAGCGTAATATGAATGTATGTTTGTTGCAGAAAACGCGGTCATGGGGAACAAAAAAAACGGAAAAAAATTTAGTAATGAAACCAGGAAATAGAAAATGTATTGTTCAAGTCACTTTCACTTCAGTCGTTATTTTAATTTTTTTTAATTTATTTTATTTTTTTTTTTGCATATCAAACCCGAGAGACTTTTTATGACCTGAAACACTTTGCTGACCTGACACACTTTACTGATCCGCACACACTTTGCTGACCCGACACAACTTTGTTGACCTGACACACACTCTTTGCTGATCCGACACACACTTTACTGATCCGACACACACTTTGCTGACCTGACACACACTTTGCTGACCCGACACACTTTACTGATCCACACACACTTTGCTGATCCGACACACACTTTACTGATCCGACACACACTTTGTTGACCTGACACACACTTTGCTGACCCGACACACACTTTGCTGACCCGACACACACTTTGCTGACCTGACACACTTTGCTGACCTGACACACACTTTGCTGACCGACACACACTTTGCTGACCTGACACACCTTTGCTGATCCGACACACACTTTACTGATCCGACACACACTTTGCTGACCTGACACACACTTTGCTGACCTGACACACACTTTTGCTGACCTGACACACACACACACACACACACACATATTTACTAGATCTATACACACTATACTGATTTATATATATATATATATATATATATAGATGAATGCTACACAGACTCAGAGAGAGACCACACAAAACAACTCATTACAAATAAAACTAGTGAGTCAAACCCTGGCCAGATGAATTAACCCCGAGTTGAGAGGTGAGTAACGTGCCCTCGTTACTCACCTTTAATGACCTCGTTATGTAGGTGAGCGTGAGGCCACCTCCCTTCACCCCTCATCTTCCCCCTCCCCTCATCTCCCCCATCCCCCTCATCTCCCCCCTCCCCTCCCTTCCCCCTCCCTCCCTCCTCCCCTCTCCCCCCCTCACCCCTATCCCTTCACCCTATCCCCTTCACCCCTTCCCCCCCTCCCTTCCTCTCCCCATCCTTCCTTCTTTTCCCCCCTCCCCCTTCTTCCCCCCTCCTCCTTCTTTCCCCCTCCCCTTCTTCCCCCTTCCTCCTTTTCCCCCACCCCTTCTTTCCCCCTCCTCCCTTCTTCCCCCCTCCCCCTTCTTCCCTCCCCCCTTCTTCCCCTCCTTCTTTCCCCCCCCTTCTTTCCCCTCCCCTTCTTTCCCCCTCCCCTTCTTTCCCCTCCCCTCTTTCCCCCTCCCCTTCTTTCCCCCTCCCCCTTCTTTTCCCCTCCCCTTCTTTCCCCTCCCCATTCTTCCCCCCCCCCCTTCCCCCTCCCCTTCTTCCCCCTCCCCCCTTCTTTCCCCCTCCCCCATTCTTCCCCTCCCCTTCCCCCCCTCCCTTCTTTCCCCTCCCCTTATTTCCCCACACCCCTCACCCCTTATCTTACCCCTCCCTCCCACAGCCCCCTGCCCACCCACCCTTACATATTCTTACAAAAGTACGTAAAACACACACACACACACACACACACACACACACACACACACACACACACACACACACAGGTATTGCATTTTTGAGACAATTTTTCACCTATCTAATTAAAAGATCCATAATTCTCTCTCTCTCTCTCTCTCTCTCTCTCTCTCCTCTCTCTCTCTCTCTCTCTCTCTCTCTCTCTCGCTCTCTCTCTCTCTCATTATATTCTTCTTGAAAATGTATATCATCCTTCTAACCCTACCTCTCTCCTCCCTATCTATCTCTCTCTTCCCACCCCCCTTCCTCCTCTGGACCCACCCCCTCCCTATCCCTCCTCCCCCTTTTCCCTCTCACCCCTCCTTTCCTTGCTCCCTCCTCGTCGTTCTCATCCTCCTCCCTACCCCTCTCCCCTCTTCCTCCTCTCCCCTCTTCCCCCCTTTCCCCTCTCTCTTCCTCCCTCTCCCCTCCCCTCTTCCCTCTCACCCCCCCAATGCATAGATCCAGTGTTTGTTTATTTATTTCAGGGTAAATAATGATCAGTGGGAGCCATTAACAATATTTAAACGTATTCTGGTTTAAATTAGTTGCCTAAATAGCTGTAACCCACTGATGTCGTGTGTGTGTGTGTGTGTGTGTGTGTGTGTGTGTGTGTGTGTGTGTGTTTGAAGTCCCTACTGTTTGTCTGCTTCACCATGACTCATTAAAGAGGTTCCTCGTGTGTGTGTGTGTGTGTGTGTGTGTGTGTTGCAAAGAATGAATGACTGTGCTGCAGACAGACAGACACACACAGCAGAGACCTCATAAATGAGTAGTTGTGTAGCCAATATTACCATAAAGTGACTCGGCCAGCTCATCCCTTGTCAGTTTCCACGATGACTTGAGATTAACTAATTATTCCTTATAACTTGAAACTTTCCATGTGTGTGTCTCTGGTCTTGCCGTCAACGAAGTATTGGGGATAATTATCATATCCTCGTCTTGCTTATTACTGAATCGACTTAATATTAAGATAATGGCGACACCTGAAGAGTAAGTTATTTCACCTTAAGATTAACCCCCCTAACCTAACCTAACCTAACCTAACCTAACCTAACCTAACCTAACGCTAACCTAACCTAACCTGACCTAACCTAACCTGACCTTTAACGTCAGCCCAACGACCTACTTCTACACTAGTGACCTTATTTATCGTTACAGGGGCACGTCGCTTGGCCTGTACGCCCGCCGCAGTGCCTTGCCTACCCACACACAACACGACATCATGAAGATTCTGAGAGGGACCCATCAACGCGACACGAGGACTTCCCCGGTATGTTCCTCAACGTGTCTTCAACTTATTTCTAACACGTCTAGAAATTGTCTTTTAACACTCGACTACATCGTTATCGTCACCATGTCCATAATATGTGTATATCACGTCCACAACATGTCCCCATTAACTCCACAACATGTCCCTATTACGTCCACAGCATGTTCCCATCACGTCCACAACACGCGTCTCCATCACGGCCACATGCTCCCCATCACGTCCACAAATATGTCCTCCCCACCATGGCCACAACATGTTCCCCATCATGTCCCCCATCACGTCCACAACATGCTCCCTGGACACCTTCAATTCGTCCCCAACATATGTAAACCCATCCACAACTTATCACCAACTCTACTGAACCCACACTAATCCCTCACTGAACCTTACACTCAACCTCTCTACTGAACCTTACACTAACCTCTCTACTGAACCTTACACTAACCTCTCTACTGAACCTTACACTAACCTCTCTACTGAACCTTACACTAACCTCTCTACTGAACCTTACACTAACCTCTCTACTGAACCTTACACTAACCTCTCTACTGAACCTTACACTAACCTCTCTACTGAACCTTACACTAACCTCTCTACTGAACCTTACACTAACCTCTCTACTGAACCTTACACTAACCTCTCTACTGAACCTTACACTAACCTCTCTTCTGAACCTTACACTAACCTCTCTACTGAACCTTACACTAACCTCTCTACTGAACCTTGCACTAACCTCTCTACTGAACCTTACACTAATACAAAGATATCCATTGTTTTCGGGGTTTTAAAGATATCCTGGATTTCGTTACTGTATTGTGATTAGTTGTGTGGAATTTTTGGGGAGTGAGAAATGTATTCCTCCTGGTCCTCAAGAAAGAAAATGAGATAAGATTTTGGGTGTTTCTCACTGTAGTAAACATCAGAGAAAAACTTGACGATTTGTGTGTGTGTGTGTGTGTGTGTGTGTGTGTGTGTGTGTGTGTTCAGATAGTTGGCTAGGTGTAAGGGTAATAATGATAATGTTTGTGGTAGTAGTTACAATATCAAAATAATAATAATAATAATAATAATAATAATAATAATAATAATAATAATAATAATAGTTAAACCAGTGTTATTACAGAACACCAGCAACGGCACTAACAATACTAAAAAGAGATATATAAAAACTTTAATTACCACAATAATGATGATGTTGATAATACAACATGTTATAGTGAAAACAATAACATAACGTTAATAACAGCGGTCTTGGTAGCGCATCACCACAAGAGGCAGGAGATCAGTGGCCGTGAATCCTCGGTGTGTGTCCAATATCCTGGGGCTGGCGGAGGTCCTGGACAACCTAACCACTACACTACAGCGCTGTTTGATCTTAACTCTTTGTTAATGGTTGTGCGTGTCTCTCTCTCTCTCTCTCTCTCTCTCTCTCTCTCTCTCTCTCTCTCTCTCTCATACACCGTGTCGTCTCACTACTACAGAGCATGGTGGAGGTGTCGGTGGAGGAGGTGCTGGAGGCCGGAGAGTGGTTCCTGTCCATCTACAACGACGATGGAGACCCTCACCAGGTGGCGCTGGTCATCAGCCGCGGTCCTGGAGGAGGGGAGTGTCCACAGCGGTGCCACGAGCGAGGCCACTGTATCCTGGGGCGGTGCCAGTGTGAGCCAGGCTACAGCGGCGTCGACTGTTCACATGGTAACCCACTTCCACTTGTCCTCCTTGTACTGTACTGCACATAAGAAGGTCATGTTTATCCAGACGTACAGTACATAGGCAATGCAGGTATACAATTACTGTAATGTGCGTAGACAGTGTAGGTATACAAACAATGGTTAACAGTAAGTTGGTTGGACCAAGGGTAGCACAACAAAGCCATCATATTTCCTAGAGGGTGATAACAGCAGTTCACCACTTTAGGCCGGAAATACACACTGAACCAACACGAAATTATTGAAGGATGAAGCAACATTTAATCAACAAAACAGTTCGAAACTGACACAAAGCTACATAAAACTGTGGGAATTTTGATTTTTTTTTAAATTTGCCATTTTAACCAACAAGTAGTACTAACTTTCAACAGGACACCACTAATGTTATCACCTTAATATAAAATCAGTAACACTTTTTTTTACTTTTTACTTTTATCCTCTTCACCACTGATTGGCTCGTTAGCCGCTTGGGCGATCTGTCACGTCTCTCATTACTTTTCCATTACTACAGTCTGTTTACAAACGACATATATACAAGTCATTCTATTTTAAACTTTTTGAGTAATGTGACAATGAATGTTAGGGATAGAATCTTTGTATATAATGTTGATAGAAACTTGTTAGTTTAGGTCTTGATTCTTTGAACCGTAAAGATCCTATAAGAACCTTGAGATCTGATTATCAACAACTCGTAGGTTGAGTGTTGCTTGTGACTAACATGTAAGAATACACTCAACTTCAGCTAAACCATAAATGTAGCATCCAAAAATAACATCAAAATTACACTGAGTCTCAATCTTGTCTAGAGAAGTTCACTTGGCATTTAGAGGTAATTCTAGAGCAGCGAATATTTTAGGAGGAGATTCACTATCTTCAGTAATATAAAGATTGTAGATTCCAATTATATCTTTTGGAATTTCACCTTGAAAGAAGCTGTTGTTGTCGTCATAATCTGTAGGAAAAATTACGGGGATGACAGGCAAAGTGTGACATCTTGGCTCCCAGACACCATGCAAGTGTGCTCGTCCTGGTCACAGCAGCAAGAGTAGTAGTGAGCTTTCCACAGGGTAAAATCTTATCACTGAACAGTGCTTGATTATAGCAGGAACGAACAACTGGGCATGCCACTGTTAACTCTTGGAACAATCTGCCAGAAAGTGCTCTGACGGCACCGAGTGGGAGCTCTTTCAAAACCAGATTTGACCAACACTCAGGACCTAGTACATGCCAATACTTTCCAACAGTGGGTAACAGAGACGTGGCCGACCGCCCAAGCGGTTAACGAGCCAATCAGTGGCGAAGATGATAAAAGGAAAAGATAATATTGAAGTTAGGAATTAAATGGGTAGCACAGTGGTTCGCTCTTGCTAAATCATAGTTCAGAAATGATAAATTTTCGTTCGCTGTAGCACTTCTTACATCAAGCTGAATTTTGGGCAGAAAGGAAAAAAAATTCTGATTGTTTGTTTGCTTTAGACTTGTTGGTGCAAATCCAGACGATTCTGTCAAATTTTCTTCCATAAGGCGAGTTGAAATTCTAAAATATTAATGCGTGCACTGTGGTGCTCTTGTAGTGTTGTTTCATTATATAATAACCTTAATTTGTTATATTTATTTTCTTTTGTAGTGTTGTGTCCCATCCTGTGCTCAGGCCATGGTAACTACATGAACGGGCAATGCAGGTGTGACTCTGGGTTCAAGGGAAAGGAGTGTCAACTACGGCACCATGAATGTGAGGTGCCAGACTGTAACGGCCAGGGTCAGTGTACCAATGGTCAGTGCCGCTGTGCTAAGGGCTACACTGGCGAGTTCTGCCAAACAGGTGCGTAGGTCATTCTCTCTCTCTCTCGATCATATACTATACCCAATTCATGAATATTGCCGTACTCCCGTCTGAAGCATACTGGTGTACTAATGGAACATAAAATAGTTTAGTTAGCGCTCTTCCAGACACAGAAAACGACGCGAGCAATGACACCAGAGAAAACATCCAATACCACAACTACTGTTAAAATGTTTTGTTGATATCTTTTTCTTCAGTAAACTATATCATTTAGTGTTTCCTATCATTATATACTATATATACGTTAAACTGAAAATCGACCTGGTGGCTTACAAACATTGCTTCCCTACCTACTCTTTACTGCAATCTCCTTTATCATTACCCTTCCTACCATGGTGAAATGATAAGTATTACTCCTCCTCACCACCATACTTCTCCCCCTATCATGCTTTTCCCCCCTATCATGCTTCTCCCCATATCATGCTTCTACCCATATCATGCTTCTCCCCCTATCATATTTCTCCCTGTCTATCATACTTCTCCCTGTCTATCATACGTCTCCCCATATCATACTTTTCCCCTATCATACTTCTCTCCTATCAGACTTCTATCATACTCCTTTTCCTGTCATGTTCCTCCCCTATCATATTCCTCCCCTATCATATTCCTCCCCTATCATATTCCTCCCACTATCATATATTCCTCCATCATATTCTCCCTATCATATTCCTCCCCCCACATTCCTCCCCCATCATATTCCTCCCCCCATCATATTCCCTATCATATTCCTCCCCATCATATTCTCCCCCCCATCATATTCCTCCCCATCATATTCCTCCCCATCATATTCCTCCCCATCATATTCCTCCCACTATCATATTCCTCCCCCATCATATCTCCCCATCATATTCTCCCCAACATAATCCTCCCCCCACCATACCACCTACCATACCACCCCCACCATAGCCCATACCACCTCTACCATACCCTCCATACCACCCCACCATACCACCTCTCCACTTACCATACCACCCCCACCATATACCACTCCCCCTACCACCTCTACCATACTACTCCCTCTACCATACCCCTCCCCCTACCATACCACCTCTACCATACTACTCCCTCTACCATACCCCTCCCCCATCCTGTCTGTCCCTAGCACTGGCCAAATGTCACCACTGTTTGGGGAAATTCTATCCAGTGCAATGATTGAAGCTCATGTGTTATCATTGGGTCATAACTGATTGGATTATATAACAATATTTACTAAAACTAGATACAATTAGGCCTTCAGCATATTACTCAAATGATTTTGAAGGTCTCAGCTAACATTAGGTATACATATCTTAATTCTACACATAGAGGCTCGGTTGTAGTTCGTAGATTACATACTCAAGTCATTTCTGTGACAGGGATCACACAAGATTACCCAAGAAACAAATAATGCGTTTTACTGATAATCAAGCATAAAATAAATCATAATGCAGTAGATAATGGGTTCTGTATTAATGTCCTCAGTACAGTCTTACTCGGTACAGGGCACGTCCCCCTCATTACAGGTACCTTGTTCTCCACCACACTACCCACTAACTCCCTTTCTCTCCCTTATCCTCACTCAGTGCACACATTAATTTAACTTCTCCCAACAGTGGACTGCCCCCACCCAACATGCTCAGGTCATGGTTGGTGTGTGGGGGGCTTATGCGTCTGCCAGAAGGGGTGGCGGGGTGTAGACTGCTCCGAAACCGACCTAGATGCCCTCCAGTGTCTCCCAGACTGCAGTCCTCACGGCGCCTTTGATATTGAGACTCATTCCTGTGTCTGTCATGCACCCTGGACAGGCTCTGACTGCTCCAAAAGTAAGTTAAATTATTTAATAATTTAATTGGCTACAGTATGCAGTACTGTACTAATTCATCATTTCATGTAGCCGCTTGCCCTATTCATTCAGTCTCAGGTTCATTGTACTAACATTAAATGGACCATCCACCTAAATGACTAGTAAGCTGGTAAGTGGTGAGATGATAAATGAAGAACACACCTGTAAAGGCTTCCTACTGTATATACAATATATCCAAACTGTAACCAACAGTCTGTTGAGGACACTAATGTTAGTATGTACTGCAGTAGTACTCAAAAGCTTTTTCACTGAATATTATTGAGTTCAGGTCAAATCCTAAGGGATCTTTGCCAAAGTTCTTATTAATAAATGCAATGGCAGCTGTAAAACAGCTTTTAGTTATAATGCTCTATAACTTAAGGTACTCGTTGTAAATTTTTCTCTGCTGAATTTCATAGAATCTTAGTCCAAAATTATTCTTAGTGTTGTTCTAGAAAGCACTTGTTATCCAGGCTGTGTGGTTCAAGCATGATCTCAAGTTTGTAAAATAGGTTTGGGATACATACAGTATTATTGTACTCAAAATAATATCTTGTAACCTAATCTAACATGAAAATAGAGAAGGGATTCTCATTGTTTCCTGTCAGAATGATAGCAGACAGTTCCAAGAGTAGCTTTCAGATGAGGTATTTTGGTGCATTTTCAGTTTTAAGTTTGGTAAGTTAAAGTTACCCCTAGGTTTACAGTTTACACTATTGTTAGGAAATTTCTATTTAAAGAAGCCTTATTAGAATCCCTAGTATACCCAGTGAGTTTAGAAATGTGAAACAGTATCATTCACTCCAAGCCATCAAAACCTAAAAGACAGGCACTCTAGCAGCAAGTTCAAATTATTCCAGAAAAGTTTACCTTTTCTTATCAATAACAAATACTGTAACTGTAAACCTGTAAAAATATGCTGCCCTGGCTGAAATAACCATGAGTATTCCTTACCGTCCAAGAACTGAAATGTTCAAGAGTCGTCTCTTCTCTCTTGTAACAGAAATAATATTATAAATCAACCTAATAATAAGAAATAATCTGGAGAAGGTTTAGCATTACCAAGTCAATTAATTATTGTATTTAGCAATACTGTACAGTAGTTTTCATTAGAGAAATACATTTGGACACAAAATTCCTTAAGGCCATGGTAGGGGCTTTAACTAAAACTCTTATCCTTAATCCTTTTCTTCTGAATATGAGTAGCAAATCCATTTTAGATGTCATTGCTAGGGTTTCAGTAAGGGTTATATCAATAAAGGTCCAGTTCCTAATGGAAGTCTTAATCAAGTCTAGCAATGGAATTTTGAAGGTTCTATTAAAATGTAGTTTTAGGACTACAGCACTGTAATTTTGTGATTTACTTAACTTCAGTTTAAGGACCCTTTGAAGGTTTTGATTAAGAGTTTGCTTCTATGAATTGGTACAGAAGCAATTCAGAGTACAGTACTGCTCAATACCAGTTTCAGGACCTTGTAAATATTTTCAGTAAATTCTTTTCCAGGATCTCCTTAATGTCTTCCCAAGTCTGGTTCTAGTACCTGGTGTGAAGACTCAGATACAGTATCATCCAAATCTAGGACCTGCAGAGATACAAATCAACTTCAATCCAAATATTAAAATTTAAATTTTGATAAAGTTCATTACAGAATCCTGTGAAACGTCTAGTTACAGCAAGGGCCTTGTGATGAGGGCTACTAAGGGTGATGGTTAGGGTCATGGTGAGGGTCCCAGGGTGAGGATCCAGTACTAAGGGTGGTGGTGAGGGTCTGTTGAAGGTCCCAGTACAGTACTAAGGGTGATGGTTAGGGTCATGGTGAGAGTCCCAGGGTGAGGATTCATTTAATGAGATATAGTCCTTAGATGCCTAGTGTGACAGGAGTTTCAGAGTGAATAATGATGAAAAACTTTATGGGGACCTAAGTTCTCTCACTTCTCCCTACAGAATTTATCCCCTTATTTCCTTTTACTGTACAAAATTTAATCTCCATCCCAGATTGCCAACACAAAAACTGTCATTATATGAGTGTCTTCTTTGGGATTTCCTGCCGACTGGGTGACTTCTTTCTCTTGTATTTTTTCTCTTATGGATTCAAAGTTACAAGTCATTCATTATATTAAATTTCAGAAGTATGAATGAATGTTGGAAAAGTTCTCATTGTTCCTTGGAATTTAATATGAGGTAGATGGTGGCATCAAGGGGCTCTGACCCCAGTTGTCAGCACAATGAAGTTATAAACTATGTTATGCAGCCATCACACAGCTTGATATCGTCCCTAACAGTGACAGACACCAGGAATATATGTATGGTATAACATAGGACTCTTCACATTTTGTTGTTCTTCTCGACATATCACTATGTGCATTTTTTTTTTTAATCAATTTTAGGAAACTATTTTTCCCAACTCTGAACTTTTTGTAAATACTATGCACATTGGGTCTGATGATTTCCTAAATGATCTATGCCACAACGTAACCACCAACATGAACTACGTTGCACATTGTTCTTAAGATTAATCTATTTTTTTATGAAGGTGCACATAGTAACAATACTTTGTATGGATAAAACAGGAAATGTCGCTAGCACGTGGTGAAGTAAAAGTAAAGCAATACAATATATGGCATTTTGAAATATCCATCGTCTATGGTGTCGGATCGTTTTGCGTGAAATGTGCACAGATACTTTTTTGATCATGTGTACAGTATTAGATATAACAGCGTACAGGTATTCCATTCAGATATTAATATGATTTTCATACCTTATTTTGTATGGGTCATTTTTCAGTATGACCAAGATTATGAAGATATTTGCCATGTCGGGTTTTGAATACAGTATACGGTACAGTACAGTATTACTGCATAGTACGGATAAATATACTGTCTATCATTAATGTGGGCAGTGTATCCTGACCCAGGTCATATATCCAACATCATCATTGTCTCATATTTAACATTACTGTATCATCCTTGTCACCACACTTAGCCTTTACATGTAATGACCACCACTGTTACCAACACCACCATCATCATCAACCATGCCACCTCAGATGCCACCAATAATTACACCCCAGACAACCCCACCTCCATCACTGTCACCCATTTTCTCCTCCTCCTTTTATATACTTCCTTTCCAATCTGTCATAACCATTAAATCCATTATAATATCTATTCTTCACTCATTGGTGATCTAACAAAATTTTGGGGTCCCACAGAGATGTGTTCCCTAGACTGTGGGCTGCACGGTGTGTGTGAAAATGATAACTGCACCTGTGACGAGGGCTGGAAGGGAGATAACTGCTCTGAGAAGCTCTGTGATTCCAGGTGAGGCCTTTAATATGTTTCAATCTGCTTCTCATATTTATATCCTCATGTCATGTTCTTCTTTTCTTAGTTTCTCCACACTCCCTCCAGTTGTTGGCTCATCATATCATTGTTTCATTAGTCTTTTGTTTTGTGCTCTGTCCATTCCATTTTCATGTTGTTCTGTTCTCTCCCTGCCAGGTTTTTCTCTTGATTGGTACTGTAGTCACTGTAACCCATGCTTATATTATATTGTTTGCTCTTTCAGTAATATTGTTGTTGGGCCATACTGCTGTCCCGTACCATGTTGTTACTTCTTCTTTATATTCCACATCCCTAGTCTGGTTATCTATATACAGTATCATGTGCTCTCATAGGCTACTTACATCAGGCAAATAAATTATTGGGTCTTATAAGAAGGTCGTTCAGATATCTAGATGCTCCGTCCCTCGTAACGATCTTCAAGAGTGAGGTGCTTCCCCATCTGGAGTTCTGTCACCCCGCCTGGTCCCCGAGATCTGCTAGGGACTATCAGTTGATTGAAAATGTCCAAAGGAGGGCCACCAGACGGGTGCCTGCACTTCAGCTACCCAGAAAGATTAGAGCGCCTAAAATTGCCTAACTTATATACTACAAATGGGCAAGGGGGGACCTAATTGAGGCGTATAAACATCTCAAAGGGCACTACTCAGTCGAGTGCCCTAACCTGGAGCTGGCGGACATCGTCCCACAAGGGGTGACAGCTCAAGGTTGAAGAAGCTGCAAGCCCAGAAAACTATGAGGGGTAACTTTTTTCAGAATGAGAGTTGTGAACTCTTGGAACAATGTGCCAGAGAGTGTTGTGACTGCACCGAGTCTGAGCTCTTTCAAGATCAGACATGACAAGCACTGGAGCAGGTTCAAATACATTCAGTAGCCAGTGCATGCCCAGTACTTACCAACAGTGCATAACAGAGACATTACCGATCGTCCAAACGGCTCACGTGCCGATCAGTGGTGTAGAGGATAAAAGTAGAAAAGTAATTATCTACTGGAGAAAGTTCAAACAGTGTTGAACAGAGTTGCCAGGCTGATTTTTGTTCTCCCACCGAGGAATCCCATTACCTCATTCTTGATCGAATTACATTCTATCACACCTGCCAACACCATTGTTTCCTGCCTTATTACTACTACACCATCATCATCATATGTATCATTTTCCACTTAGTAAACTACAGTATGAAATTTACGTTTTTTGAATAGTACAGTAATTTAGTTCTGTAAATCTTACAACACTGTTTAAATGAACAAATAAAGCTTATACTGTACCCTGGTCTACCTACAGATGCAGCGAACATGGGCAATGCAAGAATGGCACTTGCGTGTGTATGACTGGCTGGAATGGTCGCCACTGTACGCTCTCTGGCTGCCCTGGCAATTGTCGTAACCGTGGAACTTGTGAAGCCTTATCTGATGGAACTTGGTACTGTCGCTGTGAGACCGGGTGGGATGGACCAGATTGCTCTGCCATGCTTGAGACCCAGTGCAATGATGAAATGGACAATGATAGAGGTCTGTCTCTTGGTTTTATATCTCTTGCTTGTCTAGATTTCAGATTTACAATCAATACAACTAAAGTTGTTCCTTTTTAATCAATGATTCTTAATCCAGATTTTTTTATGAGTGTCTTAAAAAGTAGGTAAGTACTGTACAGTATATAACAAAGTGAGATACAGTAGTTGTCATATCTGATCATGGTAGAGTATCTTGTTTTTCACTTCTGTTTTTTGTATGTCATTGTTTGGGATGATATTTCTGATATTTGTTGATGTATGTACTGTACTTTATCCTGAAATGAGTTACTTTGACATTTTTCATGATCTTATTTCAGATTCTTGTAATTAATTGTAATTTTTGCTTTATTATGCTGTTAAAATTAGTAGAAAACAAAGTGGCATATCATTGCATGAGCAAAATATTCTAGCAAATTATAATTGAGACTTTCAGAACACTTTGAGTCCTCAGCACATAACATTGAGCAAGAATATTCTAATGCACATGTAGCAGGAGAAGAGGAATAAAAAAACGATGGGGCCAGAGTCATTGTATAAGGAACATGCGAAAAGTAGTGGAGGCAAGTACACTCATAAAAACACAAGGAATGTGCACATAGGAACAGTGAATCAGCCCCTACTTTACAACCTCCTACCCAGGCAGAGGCATATAAAGTAAAGACATACAGTACAGTACCCATAACTGACTGCATCCCAATTAGCATTTTGTACAGAATATATGAGTTAGCTGCTGCTAATATAACGGGTTCAGACTCATTAACAAGTTTGGAGCTGTTACTGCATACTAAATCAGGTTTAAAAGTCATGTATTCAAACACTAACACTATGCTTGACAATAGAGCAGAGTTTGAAACCCCAACTGATATACCCACCTGATATAATTAGTGTTACGAGAATACCATACTGATATAATTAGTGTTACGAAAATACCATACTGATATAATTAGTGCTATGGTAATGCCAACCTGATATAATTAGTGCTACATTAATACCAACTTGATATAATCAGTGTCACGATGATACCAACCTGGTATAATTAGTGTTATGATACTGTTGTATAAACAGGAGAATAAATCTTGATAAATATGAATTTGATATCAGTGGCTAAGATTTATTTATGAACTTCTCCATGACAATGTGTAAAAGGGATGTGGTTATTTATTCTAGAAAGATCTAGGAGCCAGTTAGGTAAGGGTGTAAAAAGAGAGACACATTGTTGGATGCATATATCCTGTACACATCATCGAATTGGAAATTATTGGACCATGGGAATATTAGAGCATAGGTAGACAGGGCTATGATGCTAAATTCTAGCCTCCTCCTGGTACTGTAATTGGTGATTTTAATTATGGTGATATCGACAAGAGCAATGAAATTACACCAAACCAACCATAACAACCCTGCAGCTCTAGAGATAAACAAACTCCAAAACTTTGTTCACAATAATCATCATTAGACATTATACTTCAGATTTAATTGTTATAAGCAGACTAAGGTTCACATACAGTACTCCCTTTTCTGTGGTGATTACTGGACAGCAAATTTGCAATGCTGTACAGTGGTCCCTCAGTTAACGAGCACAATCCGTTCCAGCAGGTTGCTCGTTAACCGAAAAACTCGTTAACCGAAACCATTGTTTCAATGGGTTTTTGGGTAATTGGTTTCAGCTCACCGAAAATTGCCTAAATTCAACAAAAAAGGTAGAAAACTACACTTACTTTGAGGTGTGTATGTAGAAGGCTCCTGGATGATGATGATGATGATGGGAATTAGAATGGGGGTGGAGGAGAAGGGAGAAGAGAAGGCATTGGGGTGGAAGATAAGTCACCCCATGGCACCATTTCACCCATAAAATTTTAGTTCTCTTGGTGTAATTCAAGATTATTTTCTTTAAATCAACACTGCACTGCATTATGTATTGTCAATATGTAAAATAAATTTCAAAATGACCAATAATTTGCTTGGAAACACAGAAAAAAGCGTTTAGTTGAAGAGAGTCTCAAGCAAGATGTTACTTCCACTGAAAACAGAAAGAGACTAACGCCTCTCTGGTGTGTTAACAGGCTGGATGGCACGCCAGAAACTAGTTTCTTTACCTTCAATTATGTTCAATAATTGTTAAAATGACTAAAAAAGTTAATATTAAACTTTTAAAATTATTGAATAGTATAAACTTCTTGATATTTACTAAAATAGTAAGGAATTTAAGCCCTAAAACCGATTACTGTATTGGCAGACAAATACTACAGCTGGTGGACCGCCAAATGCAAGCGAAAACATGTTGAAGTCGGCTCGTAAAAAACTCGTTAATCGAGGGATTGCTCGTTAACCGAAGTTAAGAATCTTATGGAAGGTAAATCGTTAACCGAAATCTCGTTAACCGAGGCGCTCGTTAACCGAGGGATCACTGTATTAACAAAATTCAGGACCCACACATAAATGGTTAAATATTAGTTTGCTGTGAGGTTTTCATGTATGCTGTAAGCATTAATGCCTATTGTAGAGTCTTAAAGTAAGATTTGAAAGGAAAATCTGGTGGTATTAAGAGCTGTGTGTTCTGTGTAGGGTTGTACTGTATTGTACTTTGTCTAGGCTGAGTGTTTACAGTGTGAGAAACTTTTTAGTGCCAGCTTAAGTGGATAATCATACATTAAGGTTCTGAGTATGTGATAGGTTAAATATGAGCTAAAAAGAACTTGGGGCATACTCAGCTGTCCAACAGTGATGGTAAGGGTTGTTTGTGAACATTGGAGCCTGTTTTGTAAGGAAATCTCTGTGTGTCAGGACTGAATATGGTTTGTAAAGACTTGAGTGCTTTAGGGACATAGGTGATTAGAGGGACAGATGCTTGCTATGAACGGCTGAGTTTGTGTACTATAGAAAGCTAGATGTGAGCCATGAAAATAAGGTGACTTTTGTAAGACATCAGTGTTTGCTTTGAAGATTAAATTTTGCTGTCATTGAATAAATGTGTTAAATGAAAGACTTTACTCCCAATATTTGTTGTTTTTGCCATCAGTGAGTAAATATCTCCAATGTGAGACCTCATATTTGTGAAGTAGGGTATGATTATATGGGCTAAATCCAATGAAAAAGGTGCCTGTTGGACTGATGAGTATGATTATACCTATGTGTGCAAAAGTCCATAGTAGGATCCTATGGTGTTTGAGGGCATGATTATATGTGTAAAGTCCAGCTGTCTTTAGCTGGTTATCATCTTCCCCAGATGGCCTAACGGACTGTGAGGACCCTGAGTGCTGCATCCACCAGGTGTGCAAGGAATCCCAACTTTGTGTATCCCAAATCTCATCCCCCATTGACATCCTCTTAAGGAAGCAACCCCCAGCAGCAACAGCTTCTTTCTTTGAGAAGATGAGATTCCTCATTGAGGATGATTCACTGCAGCACTTTACTAATAGCGAAGCATTTAATATGAGGTAAGCAGTATGGCGAGTCACTTATGAGGTCTCTATGTCAGTAGAATACATTGAACACGCGCTTACCTCAGTCCAAGAGTTGCACTTGCTCTTTGTCCATGACAGTTGTTTAAGATAGTAATGTACCAGTAGGAGTAATTGTTGTTGATTGTCCTGAATCTTCAATGTATTCCAAAAATTTACAGTTGAATAGTACGCACATCGAGTGTAACATTTTGATATTGGTTCATCTTTCACATTCTTTACCTATTGCTGTCCATTTGCTATCTAAGAATCAATTTGCAGTATTCTTTTATACGCAAAAACACATTAATAATCACAGTAATGTCAATATTAATAGTAACTACAGTGACATCCACCACTACGTGGAATCCCATTCATTACTAACTATTGTTTTTGGCCTCAATTTCTCCTTTTTCTTTTTTCTTGTAAAGCTTCAGGTATACATGTTAGCTTAGGAATGATTATTTTCTCTGTGGATAATAAGTATTGCATTTTACTCCCCGAAAGTATAAATAAGAAAAGTAACAACCTTTTTCCTCATATTAAAACATAGTATGACTACTACTATTCTCAAAAAATACCATATAAAACAACATTAGTATTTTTATCACTGTATTGCATCCCACGCGTACCATATGGAAGTTGTCTGTGTTTTGTCTGACGCTGGGTGGCTCAAACATAGCGTAGTGACTGTACTTCAAAACCGCCGTTTGTTATGGGTGTCACACGGCTGAGGCGTAGTCACATGTATGTTGCTACAGTAGACTGTGGTAGAAAATGGGTCCAGAGGTTACCCACAAACCTTTATAAAAAAAAAAAGAATAGGATGTTTGAGTGTCTCTGCCATGTTGGTTTTTGGGGCTATCTACTCGTATATTTTTCCAGATTTCTTAAGGGCAAACATGTTTCATGCGGACCTAGTAAGAAAATCCTGATTATATGAGATACTTTGAAATGAACATGAGCAGAGAGCAAGATTACTATTTATAAAGCTTTTAGTGAGGGCCTCTGTGGCTCGATTTCTCAAGTAGTTCGAGTTTGTAAGTATATAACAATAAATCTTAATTCTCGGTTCTGAATGGTTGAGGCAGATTTTGTCAGTACTAAGACTACTGTCAGGTGCTGTGCGACTGTCAGGGTTGTTTATTAGCTGCTGGAAGTTTGTCTTTCAAGCTTTGTCTTACATACTGACTTTCTTCGATCACTTGAGAACGATGCCGTATGACTCGCCTTAGGTACCGGTAGTGTTGAGGGTACTCTGCAGGTGGGCCGCCCGAGCAGAGTACTGGCTTAGCAGAATTGTATGGGGTACCCGTGTTGGATGCATTATTTTGTGAGCAGGATACAAGTACCATGTTGTGCCTCTCATCCAGCCCCTTTGCGTACCGAATCCCTTCTAGTGTTTGAGCACAGTGTCCTGAAGTGGTATCTGTTCAAACATGGAATGTCTTATGCTGCAGAATTTCTGCTTAATATCAATTTAATATTATAAAAATTTCAATGGAACTTATTCATATATTTGGTATCAGATATGTATGAGCCATATTTGGCCTGTTAATTTTTATTGCTGGCATTGCACTGATTTATAGTAAATATTTTTTCTAAACAAATGCTCAATGATGGTCAGGAGAATCAGTAGATATAATAAATTACAGTACTGTACAGTATTTATATTTTTGAGTTAATATTCAATATGAATCGAGTCCACAGACTGTTTGTATGCCTCTCGTAGGTCGGTACGCATCGGAGGCTCATGATGTAATGGTTCTCGTTAGCTTGTAGTAGTCGTAGGAATGTATGGGTTAACCGCGGCTTTCTCTTCGTGCTGCGCTCAGTGTTTTTTGGAACCACTTCCACCCGAGGTAAGATTAAAAACAAAAAAGAAGCACGTTTAGAAAGAGAACAAAGTTTATTATTTTTCTTAATGCATATTTATCTAGTTTTTTAATATTTTTCTCCAGTTTTTTCAGATCGAGTTAGCTGGCAACTTTGTATGATATATTTATACCTTATTCTTAGTTGTCAGCATCAACCCTTATTTGCACTGCCATTTGAATATAGCCTACATTTATTTTCCTTATAGGAGGCGATGTACATTTTAATCTTGACTTCCCTTAGTAACTTGAGTGCTGGATTGCATGGATGAATGTTTCCACACATTCATTTATCATTGTGTTTGCTTGCTAATAGATTTTTATCTCTCTATCACTGTTATCATTATATATATACTCTATATATATTTATATATACATCTAACAATTTCTTACTTGGATATTTCAGTCTTAAGACTTCAAATAGTCTAATACTGTACAGTATTTCGCATTCTCGAGCCAGAGCTTACTCATCTAATGGTCATATAATTGCTGTCTCTACAAATCCCCTGACATCCCTCTGAGTTTTGTGACATGACTGTCTGTCATGATTGTCTGTCTATTATGATCGACTGTGTAGCTCTTGATCCCCTAGTGTCATAAAGTTCCCATCAACTTCATTGCCTCTGCTTCTGTTTTGTGACTGCAGGATTGTTTCAGTCATCTCCTTGTCTGTATTGGCTTAAAAGAGTGCCTTATTTTTTATCCTTTTTACTTTTTTACATTTATTTACTGATAAAAGCTTTCATATATCTTCTTTTTAATTAGTTTATAATTTGCTTGTCTACTTAATAATGATTTAATTAATAAACTGACATCTGGTCTTCACATAGTGGCTGGAGTTACAGATTTCCTACAGTTTTACTGTATCATGTTATCAGTTACATGTTTGTGAAAAATATATGATGTAAAATGAGTCAAATTAGTGACTTCAGTCCTCCCCTTAAGATTTCAGACCACACTTTTGGACTTAGACATCTTACATCAGCCTTCGATGTTTGCTGATACCCTCAAAGTCTACCTATTTACATTATTTACTAGTAATTGTAGCTTTGCTTTGTTAATATCAGACTTAAATTTACTGGGGTAATATGTTTAAAAGTACTGTATAACACAATAGATGGTACAGTATTTCTCATTAAGTATCATAGTAAACTGTGATTTCATATTGTGGAATTTCTTTAAATTGCCATTCTACTTGACATCCCAGGTAGTATCCACTTGTATTTATGGGGGTCTCAGTAATTCAACATTCTCAACCATATTCATTATTTGTATTCTTGCGTATGATAGAGTAATCTCCACAGTGACCACACCCCCTCCCCAACTCCTTACCTTTCCACCAGAGAAGGACTTGTACCACACACATATAATTTGCCAGTTTGCATGTGCATTCCATATTTTTATTTTCATTTCACTTTCTTTTTGATGGTGGCTAATCCTTCAAATGGATTTCCTTCTTGTTCTCTGCTCTGGATACAATTCCTTGGTATCACCCTAACCTTTATTTTATAGTAAAACAACATGTATCACTGTTGTAAAAGTTTTTGAATACTTTCGTTTAAGTTGCACAATGCTTTAAATAAAATTCATACACTGTTGTATCTTGTATTGGTGAATTATTTCATTACTGATGAACAATAATTTGTGAAGAAAAATTATAATCTATGACCACGGGTGAAACTGCATGGTCTATGTGACTGTTAGTGCTTACTGCCATTTTGTCAGCCATAATGCATGTCAGTAAGTGGCATTAATCTGCATGCCAACACTACGCTATTATCTTCTACTATCTACGAAGCTGCCTGTGCTAGCTTGAGCGAATGCGCTATATTTGTTAGCTGAGCAGAGCTATAAAGGTACCTCTGTTAATGGGGCCACATCACTCAGTGGGAGAATCTGCCAGAGAAAAAAATTATGGGCGAAAGTTTCAATCAAACAATCCTTACAGCAGCAATTATGAAATCATCAGATGAGTTTAAAAGCTTCAATTTGTATCATAAATTTTTGTCCATGATACATTTTTCTGTTGTCCTAGTCAATATTACTCAGCTTGCTCTATGAATACTAATTCTGACTGACTGACTGACTGAGAGAGGTTTCTGACATGCCCGTGCTGATGCAGCTTATGGCCAATTTTGGTCAATCTTTTCTCCCAAATTAGAGCAAAATTTTCTGCGTAAAAGAAAAAAACAAAAACGTTATGTATACTCAAAAGCAATTACCTAGTTATTTCCTTGATGAATTTTTAACAGTGTAGCTTTTAGATTTTGCTGATAACAGGAAGACCCAGTTAACCCATTTTGTGTATGTAACATACCTTGTAAATGTTTACCAGTAAGAACATTTCATAAAGGTTATATGTTGACACAAGCACAAGTATGTTCCCATTGATGGAGATCTTGTGTTTTTCCTGTCTGTTGTAATTTGCTTGTGTTATGAGTGTCACCTTTAAGCACTTAATTGTTGATTTGATAGCTTGTTAGCACTGTTACATGATGCATGCTCTTTGTATCCTACATTTAAGCAACATCTTTATCAAACTCTCTTGTAATTCTCATTCTATTATATACTCGAGTCTCTATTATTGCTGTCACATAATTCAATGTATCAAATTTCAGTCAATACAAAACCCCTTTATAGGATATGTTACAGTAAAAATATTATTCTTCACAAGTAAATTTGAATATATATATATATATATATATATATATATATATATATATATATATATATATATATATATATATATATATATATATATATATATATATATATATATATATATATATATATATATATATATATATATATATATATATATATATATATATATATATATATATATATATATATATATATATATATATATATATATATATATATACAGTATATATATATCAATGGGACTATTTATTCAGCATCCTGGTATCTGGAACACTTAAAAAACCAGCTATTTTCTGGAATAGATTAATAAAAATTAATGCCAGGTAGATCCTGGGCCGACCAGGGAAATTTCCAATCATTCCTCACCACATAAGCTACCAGTATATGTTGTTTTTATCTTTCAACTCATATACTGTACCCTGTATATATACAGTACATATTTTTTTTACTGTCATATACACACACACACTATTCTACATATATAAAGCACAAGAAAAATAAAAGAAATAATTATCATGAGGTATAAAGCATCTATGGGTTTCCACCGTGAAGCCTTGTGGAGAAGTCAAAGGTTCTGCGGCCTGGAAAGACAGTGCCCCAGCTGGTGTTGCATCAGTGGAGACTTGGAGACTGCAATACAGTTTTTACACTTAAGCCCACTTCACACTAGCTCATTTTGATGGCTGTCACTGATGTAGTATAGTTAATGATGGTGTAATACCAGCCCATTTGGTGGACGTAGTGTGTGAATCAGAAAACGTCATCTGTCCATTTCTAACATGACCAGTGACATGGGTGAGATAAACTTGTTTCATCTTGGCCGCCTGTAGGTTGTTGAAATTAGTCGAAGAATCACATTAAAAATTAAACCAAATAACAGCGAAATCCAGCTTGATTAATATATCCTTTAATCACTCTTAAACTATATGTATAGTAAATATTCATATTCGGAATAAAAAAAAAAGTCGGTGCAGTGATTATATACAGATGTTGAAAGTACGACAACACTGCACAGAAGGCATGTTTTCTGGATTTTATATTTATTTTTTATTTATTTTTTTACTCTTTCCAAAGGTGATATTAATTTTCTTTGGAAAATTAATTGTCTAAATTCAAAACGAAGTGACCTCTCAATTAATAATTCCCGTGACCATTCTCTTTTACTGCAAAGGAGGAGTTATTTCGAAGGTTATCATCATCCATGTTTATTTACCTCTTAATTCCCTCTGAATGGGTCACTGTTTTATATGATCTCAACGCTGCCTATACTAAGTCAGAGATAGCTGTCACAATGGGCTAGTGTGATCCAGGCTTATCTTTTATAGTTTTTACTCTTTTTATGCTTTCATTGCTACTTTTAGGGATTAATCTAGTGATCTGAACAGAGGATTAGTATCCAGCTACAGCGGTTTAATGTACATTTTAGACCTGGCCTTTCAAATTCCGGAAAAAACCCTTATCCGGTAATCCCCAGGTTCCAAGCATGCTAGATAAATATAGTCCCAAACCTTTGTGTGTATATATATATATATATATATATATATATATATATATATATATATATATATATATATATATATATATATATATATATATATATATATATATATATATATATATATATATATATATATTCACAGTATATAATATCACATGAACATATTTAACTTTGAATAAAACATCCCCTTTCTATAGAGCCTAGCATGCAAATTCTGCTCTTAATACAGCTATATGCTGTACTGTACTGTTTTGTCCTTGAATATTGCTGTCCTCTTTGATCAAATAGCAGAGTTAACTGTTTTATTATAGCTTGATATTATTGTGTTTTTTTGTATTCTCAATATCTAATTTGCCAACACATTCACTTGCATTTAGCTATAAATAACATATTTTATCATATCTTGCCTAAAGTTTCTTGTTTTTATTCTTTTTGCTCCATCATCTAACTTTTCACTAATTATTATGTGATATCATTAGAGTGTGTGGCACAGGTCAACCCAATCATGATTCATATACTGTATGTATATTTAAGAAGTGACATCATGTTAGGAAAACTTAATACATTTCAAAATGAATTTAAGTATATTGTAATATAGTTTACTGCTGTTACTCGAGACTAGTTTCTTAAAAAGAAATTATTGCCTTCCTTTCATTGTTATCTCATTAATTATATACGTATAGCTCCACATTATTCTGAGGGCAACTTATACCTTTTCAAGCTTCATTTTCATCATATCTGGAGTAATGATTCCTTACACCTTGTCTCTCTCCCTCTCCTGGTGTCTGTTCACTGTTTTCAGTATTTACAAGCATTCTTTTCCTTTACCATTCTCAAAGTAAACTCTCTCTCTCTTCTCTTCTCTTCTCTTCTCTTCTCTTCTCTTCTCTTCTCTTCTCTTCTCTTCTCTTCTCTTCTCTTCTCTTCTCTTCTCTTCTCTTCTCTTCTCTTCTCTTCTCTTCTCTTCTCTTCTCTTCTCTTCTCTTCTCTTCTCTTCTCTTCTCTTCTCTTCTCTTTCTTCTTCTCTTCTCTTCTCTTCTCTTCTCTTCTCTTCTCTTCTCTTCTCTTCTCTTCTCTTCTCTTCTCTTCTCTCTTCTCTTCTCTTCTCTTCTCTTCTCTTCTCTTCTCTTCTCTTTCTTCCTCTTCTCTTCTCTTCTCTTCTCTTCTCTTCTCTTCTCTTCTCTTCTCTCTTCTCTCTCTCTTCTCTCTCCTCTCCTCTTCTCTTCTCTTCTCTTCTCTTCTCTTCTCTCCTCTCTTCTCTTCTCTTCTCTTCTCTTCTCTTCTCTTCTCTTCTCCTCTCTCTTCACTCTTCTCTCTCCTCTCTCCCTCTCTCTCTCTTCTCTCTCTTCTCTTCTCTTCTCTTCTCTCTCTTCTCTCTCTCTCTCCTCTTCTCTTCTCTTCTCTCTCTTCTCTTCTCTCTCTTCTCTTCTCTCTCTCTCTCTCTCTCTCTCTCTCTCTCTCACCCTCTTCTCTCTCTCTCTCTCTCTCTTCTCTCTCTTCTCTTCTCTTCTCTTCTCTTCTCTTCTCTTCTCTTCTCTTCTCTTAACTCCTCCAAGCAGCACTGTGCCAATCCACCCCTTGTCCCCACATCTTAATGCTTTCATCTATCCACCCACTATGAGTGATAGGGTGTGTTGCGGGTGGGTGATGAGTATCTGTGCTGGTGTGGTTCAGGAGGGCGGCTGTGGTCCGTGGGCGTGTAGTGACTCGTGCAGGCAGGGGCGTTGTGAGCCTGAGGGTGGCAACCGGTGAGAGCCTGGAAGGATTCACTCTAACAAGACGAGATGGATGGTTTGATATTATGGTCAACGGAGGAGGTACTGTTACAATCTCTTTCGGCAAGCCTCCTTTCAGCCCCAAAACGGTGAGAAATTACTGCAGTTTTTGTTTGAGTAATTTAATATGGTACTTGTATGTAAAAGTCTAAAGTCAAGTTTGTGTGAAAGATTTATTTTTCTACTATTATATCACAGAGACTGTAACCTCACCTTGCTTCAGGCAGGAAAGGTCTGGGCACATGAAAAATAACAGATCAGCAAGCAAGCTAATGAAGTATACCATTCCAATTTTTCTTCAGCTTCTTTAGACTTCTCTTCATATGAAAATGATTAATTCAAGGAGTCTTTTAACTCTCTTTTTCAGAATTTGAATTTGTTTGCTTCTACAATTTAACATTTTCCAGGGTTAATGCTTAGCTATACACTCTAGTCCTACGGTAGTTTTGTCTCCTGCTGACTGTGATCACATTGCAATTGACCTGATCGATTCAGCTGTCTCTGACCATGCTTTGGTTGCTTTTGCAGGGTGTGGTTAGAAATGCCATTGTTTACACGGCGCTCACCTCCTCCTGTTGTGGCTATGGGGCCCACTTTCAGATAAACCTTCTCCATGAAACTGTGTGCCTTATCTAATTCTCCCACAAAAACATAGGTGGTAAGGAACAGGGTTAAGTTTGACCACAGAAGATATAGTTCTTACAATGAATGACAGATTGACTAATTTTTAAAGGATTTTGAAGTAGGATTATAGGACAATCTGAACTTTTGGATGGATGGGGAAAATTTCATGGTTACCTGGTCATAAATAAGAGATGATGTTTTTAGGGACTGAGAAATTGAGATTATAAGGTTCATGTATTTCAGCTTTCAAGACCAGATGATTTGAGGAGAACTCTCTGAATTCTGTAATCATGGTAAAGGTCTGAGAGCCATTTGAACCTTGTGTAACAAAATAAAGGAGTTTAACATGGGTAATTTCATAGACCTATCCAATATGAGTTTAACTTACACCCTTTGGTGTAGAAGAGGCTCTGAGAATCTTCACTTAACTTTAAAACAATGGTAATAAATAAATAGTAGTGAAGGTTCTCCTTTAAACATTACCTCCATGGGTAGATCTATAGGGCACTAGGAACAAGTTAGTTGGGCTTCCAGCTGGTAATCCTTGATCACCCTTGGAAGATCTGCTCCCTCCTGTCAGGAGAAAAGTTTTCTTCCAGTAGTGCTGTTCCTTCGTGTGATAGGAAAGATTTATGTAACTGCTATGAAATGTGTGATGTTGTATGGTATTGAAACTTGAGTTAAAGAGAGTGACATACTAGGCTTAAACAAGTTGATATGAAAATGGTGAGATTGATGTGTAATGTGACATTGAAAGATAGGAAACCCTATTCAAGCCTAAGAGGGTGGCTGTGTATTAAGAGTATTGACAATGTTTTGCATACAGGTAGGCTGAGATAGTTTGGGAATGTTGAGATAATGATATGCCTGAGTTTTAATGGCAGTATGGAGAGTTGCCATCAGGTAATCATGGCTAGTACCATGTTGGAAACACTGCTTCTTGTTTGATCAGCAAAGTAAGGTCTGGTTAGTACAGTACTCAGTTGAGTGATTGCCTGGCCCTAAGAACACCAGACGCTGCTGGCATAAGGACTCTACTGGAAACAGCAACTCATGACTTTGTCAGCTGACCTTGGTCAAATTGACTGAATTAATTGATGTTCACACATGCAAGCATGGAAAAAGTCATTAAATAATAGTGATGATCATGAAGATGTGTGCAGAAAAATAATGGGAAATGGGTCATGGCAACTCTGGTGTGGAGCAAAGGCCTCCCTTTTTTAAATTCTGAGGAAGACTTTGGCTTGTGATTGTCTTGCAAGGTGAATGGGTTGTAGGATTAGTGTTTTAAATTTATACTTTACTTTATCCATCCATCATTTGTCAGTTCACTTGCTAGTTGGGTGGTTGGTCTCATCTGTTACTCACTATTGGTAAGTACTTGGCATGTATGGGCTCTTGGATGTACTGTACCTAAACATCTTGGAGCCTCTACATCCTTTTGTTTAAGGTTTGGCTTAATCAGCCTGGTTACATTCAGAGAGACATTCAGGATAATGCATCCTAGATAGCAAATATTAGGTGAAAACTTTAGGACTGCCTGACTACAGTATAGGGATCTTAAGTTTTGTTTTCTTGAGGCCTTATTCTAGAACTGACCTTATATTGGTTTAGCAATGTTATTGTAATATTTCTGTAATATTTATTTATATTTAGTCATATTTTATTACTAAACATTCCACAAATAGCTGGAACAATGTAGACTTGGAACAACAATGTGTTTTCATGTTGCTTGTAAACAGGCTTGGTGAACAACCAGTTACCTGTACCAACTTAGTGGCTATTGATTGGTTGGTTACCACTCATTGGTGCTTTCACTTTCAGCCACAGCATACAAAACCAACTGCTGATTGGAACTTTTATTCTCTCACAGAAACTGTGTTTATGTGGAAACACCCAAGAGAAAAAAAAACTTTCCTACCATGAAATAAAAAGTAAATTAGTGCTAATTCTTAATAAAACATAAGCATTATGTAACTCAAAAGAGAGGATTGAATGTTTTAAAAGTGGAAGATAGTGTTGTTGTTGTTTAATTTTGAAATACATTACAGTATACAGTATATATGATCATATACAGCATGTGCTTTTATACCTTTTGTGTATCATATGTTCTCATGGGCCAATGGATGCTAAGTTGAAGTGTTTTGGGACAAGCAGTGTTGTAAATACCTAACATTTAGGTTTTGTGGTCACAAGATCCTATTGACCCATGTTATAAGCTATCTTTATTTTGCAAAGTTGTTAGATTGCCATGCTGTTGGTCCCTGGGCCACATGATTTTGTGTCATTCTGTTGTACAGCACAGGAAAACTCATTACAGTGGGTCTTACCAGCTAGTGATTGCAGCTCTGCCTTATGTTGATGATTACTATAGTAAAGTATCAGTTTGAGACCAAGAGACTTCTGTAAAATGGATGATTGCATAAATTGAATACCATATTGAGAATGTGTCCAAAAAACACATTTAATAGTACATGTACTTGTTAGTTTGTTTAATTTATTAGTTTCTACAAATATCTGTACACTAACTTAAGTTTTCTCTAACACACTGTGTTATTAAGTCTACAAATAAGCTTACACTGAGTCATTCTTCAACAGTCACTTTATAACTTACTCCTCAAACTCACATACAGACACAAAGACTCATCACTTAATACCACACATAGTCACTGAGCCAGTTGCCTGATTGTCCAATTTTTCTTTACTGTACGTATTTACTTTCATATAATATGTGGAAAATTAGATAAATTAAAATTGTTTTAAATTCTTAAATTTCATATTTGAGATTACATTAGTCAATTTCTGATAGTGATGTATTGTTAAAGTAACTGTAATATCCACATTTAGATTCGTGTGATGGTGCCATGGAATGAAGTAGTGGTGTTGGACGACATTGTGATGACGGTTACGGGTTTGGCCGGTAATGAGCATACATATGAATACCATGACCACACACAGCGACACTTAACTTCCCACTGCCCACTCCATGATTATGATCTCCTGAGGCCAGTTGTGATGGCCACTTGGCAGAATGTTTTCCAAGGAGAGTGTCCAGATGTTGATGCCATCTTGGTGGAGTCACAAGCAGTACAGGAGTCTGTGCAGATCCCAGGGACAGAGATATATCTGGTTTATCATTCATCCAGGTAAGGAAGTGGATTGTCTTTATCTCTGATGTAGTTTCCAGAGAATTTTTTGTTGATGAAAGAGAATTCTCTGTGTAGTGAGAACTACTTAGGTGTATGATAAATATTGGTTTCAGAGAGGACATGCCATTATATACATGCATCAAATACAAGAAAGTTGTCAATATATACTTGCTTCAGAAATTTGACACACAGGGAGCCCTTTTTTAGTGCAAATGCACATACTGTACCTGTGTTGCAATTTTGATTTATCATAATTAAGGTTTTTAGACCAAAATATTTGACACTCAACATATTAATTTTTCCAGTGCTATCATAAGAAAATATCCAAACCTTTCACCTAATTACTTCCAACTGGGAAGAACTGAGTAGCTATTAATTACATCAGAACCTCCTAAGTGTGTAGAGACTCTTTTACACTCTACTACACATCCTTCCACTACACAGTATGGAAGACAATGGCAGTTTGGTACCAGACCGACCAACAAGTTCACCAAGCACACCTTGATCAAGTACAATAATAGTGAAAGAGTGTAATTTTAGAGGCTAAATTAAACATTATTTAATGACATAAGCAAGATACAAACAATACAAATTGGACACGAGTGTGTACATACTTACTGCATGTGTTGTTCACTTAGTTGTGAATCGTTCTGAGAAAATAAAAGAAATAGCAAGGACTGTAACGAAATTGAGTCAACTGAGGTAATATGTTTTTCAGAAATTGGAATGTCTATTAATTTTATTGCATGTTTCAGTTGATGAATGGACAAGAGAGGGAAAAATCAGCCCATGTACCCCCAAAATTCTCAACTATAAAATCAATTCTCTTTAAGTTTCACATATTGTAATACAGGTAACATATCACAAGGGTTTCAGGAATGAAACCTTTTTGATAAGCAAGAACTACCTGTACTGTACTGTACTGCACATTCAAGAGTTGTTTTTTCAAAGAATGTTATTAAAAGAATTCATTGCCACTATGAAAATAGGCAGTTACTAATTGTATTTTAAGTTCTCAATCCACAGGGCCTCCCTTCCTCCCCTAATAATACTGTACAGTATAGCCCCTTTGTTTACCTGTCCTTCCTGCTGACTACACCATGATGTTGACCTCTCCTGAAACTAACCTCTCTCCAGCAGATATCAGCTGCTACTGAGCTCTCACCTCTTACTGGTTCTTTCTTCCATTGACATAACTCTTACTGACTTCTCTCCCTGACTGACCTCTCCTTCTGGCAGATATCTCTATTTTCTTGACTACCTCCTCCAGCTAACTCAACTCTCCTATAAACCTTCCTCTCCCACTGACTTTCTATTGCTGATCCTTTTACCCAGTGAATTTCTCTCTCTCAGTGCCATTAGTTTTTCCCCCTCTTGTTAACCTCTCTCTTCTGCTGAGCTCTATCCTCTGTTGGGATCTTCTGCCCATTTACCTCTCTCCCATTGTCTCTTCCTCCAGCTGAACTCTTTTATTTTGCAAATTTTTCCAGTTGATCTTTCAGTGTTCTAAAACTTTCCTGCCTCCTGATCTTGCTTAGTTATTCTGTTCCTTTTTGTTAACCTCTCCCTCCTAATGCCCAATGTTTCATATTGAACCTCTCCTGTTGTTGATGTACACCTTTTACTTCAGGGCTAATGGATACGAGTCAACCATTAGGATGCAGCTGACACCAGACCACATCCCACCCACCTTGAGGAGGATCCACTTGAGGATAGTTCTCGAGGGCACCCTTTTCACTCGGGTCTTTGAGGCAGACCCCAATATAAAATTCACCTATGCCTGGGACCGTCTAAATGTGTACAGGTAAACTCTCAGTTGAAAGTTATTATATGAAGGTTCTGTAAATTTTTAAATGTTTGAATATCTGTAAGTAAGGTTTGTGGTGGAGTGTCTTAATAAATATTTATCACCGAGCTGGTAAGTGAAGATGACCTCGAGGCCTTCCTGGCTGTTTCCTCGTGAATAAGGGATGAAAATGTATATTTGGGAGTGTACACAGATGAACTCTTGATAAGTTATTATGGTTGTCAGAATTGCTTATGCCTTTGAATATAAATACTGAACAGAAACACAGTCATTCAGCTTTACAAACCCTTTGTGTGTTTATATCTGGACCACTCCATAACAGCATGGAGACTATATTATACAGTCTCTCCTCAACTTACGACAGGGTTCCGGACCGAAGACCAAGTCGTAAGACGAAAAGGCGAAAATAATACATTGAAAGTCTAAAATGGGTGTCTCTTTTTCTTCTCAGCACCACGAGAACTCTCACTTTTACGCTTTCCAGCCATTTTAAAGGGAATTACAAATGAAAATTTTGTCAGTACACAACGCAATCACTAACGTCGGGACTCGAAAATACGCAATTTCAAAAATATTTTATACGACTGCGGCGGTCGTATGTCCGGGTGGTCATAAGTCGAGTAGGTCGTAAGTCGAGGAGTACCTGTATTTTCTTTATTTCTAAGCCGCATCATTTATATAGAATGGAATAAGTGTTAAAGAAGTCTATTTTTTGAAACACGAGTTTGCGAGGTCAGCCTGTATCACTGTGCATTGTAGGGTTTTATTGGGGGAATCCTGAGTGTGAGATTCAATGAACTGGAAAATCTTTTTATCTGGCTATCTCAATATCTATAGGTGCTGAATAACTGGGTTTCTACTGTACAGTGGTCCCTCGGTTAACGAACAGTTCGATTAACGAAATTTCGGTTAACGAACAAAATTTTGATTAACGAAATCCTTACGACAAACAAGTTTTATTGTGAGCATCAGCTGATGGGGTAGTCTGCCAATTCAGTAATCTGTTCTATGTTTACATCCGTTTCCAGGGGAGTAAATATCAAGACAGTTTTGCTCTTTAATATTTTTGCATTTTTTATATTAAAATTATTAGTCATTTTAAAATTTAGTTAACATATTGTTAATATATGTACTACAGGGAACTAATTTTTTGTACGCCCATCAGCCGCTTGACTCACCCACCAGGCGTCAGTTTGGCGTTGTATATAGTGTAGTGAACATCGATTTTGTTGGTGTCTTGAATATTTTTGCACTTTTTACGTTAAATTTATTGGTCATTCTGAAATTTAGTTTAACATATTGATATTATGTAGTGCAGTGTTGACTTAAATAAAATTATCTTGAATTACACCTAGCGAACTTAAAATTTTATTGGTGAAATTACTGCATCAAGCATGGGTCCCCTGAAAGGTGATTTCTCCTCCATCCCCACTTCCTTCTCTTCTCCCTTCTCCTCCACCCCCACTTCTAATTCTCATCATCATCATCATCAACCAGGAACCTTCTACATACACACCTCAAAGCAAGTGTACTTTACTGCATTTTTTTTACTTTGTATGTACTTTTCTGTGAGCTGGTACCAATTCCCCAATATCCCATTGAGACAATGGATTTGGTTAACAAAATTTTCGGTTAACGAACTACTCTGCGGAACGAATTGTGTTCGTTAACCGAGGGTCCACTGTATTTTCAAATACTGTAATGGAAGGCATAAGCCCCCAACCATTTCTTTGAACTGCACTATTTAATGTTCCACAAAAATGGCCATAATTTCAAGTTTTTTAAGCCATCATGCAAGAACAGAGAAGAGAAAGAGTTGTTCTCTAATAGAGGGATAGACTTGGGGACTTTCTTTTTGTAAAAACTATGGAAGCAAAAATAATTTTGCCTGAACAGTGTTACTTACCAGTTGTTTATTGGATCTCCAGAAGGTTCATTGCTGTTCTTGTAAATCTAGATGAATCATAACTTAGATAAGACTCCAAAAATCATTACCTATGTAGTATTAGTTTACCATTATATTTTATATTTTATTTCATTATATTCTGCTACTTTTTTAAATTTATTTCTGTATATTGTATAAACCTAAGCATAACTAAATAGTGTCTTGTTTTTCTCCTCTGCAGGCAGCGGGTGCATGGTGTAACTGTGGCGCAGGTATCAGTGGGTTATGAACATGCTTCTTGCCCAAAGATCATTTGGGAGCATCAGACAACTAAGGTGGCAGGCAATGATCTCCACATTTCTAGGGTTGGTGGCTTCAATCTTCATGTCCATCATGCTTACAACTACCATCAGGGTAAGAAATTTCATAGTTATATTTAAACCAAAGTTACTACCAGAATGAACTCTTGAACATCAGTATATGACATGTTCTCATTACAATTTTATGTTTTGAAATGTTCATTTTATGGAAATATCTTCTAATTACTGTTTTAAGAATATTTTATTACCTTCTATTTTGCTTAATTATGTAAGTGTTCTTCGGCTTTATTTTTAGTACAATAAAATATCTCTCTACCAAAAAGTTTGAGAACAAGAGGTTTCTGTAAAATACTGTAAAGTGGATACTATCATGAACATGTGTCTAAAAAGAGCTTGTATTTAGCCATAAAATTTTTCAGTTTGCTATATTTTGTATCAGATGTTTGTCGAAAGGTTTCTTGATGGGAGTATCAAAGTTACGAACATCCGCCGATACGAACAATGTTGAACTTTACAGTAGTACTCTGTATTTTATTTAACTGGTGACTTTTTTTCTTTCATTTACTGTGTTTTCTCATTCTATTTCTTCTTTTCTTTTAAATTGATTGATTTTAGATGTATATAAGGACTTAGGCTATGATAAAGTGGGATTTTAAACTGTGTTCTATAAGTACGGTTATGCACAATGCATGTGTTTCGACTTCCATTTTTGACTTAAGAACATCCCCAGGAACAGAACTTGTTCGTAACCTGGGGACTGCCTGTATTTTTGTAATGGGGGACTTTAACCCACACTTATATGCAAACAAATATGAATGGTCATACAATTTTTACAATCTACTTCATCTCCAGGCATCCTGCAGAAGGGTGATGGCCAAAATATCTATCTTGCTGGCCAGCGGCGTCTTGTAACAACCTTATTAGGCACAGGAGAACAGAGAGAGGTCAACTGTGGTGAAGGATGTGAGGGGAGAGCCAACCTCTCCCCCCTTCTTGCCCCCACATGCCTAGCTGCTGCCCCAGATGGTTCTCTGTATGTTGGGGACTTCAACCTTATTCGCAGAATCAAGCCTGATGGTACTGTCATCACTGTTGCCAAACTCAAGTGAGTGGTGGTTGGCTTTCAATGTTGGTGGTGTACAGAGTTTACTTTTGTTTGGACTTTGTGTTGGTATACAAGGTCCCTATTCAGCACCTGTACTATGTTTATTGATACTTGAAAATTTGCTTCGGTATATGGTCCTGAAACCCTGGACAGGCGGTCCCTGATTTACGAAGACCTGAAGTTTCAAAGTAAAATTTTTGTCCCAGGCTGCATTATACTGTGCCATACTTCACAGCATATAAGGCCCTTATTTGTCAGAAAAATGGTTAAAAAACATAACCTTGTGTCCAATACGTGAAGTTGCATTCCCCTGTAAGCTAATAAATACCCCAGTTGCCACCTCTAATAGGCTAAATTCTACCAAGCCAGCTCCAAAATTTAATATACAGTACTGTATGTTATTGTTTACTTAAAATACACTATTTTTACTTTTAATTAACTAAGAAAGGAATTATTATAAATACATGAGCTGGAATTACAATTGATAATATTGATAACTCTAGACGATTAGACTCTGTTCAGGATAATGGTACACCCGACTCATCAATGCTTATCAGTTATCATTTCTGAGCTCTTACAAGTGTCACTGTCTACTACAGTCTCACCAGAAACATTTCTCTTGCCATTTTTAATATTTAAAAGGAAAATTCACCAAAAAGAAAAAAAAACCTGGTATATTTGTTCATGTTGATCTAAAAGGCTGGATGGACATAAGTGGCACAAAATTGTGGTTAAAAATAGTAGAACACGGTGACCTGGTGGACCAGTTTATAGTACACAGAATGGAGACCTTTTAAAAAAGGGGTGGCAGAATTGAAGACCCAGTTAACTGTCATTCCTGGTGGAGTGATGAGCCAGTTACAACCTTTCCGTGTATCCATAAGTAATCCTTTTAAATAAGACATACATGAACAATGGAACGAGTGGATGGGAGATTCAGATCATGGCCTCACACCCACAGGAGGAATGAACCAGTCCACCAATTCTCAGGTGTGTGAGTGGGTGAAGAAATCATGGAAGGATAATAATAATACAATAATAGTAATACAGTACTGTAATAATAATAATAATAATTATTATTATTATTTAGTAAAATTGTTGTACAGGTTTACAATTGGGTAAGAATGTTGAATTTAGCAAGACCTTTGACAGCGTACCCCACGAGAGGCTGAAAATTTAACTGGAAAGGTATGGGAGTCAGAAAAATGTCCTAGCATGGATTGGATTGAGACTTCACTATCGCAAGCAGTGTGTGGTGATTAATGTCACGAAATCGTCAATGTGACAAGTGGGGTACCACAGAGCATTGTATTGGCCCCGTTGTTTGTTTTTGTTTCATAAATGACATGCCAGAAATTATACACTCCTCCATACAAATGTTTGTGGACAATGCCAAGTTATTCAGGGAAATTAAGAACCAAACAGACTGTGAAGAGCTACAGAAAGATCTCTATGAGCATCAAAAATGGTCAAAGAAATGGCTGCCAAGATTCAATGTCAAGAGGATGAACGTAGGTCGCACCAGCAGTAAGTAGTCGTATCACATGTCCCAACAGGATGAAGAAACTGCATTAATCGAGACCAAGTGTGAAAAGGACCTGGGTATGTAAGTCAACAAGGAATTTAAGTTCTTGGGCCATTGTGAGAAGATGAATCAAGCAATGAAACTAGTAAGTCTTATAAAAAGGTCGTTAAGATATCGAGATGGTCTGTCCCTCGTCACAATCTTCAAGAGTGAAGTGGTTCCCCGTCTGGAGTACTGGCACTCCGTCTGGTCCCCGAGATATGCTAGAGACTGTCAATTGATTGAAAAAGTCCAAAGGAGGGCCACCAGACTGTTTCCTGCTCTACGGAACCTCAGCTACCCAGACAGATTAGAATGCCTCCAACTGCCTAACTTATACTAGAGACAGGCAAAGGGTGACCTAATTGAAGTGTATAAGTGTATAAACATCTCAGAGGCACTACTTGATAGAATGTATTACATACCTGGAACTGACGGATGCTTGCCCAACAAGGGTCACAGCTCTTGGAACCAGAGAGATTTGTGACGGTACCGAGTGAGCTCATTGAAGACCAGACTTGGCCAACACTGGCGCAGGTACAGATACATTCTGGAACCAGTACATGCCCAGTACTGTACTTGCCAACAGTTTGTAACAGAGACATAACCAACCGCCCAAGTTGCTAACAATCCGATCAGTGGTGAATAGAATTAAATAAAGTATGCATAGCTCTTAGCAGAAATCTGTTAGAACCTAGCTCTTAAATAGTTAAAAGCAATGATTTACAAGTGGGAATTTTTGTAATTGGTCTTGCTGATAAACTTTTATCAAACTGATTATTGCATTGGAAAATAAATGCTTCTGAGCATTTCACAGTACAGTACAGTGTAATTTAATACATTTGCACACTGTATGGAGTATTACAGTCAGTTTATTTGTTATTTGTAAATAATAACTAATTTTATGCTCAATAAGTGTAAGAAGCTTCTACCTGACAGCTGTGCACCAATTAATATAATACCTGTATTTACAATTTGCAAAACACATCATACAGGATTATAAAATATTATCCTCACCAGTGCAATATGGCCTCAACTCCAAGTTTACATAATCATTGTTCAGTTCATATTCTTGTATTAATTTAATTGTATTATAATTGTTAGAGAATCTTAAACTTTGCATTATAGAACAACATTCCGGACATGTATGTGTCTTGTAATTGATGAAGTTTTGTATTAAACTTTCCTTTATGTAACAATAAATAAACTTTTGGTCCTGTTATTCGACAGTGAGACTCGTGTATCATACCGGTACCACGTTGCTGTGTCACCGTTGGATGGGTCAGTTTATGTGAGTGACCCTGAAGCTCACCAGGTGCTGAAGCTGAAGACAACTGAGAATGTGCAAGACCCACACCACAACACCATTCCCGTGGTAGGCTCTGGTCAGCGCTGCCTCCCAGGGGATAGGAACAAGTGTGGTGATAGAGGTTATGCTATCCATGCCAGGCTAACTTATCCTAAAGGTAAGCTTGTTAATGAGAGCTTAACTCATTAAAAGAGTAATTTTGGTATTGTGAGGTTTGCCTGTTCAACTATCTTTACAAAAATAATTATACATGTAAGAGTATCATGTGGGTAGTTATTCAATGGAGTACAGTATTCAAGGGAAACGTGATATCCCCATTAGCCAAAATAGAATAATTGGTGCAGAGCTCCGACTGGGATGAGAGATTTCTGGTTACCAAGACGACTCTCTGAAACCCGGAAAAATCCCACATCCCTGGAATTTTTCTGGGTACTGGAGAAAGATTTCCGAGGTTCTAAACTACGTCTCAGTGCTGGGGAATGTTTTCTGAGAGTCTAATCTACTATACGTATCTTGCATGGACAAACTCAGAGCTGTATTTATGTTTGTGAACACCACTGTACACAAAATATATTGTAAATACAGTATTGTACAGTAAACAAAAAAACATTACACAATATAAATAAACAAAGTAAAATTTATAGAGTACTCCCCAGCAGGTGCTGTTGGTTTGAGCTTGTGATACAGGCAGGCCAAATGGTGATACTGTATGATACAGGATGGCCTGCTTTGTCCTGTACCATCTGCTGTGGCAGATGAGGTGTAACTGTCACTGTCCTCTCCCACCACGAAGGACGGAGGCAAATCAGGAATCACATGAATTAATACCACTGCCGATGAAGTTCTGGGTCGTGGTGATGACGTGGCATGTGGTGATGGCGATGGCAAGGGAGGTATGTATGTTATCTCTGATGTTGAAGGTTGTGGACTGGGGCCAGAAACACTATCACCACTGGTGCTTGGCAAGCTGCCATGGGAGACAGCACTAGGACACCTGGGGACTGGAGCGGGGATCTTACGCTGCTTCAACTTGGTCCTCATCTGCAGTTCATCAGTGATGACTGACCGCATCTCCCAAATGTGCTGGTTAAAGGGGAGGAGGCGGAGGACGTCAGTGTTGGCCATAAAATCTAGGAAGCTGTCCAGATGTGCCCTTGCCTCGCTGAGACTGGTGGTTGGAACTTCCACCACTTCTTCCTCGCCATCGTCCTCTGCCTCCTCGTGTTCTTTGTTAGGCCCTGATGACACCAGCAGCAATTTCCTCCTGGGTGAGGGCACCATAGCCAGGATTGTCAGCATCCACACACTATGCGAAAGTGTGTGGGCCTCTTTCACTTCGAGGCCCTTGAAGTCAGCAGCTTCCTGCAGTAACAGAGCTTCTGTAGTAGCAGCAGCAGTATCACCACCACCATTCAGGAGCTACTTCAAAACATTTCTAAGTGTCGTCTCCATGATTTTATCTCAAGGTTGCCTTCAGGTTGACAAATGCATCTCTGATATTGTAATCTTTGATGTTCTAAAATGTTCAGGGCCCTTGGGTGTCTCCCATCCTTTCTGACATTGGTTCCACCACCAGTACGTCAATCAACAGGTGGTGCCTGTAGTGCTGACTACAAGCTAGAATGACACCCTAGTCCATGGGCTGTATGAGTAAGGTGAGGTTGGGTGGGTGGCAAGAACTTGACTCGGATGGTGCATTGTCAAGGAGGAGCAAAGCCTTGACCTTTCCCCTGGGGATGCCATGGAATGTCATCTGATAATACCTTACAACATGCACAAAGACATTGTGGAAACAGTCATCGAAGATGTTCCAGTTAAACCAAGCCTTTTTGTTACCAAGCCAGGACACAGGAAGATGATCCATGTTATTGCTCTGCACTCTTGGCCTCTGTACATTTCCCACCACCATGGGTATGGGTGCCAGCAGCATTGGCACACAGCAGCACTGGCACACAGCAGTACTGACACTCACTGCTCGAGTCCAGGAGTGCTGCTTTCCTGCCAGGATGCTGTGGTGTTGTTGGGCAGGGACTTCCAGAAGAGGCCTGTCTCATCCACATTGTACATCACATACCTCCTGAAGTCATTATCACGGATGAGTTTTTGCAACTCTTCTTTGAATGGCTGAACACTAGCCACATCAGCACTAGCGCTCCCGCCAGCCACTCGCTTGTTGGAAATCCTGTGGCGCCTATAGAATTTATAGAGCTCCCCAAAGCTCCCACAGCAATCGGGCAACTCCAGCAGTACAGTGTAGCGAAGCACCGGGTGGCATCATGGAGCTCAATGCTATGCTATGTCTCTGCTATGTCTCTGTACACATCAGCATCCTTTTTCTCATACTTTACAGCACTTATACCAGTCTGTTTGAGCCTACCTTCATCACCTGCGCCTGGCAAAGCTTTTTTTTCTTGTCGCCTCAAATTCCCCTTGGCATACTTCACGCTGTAGATGGTGAACTTGCCCACCCCATACTCATCCATAAACGCTTTCACTGACACTCGCTTCTTAAATTTCTTGAGAACGTCCAATTTTTCTTTGACTGACAGTCTTTTCACTGGGCCTCTCTTCGACCTCTTGGTGCCATAGGTTTTCTCTGTAGTTTTGAGCATTGTATTGTATTTTATACATATACAGTACACAGTACTGTACTCACACACAAACACTACACACAATGCTACAGTATGCAAACACTGTCCATTGCTATGTGCTGTGTTCACACAAACAATGTTAATTTACAGTAAAATTACACACAGTTATCATTGTTTACTTCTTAACGTGGCTTTAACGTTGTATTCTTGGCTGATTGTGTCTTGGAGCAGTAATGTACAGTACTGCACATTGCAAGTTTATGGACAAATAGGAGCGAGCAAGAGATCAACCTTATAGAGTGGCTGTGGACAATGAACTAAGTGTGCCCTGATGCTACACTTGGGGGATAATCTGGAAGATGCTTTAGTCTATCACAGGCATCCCATGCAGTCACATGACAGCATTAGCCAATCGCAGCATTACCCAAGTGGCCTTCCCATCGCACCCAGCTCGTTAGAGCCCAGGAACACATTGCAATCTTTCATCACTCCCCTGGCCTGGAGCAGAAATTTTTTGAGAGATTTTCTTGCCATTTTTTCATAAATTTTCTGGAAATTACTCATTATTTCCTGGAAAAATTATGAGCCAATTTCATTTTGGGGTATTGGAAAGTTCCAGCTGATGGGGATTCTGGCTAATGGACAAGTTACTACATAAAATTAAGTATTTCAAGGATGAGCCTACAGTTTGGTATGTAATGATCTAAATTGTAGGTCTATTAATGCAAGGTTCACCTATCCCAAGAATGAGTTAGTACAGTAATAATATTAATATAAGTTCTCCTGTCTCAAAAATTTTTTTTTGTGCTTATGTCTGGCTCGGGCAACTCAAGTATTACAAGCCAAAGTCTTAAGGGTTGAAAATCTAGACCCCTCGACTTTGTTGGTTGAAACTAAGAATAATTAGTTCATACCTGCCCATCCCAAACAAAAATGGGGTCTTAGAGGCAACAGCTACCACTGAAGGGTGATATGTCTTGCTGTCACACAAGCCACTCACTTCATGATCCACATTTGCCTGTCCCAAACTGTCATCACTGGGTTAATCTTTCAATTCCAACCACCTGTACAGATTATGTGTTCACCGTCCTGCTTATTTCTACCTTTTATTGAGAGCTAAATGCAACTGCTCTTCCTTTTCAGTGCTTTAATCTGGATAGGACTGTCTTTACCTCAATTGTTCTTGAGTAGATTACCCTCTTCCTTGTGGATTGTAATTGGATGTGGGTCCTAAAGTTCGGGCTTTTGTTGGTCAACTAATCATGAGTAAAGATGAAATAGAATTTTCCGCTCTTTTTGGATGACCCCCAGATTACCTATATTCTGAGAAATAAATGGAGCCAATATTTATATTCCCACTATATTCTATTGAGCAGCTGGAAGTTTGCTTGACAAATGGTTGCAGCTTTGAATGCTAACTATGAATAAGTTTCGTGTAAAACTAATATTTTCTTAGTTACATCAACACTGACACAGTTGGGCCAAACTGTTATGTGAAGAGTGTAATTAGTATACTGTACAGTATTTGTAATTATGTAATTAGTTGCTATACATTGATTATCATCCTTGAAATGATCCCGGCAATACTTACGATGCTGTTAATTATCTTCAGGACTTGCCATCTCATCAACTGGGGAAGTCTACATTGCTGATGGGACTAACATCCGTGTGGTGGACACTGGTGGCACCATCTTCACAATTATTGGTGGTCACGATCACCGCTCCCATTGGGCACCTGTCCCGTGCAATGGCACCATCAACATGGATCAGCTTCACCTCCGCTGGCCCACTGAACTGGCAATTTCCCCACTGGATGGTTCACTTCACATCCTTGATGATCACCTGATTCTTAGAGTCACCCCAGACAATCGGGTCCAGGTATGGAAGCCTATCATAGACTTACTTATTATCTTTACCATTTGCTGGCTTGCTAGGCACTCCAACAGTTCTCTATTGCATATTTTTTACAAATACTGGGCATGGGCAGGTACATGAATGTATCTGAAAATTTTCAAGTGTTAATTAAGTCTAGACTTGGAGGAATTCATACTTGGAGCCATCACATTCAGTGTCCAAGAGTTCACAATTTTTACTCAAAAGAAGTTGTTAACAACACTTCTTTGTACTAAAAGTATAAGCTAGCTTATAAATAAATAAAACCCATATTTCTGGATCGGCTTTACAAGGTTGGGAGGGTTCCTTGTTATACCCCTAAAGGGATTAATTGCCAAATTTGTCTTCAAGTATTAAGAAGGATCTTAAACTTATATGAACTTGACTTTCAGGTGTTGAGTGGACGATCACTGAATTGCCCAACCCCACTTCACGATCCTCCCGATGTTTCCCGGACTGCACTCCTCCTCAATCCACAATCCATTGCCTTCTCACCCCAAGGTTTGTTCTCTGTGTTCTCTAGGAAAATATAACTTGTATTTAAATTTTTCAGATAATCGTTATAGTAGTTTTCAAGTAGAACAAATTATACATAAATACCTAATAATTTAATACAAAGAGTACTGTATTTCCTATCATGTCCAAAATCATTGTTTAATTCTTTGTCAGAAGTCTTTCTATACTAATAATACTAAAACACTCAGGACCTCAGTATTACATGTCTGTTAACATTTATTTATATTTTTTGTGCAGGGGAGCTGTATGTTGCTGAAAGCGACACCCAACGTATTAACCGAGTACGCATCATTACTAGTGATGGCCGTATCTCGATCTTTGCTGGTGCAGATTCTCGTTGTAACTGTAGAGACCCAACTTGTTACTGCCATACCTTTGACAATGTCTCTGCCTCCTCTGCCATCTTCTCTTCCATATCATCCATTGCTGTTACACCAGACAGTGTTCTTCACATCAGTGATCAAGCTGGATACCGCATTAGATCTGTGCGAACTGTCCTCCCAGAGCTTAATGTTCTTAAGCAGTACGAGATATACTCCCCAGATGCCCACGAGGTATATGTCTTCAACAGGTATGGTCAGCACGTTGAAACTCGAAACCTCGTCACAGGCCGGACTATTTACAAATTTTCATATAGCATTCATTCTAGTGCCGGAAAGTTATTGACAGTGACTGACGGTGCAAGTAACAGATTCCAACTCATCCGCAACTACTTTGGAGATGTCACAGCAATTGAAAACCCACAGAATGATCGAGTAAAGATTAATTTATCAATGTATAAGATGCTGCAACAACTGGTGGCTCCAGACGGCTATAATATTACTTTCCGCTACCACGGTGCCACAGGTCTGATGCGCTCTAAGATTGAGGCCGTTGGTCGATCCTACAGTTATGACTATGACGAACAAGGCCGTCTAACACAAGCAGTCTTGCCAACTGGTCAGATCATTCAATTAACCTTCGACCTAAGTACAAGAGGGGCCGAGGTCATTGTTACACGGGATGGGAAGAGTCCAGTGAAGACAAGAGTGCGAGGAAATACCTTAACTCACAACTCAGGTTAGTAGAAAAATAATACAGTGCTAGAGCATTGTCAAATAAGAGTTTATAGAGTTCTCAAATATCATAATCAATATTTTATGGCCATTTTCCATGCTTGTGTGTGATAGCCATGATTACCTGATGGCTTCTCTCTACAGTATGCTGCATGGTCTCCTGCAGCCTCCTAGGTTCTTAACTTTAATGGCAGTTCTTACAACCTCTCTCCATTTCATACTTGGCCAGCCCCTGGCTCTCCTTCCCTCCACATTTAGACTCATGTTTTTATTGACCCAGATGGATTTAGTCGTTCTCTCCACATCTTAACCTACCTCTCCACAGAACTTCACCAACATTCTCAATACACAGCTGCCTTCTTAGCTCTCAACAAGGTTTCCTTTTTTTTCAGTGTCACATAGCACATCCACCTCACCATTCTCATTTCAGCTTGCTAAAGTCCGCTTATGCCATCCTCTTTAATTGCACATTTTTCACTGCCCTACAACATCACATTTCTCGCATCAGTTGCATACATATTTTCCCTTTCATGTGGAGGGAAGGTCCTCTTGCCTTCAATAGAGGCAGCAACTGAAACATCTTCCAACCACTTGTGACTCTTACAACATTGATAATTTTCCCCAGGTAACATAACTCATTGACACAGTCCAGGGACATAATGTATCTCCAATGTTGAGTTTCTCCAGTCTTGCTAAGGTTACATGGTTACTTGTGTATAAAGACCACTTAAAGGCAGCAACATATCATAGTCTGCTGTCCACGTTACTGCACCTTTTGTGTATGCATCATCCACACGTAAATCATATTATCAAGTTGCTATCAACACCTGCATTCACAGACAGCACATGGCCAGTTTTCACTTTCCAACATGGGTCTCTCATCCATGCTACTAATCAATATTTTTGTTTTTGCCACATTCATTCTCAAATCCTTTGACTGTATTCCTTCATTCCATTTCCCAGGGCAGGCCAGTCCTAAAGCCCAGTTATATTGCCTCCAACACCATGATAAATTGAAGGGGGCTCAAGACAGTCCCATGATGAACCCCCCATTTTTTCTTCAAATTCCTCACCATTTACTCTTACAATGGTTTTTGAGCTTTCATAATATTATTTCATAACCACTCAAACAAGGTACAGGTGTTGACCGTGATACGATAGGGTTAGGGACTTTGATAAGCCATCGTACGATCCATCATATATCGATATTAATAACTTACTGGGAAAAAAGGTTTAATTCCCGAGACCGTGAAGTGCCGGAGTTATCACTCGGAACAGTTATTTATCACTCATAATTTCAGGTAGACATATGTATTTTTTGTTCAATCCAGAATGCGACATCTAGCTTTATACCTAGGTATAAAGCCAGGCCAGGCCAACATACAGGCAATTAAAACATCTAATAATTGCTTAAATACGTAATATTAGGGGGACACGTCGCTACCTGGCATTTAATTGCAATTCTCAAGACCCCCTCCCTCACCCTCCATCACACGCATTGCTACCGGCATCTTCTTGCGTGGCGAATCGGCTGTAAACACGCACAGAGAAGGCTCCACTAATTTGTGTTGTAATAGCTGAAAAATTAAGTGCCACGAGGATTTTATTTCTGGTATTTATACATCTTAGCATGGTGAGGAAATCGAGTGACTTCTATTTTGTTTGTCTCTCCCTCCTCGCTTCGCTGTTATCCCTCGCTTAGTGATAATTTTGCTTTACCTTAGGTTTTTCAGAAATACAACCCCATTGTTAAATGTTCAGTTCAATTTAAAAATATTTTTATTTTGACAGCCATCTTACCATAAATTAATGATGTATTATAATAATAGGTAAATATTTAAGCTTTTTGGAACAAATTCCAGTAAATAGTCCACTCCAATAGCTGAATTGTTTGTGTACCTCTCATATTTCATGGGAGTGATCAAATAACCAAATATTACAGGTTATACCTACTAATTCTGCAATGAGTACTCTGTATTGTTAGAGATGAATTGTTCTTATAATTAAGTGACTTTAGTTAAGTGGATTATTCCACATATTTATCATGAGTCATATAGGTGGATCAGGAGTGTGATCTTTCTTTTTTTGTCAATGGAGCAGCACCAGTTGTTGTCACCAAGGCAGAAAGCATATGACTGAATTTTGTCGGGCTGGGAAAATGTGGGCTAGGAGGACACCACATTGATGCTCGCAACGTTCTAGCATACTTTAGCAACTTATATCAAATATTGTTCCCTAATTATTCAACAACTTTATATCGAAATGATGCCGTTCGGTACGATGTAAATCGGCTAATGCCCGTATTGGAATATTCTGGGGATTGAAGATTTTGCCTATCGGGGATATTACTATATAGCTTTCTTTCCTTTCCTATACTGTAATGTATATTCTCTTGTAGTTGCCTGGCCATAATTTTGCCTCTGTTTTCCCCCTACCTTGCATAAACCCAAACTACATTTCAGTTATGTCCATTCTCCCTTTGAGAGAGTGGTCCAATAATTAAGAACATATCAGTGATTTATATGAGCCTTCAATAGTGCTGAGTAGACATAGCTTCTAAAGGCATATAATGCTTGAGTCACTTAAACAGTACAGTATGTATTTACTCTCACTGCAGGGCCTGTGGAAGCAGTGGCAGACATAGGTGGAGAGGGACAGCTGCGGCTGGTGACAGCTTGGGGTCATGAGGTATCTCTGGAGAGAACCTCCTACCGAGTGTTGGAGTCTACTAACCAGATCAGTGCAGAGATGTTCCCCATTTTGTCTCGCCAGCAGACACACATCAGTGGAGAACTTGTCAATCGGTATGAGTGGATCTACTCCCCTGCCACCCAACATGTTGCTGGGCATGGCATGAAGGTAAATAAATGGTAATGTAAGGAATATTTATTGGAAAAATACTCTTAAAAATTTGTATGCTGCAAGAAAGATTTCCACCAGAATATGAATTCAGGAGAAAAACTTTTTCCCACTGAATCTAAGTGCAGTACAGTAGTGTACACCAAAATGGCTCTTATCTAGTTATCCTCCTCCCATATTGCACCATCCTTTCCTTATCATTCCTTTGTTATATATCCTATCATCTCTTAACATCCTCTTTCTTCCCCTCCCCTTTCTTCCTAATTTTTAATCTTCCTGTTTCTTATGGTTCCTTTTCTTCCACACCCCTTTCTTCTAACTTCCTCTCTCTTCTCGTCCTCATTTTTCGTTCCCCTTCCCTTCCCTTCACTTCTTATCTCTAACCCACTCTTCCCCTCATTCCATTTCTTCTCCTTCCCTGTTACTATCGCATACAGTATTGTATCTTCCCATTCTCTTTCCTCTATTTTCATTGTTTTATTAGTTCCATATATTTATTCTCTCCATATGATATTTATTATCTTAATGTATGTAGTAATTGGTTCTATTTTTTTGATCAAATTAGTAAGTAACCGACTATCTTTTACACAGGTTGCTGGGACACTTAGGGTGAATGGCGCCGACCTCCTGACCCTGAGCTATGACCCAGCCTCGTCATCAGAGACGCTGCTCTCAGTCTCGGGCCAAATGCTTATCAACATAACATATGACTCTGTCGGGCGGCCTGTCAACTGGGTACCAGTGTCACCTTTGGTTCCTAGCAATGTTAGTTATGATCATTGGGGACATATCACTGGATGGACCCGAGGAAACTTGTCCGAGGAGTACGAATACGATGTCACCTCTCTGCGGCTTCAGTCTGTAACTTATGCCGACGGTGCCACAATCACTTATGACTACAGAGAAAAATCACCAAAGGTGAGCTCTCAAAAGAATAAAAGATACCATTATTAACAGGATTACTGGAGTTAGTTCTCAAAGCTGCTTCCAGCATAAATTCTGCTTCCACATGAGTGATGAGAGTATACTGCCAGTGACATTAACTTGAATTGATATCTATAGGTAGTACAGTATATGCCATTTTGTAAGCATATAAATAGTAATAATGAAAGCATAAAAACAAAACAAAAATTTAACAAGTTTGTGTACACAGTGTCACATCATCAGGAACACTGCCCACCTGGCCTTTGCATTAAAAAAAAACTTGTTACCATACGTTAAAAAACAAAGGTAATAAAAATTTCTTTGTGTGCCAGTGAGAGTTAGCACGAGGAGGGGGGGGGTGGGGATTTAATTTTTCAACTCGAAATTTTGGGTAGATAAACTAACTTAAGTTTCTTCACCTCTTTTAATCAGTTGCATGCACACACAATCCTACACACTGTACATGACTATAATATGGTCAAAAACATAAAGGGAATAAAAATTTCTTTGTGCGTGAGAGCAGGAGGAGGAGAATTGCTAAGGGTCGGCAGAGACGGCTTCCCCAGCCTGGCTGGGTTGCTATGCTTGAGGCCACGCTGGCTGTATATATGCAAATAACAGTTGCGTTAAACTTTCATTTAGCTTTTCTTTAATGATTTTCGGTGCATATTTTCATCTAGATAGTATTTTGTTAATGTTTTTAATGTGTTAGATAGTAAAGTTGTTGTGTACTATATTTATCTTTAGTTAGGTAGTTTTTTGTTGTTTGTGAAATGATTTCATGTTTTTGCTGTATGATATTGGAGCTTTCTTGTCATTGGGGAACTGAACTCTATTTTTCCCATGTTGTATGTTCTTTTATTTGCCATATGAAAATTCACGTACTAAATTGTTTTTCAGGAACCTAACCAATTCGAGTAGTGAGGGATACCTAACTGGTGTTTCTCTGGAATGTTGGATGGAAGATTTGCTTAGATTGTTAGATAATCTTCACATTCACTTTACTAATTCCACAAAGGGGACAGTTTGATGGATGTATTTTCTTTTTTCTCCCCAATTGTATGTTTCAGGTGTTAACAATACTGAGGCCATGACAGGATTTCATTATCAGTGGCTCCTTTGGCACAGCGGGACGGGGTCACAAGCCGATTCAACTACAAATCATTGTCATTCTTTTTTATATTTTTTTATATTCAGTCTAGTATGAGAGTGCAGGGAGAGGAGGAGATTGTGGGCTATTGCCTTCAATTCTTAAAGTAGTAGGATCTGTTGAGGAACTTAACTTATACAGTAGTTTAATTTGCCTGTAATGTACATTATTGCTCTGTTTTATTGGCCAATTTTTTATCACAGACTGTATATGCTCAGCAATTATTGTAGAAGCCGTGGGAAGTAATCTGGTTAGCAAACCATGTACAGTAGATTTACCTACCTTATTTACCTAATGGCCAGCCATCCAATGGAGATGGTCATGCCAAGGGGAAGGAGGCTAGTTGCCTCTGTGGGATCCCTCCATGTTCTTCATACAGTAGTCCTTTTTAGAGCTATTTTGAAGCCTAGTGCTGTTCTTAATTCCACAGCTTAAACTGGTAGTGATCCATCTCATGCTGTGAAAACAAGATGAAAAGTTTTTTGGATTAGTTTCTTGGTGCCTACCAACCATTGTCCACTGCCTTGCGGATTAACCTTGGTAGGTATAATGCTACAGGAGTAAACCCCGAATGAAAAATCTGCGGTGGAGCCCCGTATCAGGCAGACATGTTTACAGAGCTCCAAAAAGACCCCAACGGCAGTATAGGCAGAAGAGGAGACCACCACGGGAACCCAACAACTACACCAGCAGACGAAGGCAGTGCACGACGGACCGGCTACTGAGGCGAAATCGAACAAACTGGACTATCGGCAGTCCATTGCAGCTCTCCCTCTCCCCAGTCATTGCAACACGTGCACCCCTGGATCAGGGAAAGGGAGAGCCAAGATTTGTGGTTGTAGCCAGCGCTCCTGCTTTGCTGCATAAATCAACTCATGTGCAGCCATCATCCAGCTCATCATCATCAAAATCCCTATACAGTACTCCCAAAAGTCCTATGGCAACAGACAAGTGGCGACAGAGACAGGCAGAGATGACTGCAGGGAGTCTAGTCACAACTCTGCACGTGGGCGTCACAGATAAGAAGGTCATTTACACACTGGGATCTAGGCAATGGTGCAATCCGGTCCTGTCTGTGTGACTGAGCAGCCCTTTCGAGGAGTCCTCTGCTCACTCCACATGGGGAGGGGGGCTAGAAAAAGTTCCCTAAACATAGCCTGCCTAAAAAAACAAAAACAATCTGACCGGGCAACTGCACCCAGTAAGGTTATCCTTATGGTGGTCGAAAACACAATTCAAATCACAAATCAGAACAAAAACAAACTATACAATCTCTTATGGTCACTGCATGAAATGTCATGTCCCTTCCAGATAATGGCACAAATGAGCATCCTGAAAGAAGAACTGCCCTTGTGGCAAAGAGCTGGCTAGGTATAACATTGACATAGCAGCCACTAGAGAGTCCCAGCTCACAGATGAGGGTCAACTCACAGAATGGGGGTCTGGCTATATCTTCTTCTGGAAGGGTAAGCCTGTCAGATACAGGAAAAGTGCAGAGAACAGCGGCACAAGCTGTACACGGCTTTCATCGACCTAATCAAGGCCTTCGACTCGGTCAACAGGGAAGCCGTTTTGGCTGACTAACAAAATTCATCGACATTGTGAGGCAACTCCACGATGGCATGAATGGCAGTGTCCTGCACAATGGCACCCAGTCTGAGTTCTTCCCCATCCAATCGGGGGTTAAACAAGGGTGTGTACCGGCACCAACCACCTCTTCCATTTTCTTGGTTGTCTTTCTTACCTGTGCCAGTGCTAATTTAGCCGACCGGGTGGACAACGAGTATCGGACGAAGGGTATTTTCAACATATAACGATTTCAGGCAGGAACAAAGGTGTCGGCAGCTTCCATTACCGAGCTTCAGTATCCAGACGCCTCGCCCTTGTTGCTCACACTGAACGCAACCTACAGGAGATCAAAGCACTTACGCCTGGAGGTGAATCTACGGAAGATTCAGATTCTCTTTCAGCCTGCCCCTGGTTCAGCCACACCTCCACCATCCATCCAGCTGAACGATTTTACCCTCTCTAATGTTACCCTCTTTTGGTATCTCGCTCCCACCTGTCCACCACTGTGGACATTGATGAAGAGGTTCAGCATCGGATCAGATGTGCATCTCAAGTCTTCAACTGTAGGGAGCTGAAATTATCTACAAAGTTACATTTACTACATCGAGCAGTTGTTCTCCCCACCCTGCTATGTGGCAGCAAGAAGTGGGTCACATACAGGAGGCACCACAAGGCACTCAAAAATTTCACCAACATAGTCTACGTTCCATCCTCTGAGTTTGCTGGGAAGACAAGAGAACAAATGTCAGTATTCTCACCAACACCATCTGTAGGAGTATGGAGGTGACCATTATCCACGAACAACTAGGTTGGACTGGCCATTTTATCTACATGGGTGACAGTAGATTGCCAAAGCAGCTACTTTACAGTCGCCTAACAAACAGTAAATGTAATGCTGGCGGGCAACTGAAAAGGTATAAGGATAGTGTTAAGAGAAACCTGAAAAAGTGCTAAATCGACCCCCTCACCTACAGTAGGAGACGATTACTCCACTGCTCAGAGGAGCACCACCACACGAGAAGGTGTCGATACTTTCGAGTTAGCCCTATTGCATAACGAGGCAGACAAGTGTCAATGCCAGAAAGACGCTGCCCCCGCCCCTTCCGCACTAAACGTAGCCCACTACACGTGCAGCACATGGACAACCCTGTCGGTCCTCCCGTATCAGCCTCTTTAGTCACCTCAGAGCTCACTAACCTTAATAACTCATATTGTATCATAGCTGGATGATCGTCATACTCGAATCCGAGTGATGGCAAAGTAGTAGTAGTAGTAGTAGTGCGTGCGATGACAATAGTTTTAGCTGAAGGTGGGAAATTAATAAGTATTCAAAGATTAAATTTACACTCAAGAGTACTAATCGTCATAGTCCCGATATCCTGATGAACAAACAGTAAATTGTTCAGTACCTCTTAATTTTCTTAACATTTTCAGATTTATAAATTAATTATAATTTATTGATGTCTTTTTAGCCTGAGAAGGTAACACATCCTAGTGGTCGTGCATATGGGTTGGTATATGATGGTGCAGGATCCCTGCGTCAAGTGGTCACTCCCCGCGGTTCAGCTTACACCCTCCACCTCTCCACTTCTCTCGGTTTTTACAGACTTCGGCTAGCACTACCAGTAGACAGCATTGCACTGCAGGTGGGTACAGTTACTTGTATTTGGTGGTTTGATATACTTGTGAACTAACACTCTCATTCTCCCTATCTCATAGAAACAGACAGTTTATAAGAGTTAGTTCTAAAAGGATTTTTACCTCTCTTCTCCTCCTGCCCATCTTGTAACATCTGATATGCAAAGTGCTATAAGTTGGTCTAAAGTAAGCTGGACTCTTAGCCTCCAGTAATTCAGTTGCACCACTGGAGGAACAGGAAGAGGGTAAATTGACCTTTGGAACACTTTCTTAGCATACATTAAAGTCTAAAGTTTTGCCGTTGTCCTGACTTTTACCAAGTGGGGGTTCTGGGGGCCACTGTGCACTCATTAGCACCACGATATCCCTTGAAGTTGTATTTTAATGTGAAATATATGTCGTGTGTGTGAACCCCTGATTCAATGTACTAATTACAAAGTTCATGATACAATAAACCAGGTGGCCTGAAGTCTTTGACAGTGTCACATTCCATAATATAGTGTTCGAGTGTATGCCTTAAAAGTTTATCACAAAGTTTACATGCGGAGTGTTCCGGTATGGGTACAGCGTTACTAACTTGCCAGATGTGTCTGTATCCTAGCCTAATAATGGCCATGGCTACATCACATTCTCTGGTTCTGTCCTTATGCTGGCCATACCGGTACCCCTCTTCACAAAATTTGTCATATTTCTGATGATACCACTTGCCACGTCTCTCTGCGTTTCTCACTTCTTTTAGATCACAGTTCGTGATTCTGACTTGAATGTTTTAAGTACAGCATTAGACAGGCTAAGGTCAACATTTTCTTTCTTACATGCCTCATTGGCCAGTCTATCAGCACGGTCATGATACCTAATTCAACATGGGACGGAATCCACGCCAATTCAATACCAGAGTTGTTCTCATTGGCAGTTATTACATTTCTTTTAATATCACATACAACTTTAGACATAGAACCTGAAGGGCTGTTTATTGATTTCAAAGCACTTTGAGAGTCACAGAATATCACCCACTTCCATTTTCTTTAAGGTAGTCTGTGGCTAAGTAGATTCCAGTTAGTTCAGTTTGTGTTGTGCTGGCCCAGTTGTTCAGCCTTTGCTTGTTTGACACTATCATCTCTTTCTTTATATATTACAATTGCACAGCCTGTTCTACCTGTGTTTGTCTGCACAGAACCATCAGTAAAAGCATAACATTCACTTGATATAAAACTCTCTATGTGTCTGTTAATAGTTTCTAGTGTGACACATCTCATCACATCGGTGTTTAACATTTGCTTACTACCAACAGGAGTGTAATTAATAGGAACTCATAGGGTGTGGGAAAATCTTCCAGCCCACTTTTCTAATGGACTATGTATGTCTCCCCTACAGATCCGACTGGATGAACGTGGACGTATGTTGGCCATGACGCAACCTGGACGAGGGGGTACACTCCTTTACGAATATAATGATGCAGGCCAGCTCCATGCTGAGCATTATGGCCATAGTAAGACTGAATATGTATACTATGACAATGGTCTCATCCGCAATGCTAAAACAAAACACAAACATGTCGATATCAAGACCGATTATCGCTATCATGCAGGACTAATGAAAGAGATGCGCTTGCGTTATGGAGGCAAGAGTGACTTGCATCATGTCAAGTTGCGCTTCCAATACGATGGCTCGGCACGGCTACGCAAACTTGATGGAGAAATTAACAATGATTCTCCTCTTAAAGAAGTATACATTCGTTTTGACAATCAGACAGGTGTTCTTCAGACGATCAGTGATCTTCGAATTATAAGGAACAATATCTTGGAGACAATGCTCCAGAATCCTAAGAAGCATTATGTCAATACTCGTAAACAGGATGATTATGGCCGTCTCTCTCAGGTAGTCATGACACTCAAGGGCAGAACGGTATTCATGATGCAGCTCACATATGACAACCGCAGTAGGATATCAGAACGGCTAATTGAGCTCGCTGGTCGCCGAGAACGTCTCACCATTACCTACATGGCTGATGGACAGATCCAGGAAACAGGAGGAACTCACACTTGGCTCTACAGTTATGATGAGAATGGCAACATCATCAGCAACACTGATACGGGTGACACAAAGACCCTTATTTATGACGAATGTGACAGAGTCACCTCCGTTACTGGTACTCAGGTTCAATATGATGATAGGGGCTTTGTCATTAAATTTTTTAACGAAAACTATGATTATAATATCAAAGGCCAACTTGTTACAGCCTGGGATACAGAAAGAAGTTGGTCATTCACTCTAGGTTATGATCATCTTGGCCGTGTCTCTATCTATCGTGACCACAATAACAGTGTCACTCAGTTTATCTATGGACGACCTGACCTTCCTCAGCTAATCACACATGTGCACAACCCTCACACAGGAGACACTATTGGTCTCCTCTATGATGACAGGAATCATTTAATTGTAATTGATGAACAAGATGGTCGCTACTTTGTGGCAACAGATCAAACTGGCACACCCTTAGCCATATTTGATGACGAGGGTTTACTCGTCTCCAGTCTAGTTTGGACACCATTTGGTTACCAGTTGAGTGAAGTTGGCACCAAATCTATTTGGGTGGGTGTTGGGCCTTGGGGCAAGTTTAGGGAACCGCTATCAGGCCTGGTAATCTTCAAAGGCTATGCTTATCATCCAAAGCTCCTCCAGTGGATGTCTCCTCGCTGGGGACATCTCACACAACCTACACGACACGTGACAGATGTGTTTGTCTACAGATTCATGAACAATAATCCCTTCAATCATCCAACAGATCATCTCAGACACTACTACACAGGTGAGTAGATCAATAGAAATGCAATAAATCTATACTACTTGACCGCAGATTACCAGTTAAGGCTCTGATATAAATCCTGCATTAGGAATGAATTAGGAAATTCTCAAATTACTTAAACTTTCTACTTTCAATGAAAATTCAACCACTCGCTCTAGTTACAATACACAAATTACACAATCATTCAAACTTATATATTGCTTCAACAATGAACATTATCCATGTCATATCATGCAAATTTTCTCCCTCTAGATGTGTCTGACTGGCTGGAGTTATATGGCATCGAATTGAGCCGTGTGCTGGGCTCTGAGTACCACGAGAACACCTTGGTGGCGCCTCGCCCTGTCGTAGCTGTAGACGAGATGGGTGCCTCAGAAGTTGTGAGTGGCTTGTGGTGCCAGTACAGATCTGGCATCAGACACCTCCATGATCTCAGCTTCTTCTCCCAATCACACATACAGCACCGGATGGGCATGTGGAATGGTGTACCCATCTCTCGTCAGGCATCGATCTTTGGTCCTGGAGTTCTCGTGTCGGATATTGATGGTCGCGTCCTTGTGACAGGAGTTGGAGAAGATGACTTTTCCGGTGTTATTGGTGATGTCATTCGAACAGTACTCAACAATTCAATAATATTAGATGTAAGCGCTACACGCAGTGGCCTCGATACATTCTATTTTATCAAGAACAGTCGTCCCCGTGCTATTGAGGATACCAACCACCTGCGGCGACTTTCTGGCATCTTTAATGTGACCAACAGTGAGACGGACCACGGCCATGAGATACGCATGTCCACACCCACAGCCCACTTAGTCATCATGTATGGGGAGCGTGTACAGAGAGCACGCAGCCGTGTTCTAGGAGAGCTGGAGGAGCAGGCGGAGGAGTTGGCATGGGCAAGAGAAGCAGAACTTGTGAATGCAGGGCGGCCTGGTACCCACGTTTGGTCACCTGTAGAGAGAACAGAGCTGTTAAGGGAGGGCCGTGTACCTGGGTATGTGGTCACGTATTTCCACTCTACCTCTGACTATCCAATCCTGGCAGCAGATGCTTCAAATATTGTTTTCAAACACGAGAGTTCTCGTAAGCGTCGCAAGAGCCGCAGAAAGGGCCGCAAGAAGAGTTGGCGGCAGCGTAAGAAAGGTGCCGCTTGAAGCAACAAGACGTGCTAACCAAGGTTTTGGCAGTAATGCTGTACCGCTGAACTTCCAGGCATACGCTACTGAATCTGCCTTTATCGACAGATTGTGATATAATTGTACATATTTATGTAAACTTAACAGAGTTTCGATATATACGCATACTGAGTGCGTTTTTGTTCTTTCTATATGAGGTGAATTAAGAATGTAACTTTCATGATTATCATCATATTATATTCAGTGTTCTTAAGAAACCCAACTGAACCCATATATCAATTATGAAAACTTTTTGGTGTTTCTTTCATGTGGTTTTTACTTACGGCTGTATCCTGCGGTAATCCTACGCTGTACAATATGTCATGTATTATGTAAAGTAAAATAATGAGTTTTTAATAAATATTTCGATGTACATTTATTAATAGAACTTAAATAACCCACTTAAGTGAAGGTCATGTGGACTGTCATTATGACAGGTTTATAAGATACTGTATGCTTTATTTTATGAACACAGTAAAGGAAACCGACCCGCTATTGTGAAGAAACATGTGAAAATAAGTATTAAAGTTAAATTTTATACAGTGAAGTACGCTTTATAGATTTTGTTATTTTAATAGTGCTCAATACTAAGGTAACCAGGCCACACCCACTAACATATCTCATTTTCTTGGGTAACTATGTGTTCACACAACAGACTTGCTCAGACATTTTTCTTAGAAAACAATTATAAAAAGTATGGTAATCCTACATCTCTTATCTTAGAACCGTGCCTAATAAAGACAATAAGCATTAAAGATTTTCCTTGGCTGGTCCAATTTGATATTCAAAAAGTTAATTTTTTCATCAGTGCATATCCTTACATATTTTTAGCCAATTATACATGTATGTGCATAAATCTATACACATACTGTCAATATACAGCAAATGTACACAGTATCTGCACAAATACACATACAGTACATATATATAAAAATGTCCACTCATACACACAAACTTTGTGGACAATTATACACTGTATTCGTATATGTGTACATCATGTTTATCCATGTATGTATACACGGTATATGTTAATTTTTTTTGCGGAATCGGTTATTTTTATTTTGTAAAGTGACCAGCATGTATGGATAAAGATACAATACTTTATATATATATATATATATATATATATATATATATATATATATATATATATATATATATATATATATATATATATATATATATATATATATATATATATATATATATATATATATACATATATAATAATATATATATAATATATATTTATAATTAACCCCTATTTTTTTTTTTATACGGGGATTAGCCCACCCGGGCACAGGTCACTGACCCACATCGGGGCCTGGGGGGCGATAATGCTAATAATAATAATAATAATAAAGAACCATAAAGAAATGCAAAAATGAAAAAAAAAAATCAAGAGTGAGAAACAATGTACCTGTATGTATGTTGTGTTGTCAATAGTAAGAGAAACAATTGAGACCCTGCAATTGTGTGTAAATGAGGCAGAAAGTCAGATCAGCAACCTGGGACTTGGTCACAATTTTTGTGATGACATATGTTCTTTGACTTTTCCATTTTTTATTCACGGTTTCTGTGCTGGTTCATATTTATTTACTAAAGTGGTTAATGTTTTAAAGCAAATTCTATTGAAATATGAATGGCAAATGAACAAAAATGAATAGAGGGACTTAAATGAGGTAGGTTAGGGAAAGGTACTTTGAAAATGTATGTTTTATTTCCGTAGACTTATGTACTATTAACCGACCTTTTGGATTATCCGTCGGCCCCTTCCCCCCCCATATGTGGTCGGTTAATCGAGGTTTTACTATATATATATATATATATATATATATATATATATATATATATATATATATATATATATATATATATATATATATATATATATATATATATATATATATATATATATATATATATATATATATATATATATATATATATATATATATATATATATATATATATATATATATATATATATATATATATATATATATATATATATATATATATGATTGATAGAGATAGATATACGAGTATAGACAGATAGAAGTAAAAAAAAATCAAAATGCTCCATGAAAATTTCCGAAAATTTTGTAAGGGCGACACAAAAGACTGGAGAGGGACACACGGGACTAGACAAAGGAACTCAAAGTACTAGGGACAGGGACACATAGACTGGAATAACTAAAACAAAGGACACAGTGTGCTATTTTTTATTGTTATTAGGATTAGAATTAACATTTAAACAGGAGAGATGAATACATAATATATGAGAGAGTTTAAACAATAGCTAGTGGTGGGAGACTCTGCTCTCAAGATTTTGATACACAGTTTTTATGCAATGTCCTTTGTTATCCTGTAAAACATTTCTATCTTTTGCAGCGTAATTGCAATATACATTATTTTACTATTTTGAAGAGAATATCCACCTATGTAACACTGTCCTATTTATGCTACTAGGGATAGGCTTGTATTGGTAACACTGAAGGAGTAGCCTTAACATTTACAGCTCTGGCAAAAATACAGCCGCACCTGTACCAGTGACTAGCACAGATCATTACTAGTACAGAGCATTATTAAAACAGAAATAATGACAGTAGAGCATAACAAATAAATTCAAAGAGAATCCAGACAGGCTAAGAAAGATGTTAAATAATGATAAGAATAAAGTGGGGGTAGGAAACGAAAAGGGAATAAAGATAGAACTACTAATTCTGGAAAAAAGAAAATGTGAGGTTGATCAGATTCCAACAGAAATTCGAAAACAAATGGTCAAGATGGGTTAAATGTTTGACAACAATATGTAATTCTTTGTTTCAAGGGAGACCTTCCAAGTGATTTCAAAATATCAATACTGGATTTGTATTTTTACCTAAAAAGCCAGGAGACTTAGAATGTCCCCAGTTTTGAACAATAAGCTTTATTTTTCATGCCTGCAAAATTTATTAAACATAATTTTAAATATAATAAAGTTTATAATAGAAAGTGAGTACTGTAGTTATTTGAAGAGGAAAACGGATTTAGAAAGTGAAAGGGAACTATAAAAGCTGTATTTGAGTTGGGAATTTTGAGTGAAAGGACTTCAGAGGTCCTAAGAAATTTGCACATTTGTTTCGGTGATTTTGAAAAGAAAAAAATAGGATAATGAAAAGCACAATATATTTAGATAGCTTGGAAAAATAAGCATTACTGAAGGAGATGTTAGAATTTTAATAATCATTACTGGCAACAGGAGGCTGTAGTGTCAGTAAATAACGAACATGCTAATTGGTTCACAATTAGACGGAGTAAGACAAGGCTGTGTTCTATTCCCAACATTGTTTTACATATATTCAACATTCTTAATGAGAGAAGTTATAAGTGATAATGAAGGACCAAAAGTTAATGGTAAAGTAATATAAAACATAAATTAAATCAATGATTTAATCACAGGTAGCGAAGACACATTACAAAAATTCATTAACTGATAAGTGGAAATTTTTGAAAAATATGGATTAAGAATTAATGCTGTAAGACTAAAGAAATGGATGCTTCCAAATCAGAACTTAAATAAGTGGAAAATTTGGGAAGCAACATTAGCTGTAATATTAGATGTACGGAAGAAATCATAACAAGAATAGGTCCAGCAAAAAGAACATTAATCTTCAGCAAAAGACCTAACGAAAAGAAACATAAACTTCAATTTGAGAAAAAAGGGTGGTGAAAGCTTTTAATGACAAGGACTATTTGTAAGGGTCAGAGGCGTGGGGCACTTCCAGCAGACACTAGTAAGATGTTGGAGGGCTTTGAAATGTGGTGTTATAGGTGAATGCTAAGAATAAGCTACACTGACAGGAAAACAAATGAGGTACTAACATTAGCAAAAACTTCAAGCAAAATAATTGAAATGTACACGAAAATGAAAATAAGATACTTGGGTCAAATAATTAAGGGTGTAAGGATAGCAACAGAAATATTAAGGAGCAAAGTTGAGGGTAGGAGGGCCAGGGGAAAGCAGAGACTAGGATGGATGAATGAAATTAAAAACTGGATCCCCAGAGAGATACAAAGCAACCCGAGAACGTTTAGAGTGAAGAACTGTAGTCGCAAACCCTCAGATATGAGGACGGTACTCTGATCGATTGGGTCACGTCACATGACGTTTTGATCATTTGTGAACCTGTTTGAATAAAATGAGTGGGCCTGGCCAGATTATGTTGCCGGAGCCTCAACGGTGTCAGACTCACACAAGGGAGGTGGCAGGCGGTACTTCTTCTCGCTGCTATCTAAGATTCCTGCTACGTGCTGGATAAGAACCCTATGTGGAGGAAAGCAAGGAATAAACCCTTTGTCAGACCTCTTTCAGTACTACGTCAACATTGTCAGGATGCTTCCCTTGGCACTTACTTGTTTGGTACTACAGTATCTTGCATCGTGTACTGAAGGGTCATGTAGGTAAAACGACCAAGTTTTTAGTATTTGTTTACTCACATCCTTGTTAGTATAATAAGGCGTGTTATTATGTTTGTAATGTTGAAGTTATTTGTATTAAAATACTACGGTCATCACCTATAAACTTTACTCGGATACAAAGTATATGTGGTGCTTTATTTGTATTGTTTATTTATTGTATCATTGTTACTATATTATTTTATTTATTTATTTTTAATCTTGAGAATCATACGTGTATATTAAAGGAAGGGAACGGATTAAGTAATTAATTATCCGGTGTATATACTAGTACTGCACACACTCACTGTAACTGTTGTGTCGGGACCAATGAACAGATTACTGGTCGGTATGTGAACTTCGACTGTTTCGTTGTGTACACACTGAAGCGGTTTAAATTAAAATATATGTTATACTTAAAATGTAGTAACATTAGTTTCAATGTGTTAAGTAAAACAATGTAATGTTTATTGTATTAGTTTCGAATACTAATGAGTGAGTGAGTGAGCGTTTGATAACTATTTGTGGATTCGCAAGTTGAACGTCTTTGCTATGACGTCATTGCCGTCCACCTCTCAGCGCCGGCTGGGCCTCAGTATTGGGCCGGCAGTTGTATATTTTAGTGGTATACCGTGTTGACCTTGCTCGACTTTTGAGAACACCAAGTATTACATAGTGATTTATATGTGAGACTGTGTAGTAATACTGTAGGATTCAACGGTAAATACCTTACTTGTTTATGAGTTACGTGTGTTGGATAACCACGTTGTTTAGGCTAGTGTCTAGACTAAATAAGTGGTTAATCATTAGGTTGTTGGGGGAACCGGTGGTAGAAGCGGTACCGTTCTTGCCTCGCAAGCAAGATGTCACGGGCTCGATTCCCGGGCCGGTGGAAGTTGTTTGGACTTACTTCCTCGCCCCCATTAGTCCCTGTTCACCTAGCAGTAAAGTAGGTACCTGTTGTAAGTTGCGAATTCGTATTCAGGGAGTTGTTGGAGCTTCCAATAACTTGATGACATAAACCACTGACTCTTCAGGCTTCTACGCCCTTAACTCATGAGCCGTAAAGGCAAGCATGAACCTTGCATTCTTCCCTGTTGGGCACTGTAACGCTTCTGCGCTTCACCTTACACGAGGTAAGTAAGTAAAAAAAAAAAAAAAATTACGTTGACGTTCGTTATTTTGTCACTCGGTTGAGTAGTTCATTTGTTCAGTTTTAATTTGTATTTATTTATTTTTGTACATACGGTTATAATTATTGTTTGTTTATTTGTTAATATAGTTGGTAATTAAAGCCACTGCATGATTTTCAATATACCCCATAGTAGTGAGGTGATAATTTGGTGGGATCTATTCCTGGACCTATAGTGAATTTGTGAATTTGTGACTGTTACACTCTATGAGGCCAAAGGGTCGTAACAATAACACACACACACGGCACTGTAGCATAAGGGCCGCCCACGCTTATGACACATACGTTCTCACATAAAGTCCCAGAGGTTTGGCCTTGTGTTTATAACTCCTGTCAAACATAAATCCTTCACGATCAGTTACGCCAAACCGTCGCTTTTTTTTTTAAATAGGTATATATCTTTCGCTCACTCACATGAGAGCCTCCGAATCTTTTCTTCGCAGGTCTTCAGCTTTTGTGATATAGGAATCTCGTCCTTGGTCTTGCCTCACTTTACTATGTGTTTCTAACCACCTCAACCCCCAAGCACAGATCTAGTACTGTTGCGTCATATTTAAACCACTTACGAACATTATTGACCCTTCCTAGCCCCTGTGTTGCCAACCTGTGGTAAGAACATATCTATATCCTGTTTTTATCATGCATGACCGGTTTGTAAGACTAGAATCGCTTAAAATGTTCCAAGCATTATCACGATCACTAATTATCCAGCAATCGAATCATTGACCATAAATTCAGAATCAGCATGCTCTGGAGTACCTACTGTATACTGAGATTTTCAACAAAATCCAATTTTGGGCCGAAACCGCCAAAAATGTATGTCTTAGTAATTTTTTCGACCGAAATATACTATTCTCTCGGATTTGGAATTTAAAGGGAGATCACACTTGGAACTTTGAGTTTAAGATCAGCCGGGAGACATCAAGCGTGTCGGGTCCTGAAGCCTCAAGTCGCCAGAGCTCGAATCCCATCCGGGGACCATTGATAATTTTGTACACTGTATATGTATTTATAATGAGTATATCACATTTGTAGCGATAGTGGCGTAACACTAACTTATTTATAGTCTGAAGGCAGTATATACATCTTTGTACACATAAGCAGTGGTTAGAGACGCTACTTGTAGAGGATAATGTATGTGACACCCCAACCACAATTAAGGTTTCTTTTTAGTGTTCATTCCAGCCTTGTTAGCCACGATTGCTAGTTCTGTTGGTAGTTCATCCCAGGCTCGTTAACCACGATTGGTTGGCTGCCCATATGTTTATTAAGTTTCCAAACTGAGCTACGACCTATCTTGGTTCGCTTCCTGAAGAACTTGTAGTAGAGGGTCTCAACCAGGAGGAGGAGTGGTGCCAGGAAGACGCTCACCAGCAGCAGAATGAAGGGGGTGATCAGAGGCGTGAGTCCCAGAGCCTCAACGGTGTCAGACTCACACAAGGGAGGTGGCAGGCGGTACTTCTTTTCGCTGCGATCTAAGATTCCTGCTACGTGCTGGATAAGAACCCTGTGTGGAGGAAAGCAAGAAATAAACCCTTTGTCAGACCTCTTTCAGTACTACGTCAACATTGTCAGGATACTTCCCTTGGCACTTACTTGTTTGGTACTACAGTATCTTGCATCGTGTACTGAAGGGTCATGTAGGTAAAACGACCAAGTTTTTAGTATTTGTTTACTCACATCCTTGTTAGTATAATAAGGCGTGTTATTATGTTTGTAATGTTGAAGTTATTTGTATTAAAATACTGCGGTCATCACCTATAAACTAATCCTATATATGACCCATAAGTCGATGCTAGATACTACCAAGTAAAAAGTTACTAACAACTTTACTCGCATACAAAGTATATGTGGTGCTTTATTTGTATTGTTTATTTGTTGTATCATTGTTACTATATTATTTTATTTATTTATTTGAATCTTGAGAATCAGACGTATATATTAAAGGAAGGGAACAGAATAAGTAATTAATTATCCGGTGTATATACTAGTACTGCCACGTAAACACAAAAGATTTAATGGACATATATAGGCACAGGCAGGAATGCACACACTCACTATAACACACACACACAACACTGTAGCATAAGGGCCGCCCACGCTTATAACACATACGTTCTCACATAAAGTCCCAGAGGTTTGGTCTTGTGTCTATAACTCCTGATAAACATAGATCCTTCACGATCAGTCACGCCAAACATCGCTCTTTGTAGGTCGGCAACCCTGTGTGTTTTGTGGCAGTTGGCACAGTGACTGGATAGTGAAATCAGGGGTCCATGGATGGGTTTCAGGGGGTCCGTGAAGGTATGTCATACACTGTATGAGGCAATGAATTTTCAATAAAATAAAGTATATTCATTGCATGCAAAGTTGTGTTTATGTGCTTATGTGCATTTTTCTAGGGAGGGGGTCCATAGTTTTCACCAGATTCTCAAAGGGGTCCGTGACTCAAAAAAAGGTTATGAACCGCTGTGTAGAGTATGGACGAAACTGACGCCACGAGTGCTAACGACGATTTGAGTCGAAAAGGGTCCATGGGCGGTTATATGTCACTAGCCTTCATGCTGAAACACACATATCCACAACACACATAACACGTAACTGCGCATCTACAACACACAAACGGACAGCAACACCTTGAAGTGTTCATTGTTTACAACAGATCTTACGGAATTATTATCCAACACCAACACCGGAGAGGGAAATATTACAACCGCATGCGACCCTCTGCAACACCAAATTATCAGTGATTCATAAATAATTTGCATATTCACTCCACAAAAGCTTTTGTTAAACAATTCTCTCCGAGTGAGTATTTCAGTGGGACTCGGAGCATCCTGAGGTTCTCGTTGATCCCAACAGGCATTTCAGTTATTCTATGTAGGATGCATTGGCGGATGTCAAATCCACCTCCAGAAGAAGGTATAGCCAGACCCTCCCCCCGTCTGCGAGAAGGGACTCACTAATGGCTGTGATGTAGATGTTATACCTTGCCAGCTCTTTTGCCACAAGGGCGGTTCTTCCTTCAGGGCACTCATTTGTGCCAGTATCCAGAAGGGTCCTGACATTCCATATAGCGATCATAAGAGGTTGTATAGTTGTTGTTTTTTATCTGTGATTATGATTGGGTTTTAGACCACTTAAGAATGACCTTACTGGGTGCGGTTGCCCAGTCATGTTGGTTCTTTAGGCAGACTATGTTTAGGAAATTTTTTCTAGCTCCCTCCCTATGTGGGGTGAGCAGAGTGGCTCCTCAAAAGAGCTGCTCAATCGCACAGACAGGACCAGATTACACTGAGGCCTATATCCCAGTGCATAAACAACCATCTTATCTATGCCACCCATGTGCATAGTTGTGGCTAGAGACTCCCGGTAGTCATCTCTGCCTGTTCCTGTCGCCACTCGTCCGCCGCCATAGAACTTTTTGGGGATAGGAGTTTTGATGAGGAGAGGTATGATAATCTGGATGATGGCTGTGCAAATGTTGCAACAACTGGGGAGAGGGAGAGTTGTAATGGACTGCAGATAGCCTAGTTTGTTGTGTTTCGCCTTAGTAGCCTGTCCATCATGCTTTGCCTTCATCTGCTGGTGCAGCCGTTGGGTTACCATGTTGGTCTCCTCTTCCACCTATACTTCCGTTGGGGGGGTCTTGCTGGAGCTCTGTAAGTATGTCTGCCTGATACAGGGCCCCACAGTAGATTTTTCATTTGGGGTTTACTCCCGTAGCCTTATACTTACCAAGGTTAATCCGCAACGCATCAGGGCAGTGGTTGATAGGTGCCAGGACGTGTCCACATGCCAGTGGGCCGATGTGCCGTCCCTCTGGGGCCCACTGCTGCTCCGAGATCCCCTACTGGTCTAGCCTCGGCCCATGAGGCACCCAGTTACCGTGTGTTGCCACGAGGAGGCACAGCAGGAGTCTTGATGGTGAAGAGGCTGTGTACTGGCAGGGGAGGACTTATGCAAGTTGCTACCCTGTTCGCCAAGGCGACTAGCCAGAGGCGGTAGCTGAAAGCAAGAGGAAGCAAGCAGTGCTTGTACCGTAGCACTAGCATAATGCTGCCACACTAGATGCATTAAACCACCCTGCACACACACACACACACACCAACTCACTGATGGTTCAACACCATCTGCAGTGGAGAGTTCTTCTGTGTGGCCATCCCTGCACCGAACTTGAAGACCTTCTCCCGCAGTCGATACAAACTGCAGTTACTGCCGTAATTAAACATTAAAAAATTCTCCTCAATCATGAACACGTAGGGTTCTCTCAAGGCCTTCTGCAGCCCTTCTTCAGGTGTCGCCACAAAGTTTTTGGGGTCCCTCAAGACGATGTCGGTCCATATCTTATGGAGGATGGGGTCCTTCGAAGTCTGAGGAAGACAAATAGTTGTTCATTTCACACTTTTATTTGCTTTACTCAGTAGAAGTTATCTTGAGCCTTTTATCTTGTCAAAACACAAGCTTTAGGTCTCCGAACATGCCAACTAATTCCGAGGTTTGATTTATCAGCTAAGTGTTTTTCATTCCTAGTCTAAGTTACTTCTACCACCATCCCATCTACACATCGTCTTTGTTAACTCTCCCAGCCAGCTATTGCTGCACTGCCTGCTTCAGATGTTTGAAACTGTCTCAGTACCAACCAGAACATGAAACCAATACGAATGCATACATCTGAAGCAGGCAGTGCAGCAATAGCTGGCTGGGAGAGTTAACGAACTTTTGGGTGGGACTGCACAGTCAATAGCAAAAGTTCGTCCCAACCCACCTGCATGATATGAGGCAGGTGATCTGGTAACATTGTATGGGGAAGAGTTGACAGATATGCCTTAATTGGCTACTTGCTTAGGATTTTGGATTGGAGATTGAGAGATTGACTCTGAATACATTTCTTGTAAAATTGTTAGAGAAATACTGTATAATTATGACATTACTTTATAATGAAAATATCATTAGCATGAACAATACGCATTGGCATTAGCAGTACGAGTATGTCTTGTTCCCCAGTTTTGAACCATCCTGCTGCAAGCCATATACTTCTTAATAACATTATAGTCCTACATTTTACACACTAATGATATTTAAGTAATATAAAATAAATGTATTCTTATTCAATGTCCGATCATAAATCTTAAATAACTAGTAACTTAAAGCATATACGTGATTTCTTTTCCATACAGTGTTACCAGATCACCTGCCTCATATCAAGCAATTGGATTGGGACGAACTTCCGCTGTTGACTGTACATACACTCATGCACGTCTTTTGGCTCACAGGTGTGACTTACTCTCAGTCTCTCCACCTCTGAGTTGCCTCTCTGAAGGCCCAGGTTGTGGGTGCCAGCCTTGAGGATCCCCGCTGTGTCAGTGAAGGGAGGCGTGATGAGTGGCACCGTCAGGGAGGAGATAAGGACGCTCGTATAGAAGGTGATGGTCAGCCACGTCGTTAGCACCACGGTGATGAGGAAGATGCGGCTAAAAACGTTCTCGGTGGAGAGACTGCCTGGAGGAACAAAGGCAGGGGAGTATATTTTGATATAAATATAACTAGGTGAAAAGGAAAATACTCTTCCATTCCTTGATGTTAATATCCACCGTCTTCATAATAGTTTCGAGACAGCCTTATACAGAAAACCAACTTTCACTGGTTTGAGTTCAAAATTTTCATCTTTTATTCCTCTTAATTACAAACGTGATCTCGTACGTACTCTTACCAACAGAGCCTTTAATATATGTTCAAGTTATTTCCACTTGGATATTGAACTAAAATACATAAAGGAACTACTTTTTAACAATGGTTTCCCTAAGAGATTTACAGACACTTATATTGGCACAACCCTTAATAGGTTTTTTAGTCCCACACAGCCTCAAACCCACACCGTCCCTAAATATTCTATCTCACCATCCCGTACACAGGCCCACTCAGTTTCACCCTTAGAAATAAACTTAAGAAGCTTTTCAATGAATTCTATCCACAAATTTCTCTTCGACTAATCTTTAAAACCCAGAGTTAAATTAAAAAATTCTTTAAAACTAAAGACACCATACCCACACACCTGCAATCCTCAGTTGTTTATCAATTTACGTGTGCTAGCTGTAGGGCAGCATATATAGGTAAAACTAAAAGACATTTGACAACTCGCATCCATGAACACTTGGGCCGTTCCGTTCGAACAGGCCAGTTAATCGCACAACTACCACATTCAGCTATTCGTAACCACTCCCACCAACATGACCACCCGTTTTCGCCGTCTGATTTCTCAGTTCTTGGCAGGAGCGACTGTGATACAGACCTCCTCATTTTGGAAGCATTACACCAGTATAAAGCAAAGCCATCGCTTTGTGATACTGATATGTCCTCTAGTGAATTGTAGTGTTTTTCTCACTAAGGCTCGTCTGAATTAAGGTAATACCCCCTGTATATTTTATTTCATACTTTTTATTCCTGATTTTAGCTTTGTACAGTATGTAGGTCTCTCGTCATTTTTGTCGGTTTTGAATTGGATTGCTCTTTTTTTTATTTTTAAAGTTTATCGAAGGTAAATTTTCGTATAATATTATGTTTTTATTGTATATCACCTGTATTTTTTAAACTTTTTCAAAACTTTTGTGTTTTTAGGCTCTGATGATGGAAAACGATTATTTCCGAAACGTTAGCGATTAAAAGAAGCCCACATGGTCAAGATGTTTGTGTTTACCCTGGTTCTCCTCTTCGTTATAAAACTACGCTTTCCACGTAACAAGTCTATTGCTGAAATTAAATGAATCTTCACGCACCTGGTAATGCGATTATACGACCTCAGCATCAGCGACTGGATGCAGGTCAGTGACTTCCCTGGTTTAAATGCAGAATTTGGAGACGGAGAGATAATAGCATCTCAATCAGAATACCGTCCTTATATCTGAGGGTTGGCGACCACAGTCCTCCACTCTTAAACGCCATTGGGCTGTTTTTACCAATTATCCAAGATTTCGTATCTCGCCGGGGACCCAATTTTTTTTATTTCATTCATCCATCCTAGTCTCTGCTTTCCCCTGGTCCTCTTAACCTCAACTTTGCCCATTAATATTGCTGTTATTATTCCCTCATCACTATTTATATGACTTAAATATCTCATTTTTATATTTCTGTACATTTCAAGTATCTCTCTTAAAATTTTAATAATCTTTATACCCTGTACTTCATTTGTTTTCTTGTCAATGTAACTAATTCTCAACACTCGACCTATAACACCACATTCCAAAGGCCTCCAACTTTTTCCTGGTGTCTGTTGAAAGTGTCTACGCTTCTGACCCATGTAACAGTCCTGACCACTAGCATTTCAGCAGCCTTTTCCTCAAACTAAATACTGTTTATTTCTTTACCTATTCTTGTTATGACTTCTTTCTCACATCTACCATCACAGCTAATGTTACTTCCTAAATACAAAAATTTTCACTTAAGTTCCCCGATGCTTACCATAATATTTATTTTAGGATTTATTTCGAATTTGGGAACAGCCATTACTTTCGTCTTTACAGCAGTAACTCTTAAACCATAGTTTTCACCTTTTTCCACAAATCTGTTAACGAGTTTTTGTAATGCCTCTTCACTATCTGTGATAAGGACAGTATCATCTGTATAACGTGTACAGGGGTGTTTAATGATACTTTACCATTAATTAACTTGCATTCCTTCATTATCACTTCTGTCATTAAGAATTCTGAATATATATTATGCAATGCTGGACATAGAACACAGCCTTGTTTTACTCCCTGTCTGACATTGAACCAATTAGTAAGTTCGTTATTTACTAGCACTCAGCCTCCTGTTGCTTGTAAAGATTTTTTTTAGGATTCAAATATTTCCTTAATTAATGCATATTTTTTCCAAGTTTATTGTGTTTTACCTTAACAAAAACTCATTTCAAAATCAACAAAGCAGCTATAAAAATACTGTATACAATTTCTTTGGACCTCTAAATCCCTTTCACTCAAAATTCTCAAACAAAATATAACTTCTCTAGTTCCTTTTCCCTATCTAAATCTATTTTGATCTTCAGGTAACTCACTGTCTCTTCTAGTATTTGTCTTATACTTAAGAATATGTTTAATAAAATTTTACAGGCATGACTACTGCTAATTGTTCAAAACCGGATGCACTCTGAGGCTCCTGGCTTTTTAGGTAATAATTACCCATTTGTTTTGTAAATTCTGCTGGAAGTTGGTCAACCCCACAATCTCTACCATTTTTCATTTTGTTCACAGCTGCCTCACCTTCTGATTCCAGAATTGGTAGTTCTAGCTTTATTTCCTTTTCGTTTCCTGCCTCCACTTTATTCTCATCATTGTATACTTCTGCGTACTCTGCCCATCTCTCTTTTACGTCTTCTGCCTCAAAAAGGATCTTATTGTTTTTGCTTTTAATAATCAAACCTCATTTACTTTCTTTTATGTGGTTCATTTATCTAATGTTTCTCACTTCCTCTTGTCTTTCTTTGTCTATCTATTTTAATTAGTCATCCATTCACCTTTAGTCTCGTTCATCCTATGTCCTAAAGGTTTTCCCCAGATTCTAACATTAGTGCTTTATAATGATTAAATTGTTGCTCTGCTTCTTGTTCTTCAAAGTCACCCTCGAGCAACACTAAAAGTCTCTTAACGGTTTCAATTTCGTATTCTATCCCTGCCCCTGTTTTCAGCTTCACTAAATCCTATTTGATTTTTTCTATTGTTTTTAATTTGATTTTGTTTTTTATGTTTTAGCCTCACTAAACTCATTACTGGGACGTGGTCTGACCTACAAGCTGCCCTGGATAGGTCTTGGTTCGGGTTATTGAATTTCATTTATAGAGATGTCTACGGTGTTCTTCAAACCATGTAATTCCAATTATCATCTTGTTTTCCTTACAAAAGTCAATTCATATTTTCCTCTCTCATTTCTATTACCCAACCCATGTGGTCCTACTTCTGGCCCTTCATTCCCTTTCCCAACCTTTGCTTTAATATTACCCGTTATAATTATAATGCGTGATTATAATCAGACATTCATTAAATTTCACAGTGTCTTTTGCTTTCTTTAAGTCTTCATAAAAAAATTCAAAGTCTTCAACCTCACTTTCATTTGTTGGTGCATAAACCTATATTATTACCAAGTCCATCATGGGTTTAGCATTAAACTTGACAAACAAAATTATCTGACACTGCCCAACATCCCTTTACACGACTGCTCAACTTCTGGTTTACAAGAATACCAACACCTCTGTCATGCTTTTCAACACCTGAATATATGAAGTAAATATCTTCACCACTTAGGGGATTGGAACCTGTCTACCTTATTTCACGTGATCGCAGAATGTCGCACTGCAGTCTTTTCATTTCCCTACAAACATATGCATACTTGCCAGCATCATATAATGTCCTCACATATAGTGTTCCAATCTTGATTTTGTGCTTGTACTACATTCTTAATCTACCAGTCGTGTTTAACACTTTAAAGCAAAGTATTCCTTAGGTATTTTACTCTGATTAACGCCAGGCGATTTTATTCAGCTGGGGGAACCTCTTAGGCTTTGTTTTACTCGTACAGTATTTACTAGCTCTAGGTGGCACACTGCCCGCAAGCACGGGGGGCAATGCGGTTGGACCTTTAGTTGATGATGATCCAACAGTAACACCCGAAAATTGTTTGTTGTGTCTGTCCGTGGTTATTCAAGGGCAAGAGATGAAGTTCATCAGGATGGATAACCCAAACCTTTTCTCATCAAAAGACGAATTACAAAGAGTAGAAAAAGTTGGGAATGAACTATGGGATATATGAGGTCACTTATACCTCACTGGTAAGAGCCAGCCCATCGCCAGAGGCTCTTTTATCCCGTCAACAACTGCCTGGATAAAAATTATTCTACCCACCTTGATTCAACATTAGTGTGTGGACGGTGAACAAGGAGTCTTGGAGAGAAGACGGAGGGACAGAGCGAGAGTAGGAGGCCAGGATGTGGTATAGGAGGGGCGCTATCAGGAAGAAGGCGAGGCAGGCCAGCCAGGTGTTGGCTTGTAGCTGGCGGGTGAAATTAGACCAAGGGTCGGCCTCAGGCCTCTTGACGACGAGGCTGTACCTGCCGGTGACGACAATTTGGTGTATCCAGAGAGTTGAGGGGTGTCTTACCGGCAACACAGCAATAATTTTATAACGTTTGAAAACTATAGTCGTAATGGTTATGATTAGGCTTTGGATAATTATGCACTTAAAAATGGCTAGATATGCATGCAAATATACAAATATATTACTACTAATAATAATAAAAACCAATAAATCATTTTATTTTCCATTTCATTCATATAAGTCCCTCCCTACTATGGTACAAGGTGTTGTCTGTGTATGTCTGCATAATAACTCGAGAACTAGTACACTTCTGCATGTCTTGATAAGTACATTCACCAGCCCCACCCCGACGACTGTTAAGTTTTTGGAATCAAGAGATTAAAGGTTAGTTTTAGTCGCTCGTGCAGTGTAGTATTACTGATCTGTGTGTTTGTCTGTGGCTGTGAGGAAGTATTAATGCATCAGTTCCGGCCAAAAAGCACTCGACACTTAGCAAATATACTTTATAAGTTTAAGGAACTATTTTGTTTATATTTCTGTCAGATTGATACGAAGATAAAAAAGCTACAAACCAAAGTAATAGAAGAGTAAATTCATGTTCACATTCCACCCCCCCCCCTCTACTGTGACCCCCGAGATGACAGAAATCGCCAAAAGCATCAAGGGAATTTTGTCGAAGCTGTACGTACAGTCAGAGAGCAACAATGTCGGGAAAAAAACGAGTGAATACTTGTCTGGCGTAACTTCCATAAGCGTGTCGTTATTGGTTAGCAGGATATAAAGCACTATTGATTGCTCGTACTGGCATTGTATTTGTGTCCTGAAACAGTGTAGTCGTGTCCTCTGAATTCTCGAGGGCGGACACACACCTTGGAACGTAAGACCTTGTAAATAACTCACCAGACGTACTCCTGACAGAGTCGAGTTCACCTGCTACACTTTTTACTGAACCATCATAAAATGCCATCTTTATGAGACATTCCAATAATATTTCACCCAGTAACTCCATCCCACCTCTCTTCTTTCACGAGTTGTGTTTTTCATTATCATGCCGACGCAGAGAGAGTAAAAAAAAAGTCACCATCTCGACTTCTGAATATTTCACGAGAACCTTAGTGTCCTAAATGACCTTACACCTCATACATGATTAAAACGGATGTATAAACGATGAACCATTTACCACACGACAACAACAATGACGACGACGATGATTGATTATAATGACGATGAAGATGATGACTGATTAAAATGACGATGATAATTGATTAAAATGACGATGATGACTGATTACAATGATGATGATTATAATGACGATGACTGATCACAATGGCGATGGCAATAATGACCGATTATATTGACGATGACAACGATGACTGATTACAATGATGATGATGAACTTATTACAACGACGATGACTATGATTGATTACAGTGACGACGAACAGTAGTCCTCAATTTTCTTCCCAAACAGACGAGCCAAGAATTATAATCTCTAAAATAAATAACTAAAACCCGTTGAGAAGGATTTTGTCTCCGCGCTGTGTTAATAACGGGAGATAAGAGAATGTATCACGCCCACAGGATATCATTTTACCAACTATGTATCACTTGAACTCACAGGGGAGACTTTTGTGGATGATAATGGGGAGAGTATCGACCATCAATGTCCCGCACCCATGAGGAATATCCGATGGTGTTTTGTGAGAGAGGATTATGAGTGGTGGGCATGAGACGTGTGTTGTGAGTTACTGTTGTACTGAGAAGGATTATGATAGTAAGTGACGCAGCTTTTTAAAAATGCGCGACACAACGTAATGATTCCCTGGTGACTGTTTTGAAATGTGTGTGATGCACAAGTGGAGAAATGGTTTTCGCCAAAGGAGCGTCAGTATCGACGCTCATTGTTTGTTAATATATTGCACACACGCACGCACACACACACACACACACACACTCCATTACACTAGGGCCTCAACACTCTCCAGGTAGTGGAATCCACTAAGCTCCACGGCGTCACTACAGATAAACGGAACTGGAGAGTGAGTCAATACAACCATCATATCTTCCTGCTATCAACTCAACATCCTCCGTCGTCTCAAGTCCCTCTTGAATGTTTACACAACATTCATACTTCCTAAACTCACCTATAGCTCCCCGGTTCACCACGAGGACTCCTAGAAGGCGAGAAAGACTATTCTCTCTCCCTCTCTTACACCATACTACCTTGAACTGACCGCTGCAAGAATAACTCTATTCCAACCATTGTAAATATCACCAAAAACCTCTTAGATAACTTGTGTGTTCACTCCTTGCCAATTTCACTTGTGTTCCGTAACTGTGCTGAAATTCATTATTATTACTTTGGTATTATTATCATTATTACGGTGTTATTATTATTTTATTATTATTATTACACACACACAAACCTCCTTCCCCCCAATCCCGTCACACACTCAGAAAGGCAATATAATAACTGCCGAAGCCTTGGATTCTAACCTAAGTACTCACTCGATGTTGCCAGACGGGAAGGTGAAGTCAACAACACTGGAGCGCTGGTAAGTGTAGTCGAGGGCAGTAATGCTCACGTCTCCCTGGTCAGCCACGAGCTCCCCTACCAGCCCAGTCCACGACCCGTTCTCATAGTTGCCGAACTGACGGTCAGGAGCGTTGTGACATTCGTATCTGTAGAGGGAACTGGCTGTCAGCAGGGAGGAAATGATAGGTTGGAGGGGGGAATTGTTCGTCAACAGGAAGAAACAGCAGATAGTAAGGAAGAAATTGATAGTTAGAATGAAGACAATGATACCACACACACACACACGCAGACAAAGAGTAATAATCTTTGGGCGTTGATGTGTATATGAGGTGATTTACAGTAATGGCGGCGCTAATTGTAGGAGACTGTACCCGAATGTTTGTCATACAGTACTACGCCCATCACCACCCACACCCACCATCACCCGCAACGCCACACCACACCACACCATAACCTGCAATGCCACACCACACCATCACCTGCTACACCATATCAATCATCTACAGAATCTACACAATACTATCACCAACCACACCACACTACACTACACCACACCATACCATCAGAGGCGGGAGAATGATGCAAGAGGCCAGGTGGAGCAGGGAGTCGTATAGCCTTCAACTGCCCATTATGGCCACCAGACCTGTCCCTCGGCTACCACTGACCGGCCCCATGTCTGAATGAACTTCTTTGTGGTGGTGGAATGGCTGGTGGACCTCCGATGGTGACAGTAACTCAAGGTAAGAGAAGTAGGGAGGGAGGGAGGGAGCAGAGAGGGACGCTCAGTGGGTGGTCCTTCACGGTGTGGGAAGGACATTTCTATCTAGGTTAAAGGTTTCACCTCTATTGGGATATTATTACACCTGTGCTTTATCATATATCAAAGTCATACGTTAATGTTGACGTCTTTGTGAGTAAGCTTCTTTAGGGTGAATAATGTGTGTGTGTGTGTGTGTGTGTGTGTGTGTGTGTGTGTGTGTGTGTGTGTGTGTGTGTGTGTGTGTGTGTGTGTGGGCCCGAACCAATGAGGGGTGATGGCAGGTTGGGTCTGTTTTGTGGTAATTGGAATAAACGGTTTGTATTCCTTTCACTTCACGGGCGAGTGTTAGTTAGGCTAAGATACGTGTAACATTTTCCACTACTTCATCTTGTACACTCACCCACGTGATCACCCAAAAGGAAAAAAAAAACTAAAAACTCGGTTCAAACAAACGAAGGTACGACAAATCCATTTTTTTCTTTTTTTACCCAGACCGAATGAAATCGAATTTAAGCCGTGATGAGCCTGGGGGTATAAGAGCCAGCTGACAGTTCTTGCGTGGGCTGCGTGTTTCTATTTGAATATTAATAAGATACAGTCGAAACTTTTCACATGAAGATTAGGCACTACAGCAAAAACCTAATGATCAAACACCCTAATGCTATACCTGGGGACAGTAGGTTAGGTTAGTTCTAAATTATGTTAAGTTAGATAAAATTAGGTTAAGATTGGTGTTTGGTTAGGTTAGTTTAGCGCTAGCGTTAAGGTGGTTAATGTTAAGTTGAACTGGTGGGGGGAGACAGTTACCAAGTGTGGATTAGTGTTAATGACATGGTGTTGTGTTTCGGGTACGAATAATTAAGATGTTTAATGAGTCTATAGAATCCGGGTGAGAATTCCCCAGAAACTCTCCTGCCGGCAGAATACTGTGAGGCGTTAGTGTGGCAGAGTGAGGCCGTGTGTGGGTGTGTTGTCATGGCCTGCAGGGAAAGCTGGAATACAAGAAGAAAAATCAAATCTACTTATTTTGTCTCAGTATATATAACTACTGTATAGAAATTATTAAAACAAAGGAAAAAAAATATCGATAAATTATTTCTAAAATAAGTAAAACTCATCTCCTGATAAAAAGGATTTGCTACAAGATAAATAAAAAATGTACACGATAAACGATCACGGTTTTATTCCTTGGTCAGTTTGGGGGGTCCATGAGATGAGAGACGACTGGACATGAAGTGGGCAGACTCAAAATATTACTCCTAATAAAATAAAATCCACACGAGGCGGTGTTTGACTCTTACTTCTGGAAACCACATAAACGGTACACAACTTGGTGGTCCTATACAGTTGCCGCGGATATACTGCACGAGTATTATATCATGATGTCTGGATCGGGCGACTCAAGTATCTCCAGACAGCTCTCCAGGTTTACTATTAAGGTTCTCAAGACTGGAACTAACCCGAAAATTACTTGATTTCCCGTAGCTGTTCTGTCGTTAAGTAAAAACGAGTCTGGGAGGCGAAGGTCGCCACTAACAGAAACACGTGCGCTCCTCAACACTCATGTGATGCTGCTACACAGTAACATTTAGCAGGCAGACCCTTACTTCCAGTCAAATTAATAGCTTATTCCTCCACACATTAATATTTTCTAAGATGCTCTACCTGAGATTGTGCTGTGTTGTTTTAAGAGTTAAATCTGTGTATTATGTCAACAGAGTTTGCTTATGTTTGCTCAACTCATTTGAAAAATATTTAACGAAATAGTATGCGGAGCCTTCACTACCCACTACCATTTGAGCTCCAGGTGTAGCTCTGCCTTTCGTAAGACGTGGGTGTGGGCCTCAGGCGTCAAGGGGTGATATAATCTTGTGTGAATCCAATAAGAAGTTCAGGACAACCTTCCTAGTGAATGTTGTTTGTGAGGTTACACCCCGCCATGGGAGTTGATCTGTTCTGCACGTAATGTTCTCACTCCAGGGTTTATTATCTATGTTTAGCACACAAGAGAACCCTTCAGGGGATCTGGCGGCAGCACATTCTGGATCGGAACATTAGCAGAGGACAATCATGGGTTGTTCCCGCCATGTGTGGGTTACCCCTCAGGCAGCAGCAGTGTCCTAAATACCACTATAATCTTCCTCCAAGATCCGCTATAGCAGATAACTCACACCAGAGGGGATTAATGGAGCATTGTACCGCCTCTCAGTTGCTCTCATTGGGTTACGACAACGAGTTGTTTGCTCTGTTAACTCTTAAGTTACGTAACTCCTACTGAGTTTGTTTATATTTACTGGATATATTTAAGCAGATTGTTGGTTAAATAAGCTGGACTTCAGGACTTGGGTTTTCGTGTCCATTTTCCAGCGAGCCTCCTGAGTTAGGTTTGTGTATTGTACATCCATCCCGTAAGCGAGTGACGTACACCCAAGTCAGATATCATATCATTAAGATTGACGTCCTTTGTGGCTTCTGCGTGTTGATCTGACGTGACCCTTAAGGCTGGTGGTATTGCACGTTTATCCCTTTTCCTGCCCGGCTGAGATTGTTATGGGATTTTCTACTCCAGTTTATGTTGTGTTCGGGTTCAAAGGATCTTGGCGAGGCGCCCAACTGCCTTCCTGTCTGACTTAGTAAATTTAGTGACAGGGAGGTAACTACTGTTCCCCACCCATACATCGTGTGTGTGTGTGTGCTAGTGGGAGTTATTTGTCCATAGTGGAGTGAATGTAACCATGACGAAGACGTCGTGTTAGTTATCACACAACAACCGCATAAGTTGCATTTACTTCATGTGACTCTCAGAACCACTCACCGGCGCTCAAATTTCGTATAACATTTAGAGCTGTGTCACACTGAATGGTGATCAATTGAACATCTTTCTATGATCTTCTGGATTGAATCTGTTTAAACCATAAAACAATATGACGAAATAATATCACCTCCCCGTACTCCACGTGCCTCTGTACCACCTGTTGGCACTCTCGTCTACTCGTCTCTCCAAAGGGGTTTTAATCCCAAACATTCTACTTACATCTTCATTTCTCATCATCTCTTGTGTCACAACACTGTAATACCAGAGCCTTACACCCACACACACAACAGCTGCAACATGCGCACCTCCATGCAGTGTACACGATCCCTAAACTCTCCCAGATATTGAGTGCTCTCGGGACTTCCCTTATCCTTCTTTGCGTTATTCTGTTACAACTTCCACTATTCCGCCTCTATCCTTGTTAAACTGTCCTCCCAAATATATAGATTAATTTAAAGCCTTCAACTCTTATCTACTTAATGTGAAATTACTTTACTTTTTTCTGCAGACTTCATCAAAAGGACCGCCCTCGGCCCCACACACGCCATCGTCTACATACTTTACAGTAGACTTGACAAATTCAACCTAAAGTCATCACCACATTTTCAGTTACCTCCAGCAGACACAAACTATTACATTTATTTCGCGGTATTACTTTGTCTGTGGACAAAATCCATTACCAAGGTATAGCTTCACACATTCTTGGTCCGCTGCGTGAGCTACTTCACAGCACTTACACATACATAACGCTCACACGCTCGCTACGTCCATCACGAAACTCATAACCCCTTCACTACTGGGACGCCACTTTTAATATTTTTTGTTAATGTTACATGATTTTATTCCGGTCAGAGGGGACGTCGTACACAAGGGGTTAGCAGTGTTCAATAGCATTAGTATCCTTAGGTACGTCATCACCTTCAACGGTGCTTTCCTAATTGTCTAATCTCTAATGTTTTCTCCGAACCAGTGGTCTTCAACCCGCGGTCTTAGGGTCGCATGCGGCCCCCAAAACCATTTTTGTGCGGCTCTCAAGACTTTCATTAAAAGTCTATTTACTTATACAAGTGGGTTTTCCAATTAAAATAGAAATAATCGGGGAATAATGGGTCAGTTGGTTAGGAGGAATATTTTATAGGATGTTCAGCAGCTTATAGGACAGTGGGTGACCTGGTTGCCGAGTTGAGTGGTGGGTAGCGGTCTCTTTAAAGGTGTCTCAAGTGCTCAACACAATGACCAACGCAGGTTTGCCGACAGATCGGATAAGGAGGTCACACGCTTGGGTGTTCGTGGTACAGCGGTAATATGCGTATCTCCCAAACCATGTCCCGTGTTCAAGCCCTAGCCAAGGACAAACTTCCTTGTATTCCGATTTTCTCCTGTACTAACACTGGACAATAAAGGTCAGAACAAAGTAACAAAGAACAGACTAACCGACCAAACGGCAAGTAAGCTGATGAGACGTAACATGGTCACTAAGAAAAAGTGGTTAACAAACATCCACGTCAGTGCACCAAATTTTGTTCATATTTAACCATCCAATTAACTCATTTGATATATATGAAGGAAAAATCAAGTGCTGCCCTCTTAAGTATGATGATTAGGGGTCACTTCTATAAACCCAGAAAAATGCATCATAAACTTCTTTACCTTTTTATCCTTCCAATTACCTCATTCATAAATACAACATAAATATTATAATTTTCTTAGCTCCCATGAACCACTTTGTATTAGCACTGATAAATATCCAATTCACAAGACTCATTTGGCAGAGGGAGTGTGGTACCTAAGAAAACATGTGCTTGTGTTTAATCTCGCTACCACACCCGTAACCACTTAACTCTCCTCTATACCTCTAAGTCAAAGCCTCCATGTTCCTCTGCTCTAATCGGATTATGAATTTTCTTATATACGCGCTAAGTCTACAGCCTAGCACAATGCATTATCCATCTATTATTCTTCATGGTATTCTATCTACCCTTTTATTTTATACAAGTAGATAAAAAAAACCAGTCGACCTCTAGGTACCTGCTGTTACCTCACACACACACATTGTCTTCCACTTATCAATCATTTCCTTTAACTAATCGTCTTGGTTTCCTAACTGAACCTCAACTTTCACAATACCATCTCCTTCCCTTTCTCTAATCCGTTCTGTGTGTGTATCTCGTATCTTTCCCTATTGCTTTATTTTCGCCCTTCTCTATCAAATCATTGAAATTCTGTGTTAGTCTCTCTCTCTCTCTCTCTCTCTCTCTCTCTCTCTCTCTCTCTCTCTCTCTCTCTCTATTCGATGTTGTTTCTTTCATCATTAAGATACCAGGAGCTGAGTACCCTAACGAGATGAACAGTACTAATTAACACCCATGAGTAACTATTGTAATTATTATTATTATTCTTATTTTATTATTATTGTTATTATCATTATCATTATTATTATTATTATTTTTATTATTATTATTATTATTATTATTATTATTATTATTATTATTATTATTATTATTATTATTATTATTATTATTATTATTATTATTATTATTACTATTATTATCGCACACTTAATACTCATGTACACACAATTCTCACGTACACTTGACTTAATACTCACGTAAAGTTAAGGACGGTGCTCATAAGGTGGAAACTCTCGCCCATGAAGCCGCCGATGGTGATGCCTCCTTTACCATCCGGTACGTTGTCGGCGAACGGCTGCCACTGAAAAGACCATTTGCACGTGAATTGATCATAAATTTTGTTTCGATAGCATAGATCTGCGGCTGAACTAAATCAACACAGCTAGGGTAGCTACTTATGTATTAGGATATTTAATTTTAAGGTATTAAAATGGCGGCGAAGGTGTGGCTATTGGGGGAGGCTGGAGGCCACGTTTAAAAAAAAAGTAGTTGTAGTAGTAGTAATAGTAGTAGAGAAACAAACATAAGGACTCACACTCAATGTAAGGCAGCGGATGTGTAGGCCAGTCAGGTCCATACGGCGGGAGGCGATGTTGGCATTTGGGAACGACTGTGTCTCTTGCTCCTCCTCCTCCTTCTCCTCCTCCTTCTCCCTTCTTGTACCCTTCTCTTGGCTCTCATTATATCCTGACGAGACATTCATCGCTGCAGGACAAGTCTCTGCATCCTGAGCGAGGTTTGGAGGCAGAGTCCAGAATCCTACCTTGGAGATGCGGTGAGTGAGGTTCCGAGCTGCCTGGTACACCTCCCAAAGGGCTACCTGACGAAGGCTCCAGGATCTATCCCAGAGGGCCAGTGTGACCTGAAGAAGGGAAGATGATGAGTTATTTGTTGTATGAGAGGGAGGAAGGACTTGGTGGGCAGTGTATTGGGGAGACAGAAAGTGGGGAGTGTATCAGAGGAAAGTTTATACAGTGCAGTAAAAACCCTCTCTTTAACGAACCCCCTATTTAGCGGAAGTAAGATGGCTTTATATACGCTGTACAGTAATGTAATGAGCAATCTGTAAACTGTATGTACTGCAAGACAACCTATATATTACCTTAAGGGAGATACGTTGTTTAAGACTACAAAGTAAAGGAAGCTTAAATTTAGTTACGACTTTCTGTCTCTGGGCTGACTAGCTTACTGACTAACACACACACACACACACACACACACACACCGATCACAATGCTCTCACTTCATCCCCACACGCACAAGACCAAGGCTATACAAAATATTTATAAATTGCAAACCCAAAACTACTATTTCATATTAGAAGTACACAGTGAGTAAAGTTTTGCTTAAAATATGACACCTGAACAAAGACGCAAAATATTCAGTTGACTAAAATTTGTTTGATAACTGATGAGTACACAGTGAGTATTCAGGTTTTGAGTGTTTGTAAACATGGTGTGTGTGTGTGTGTGTGTGTGTGTGTGTGTGTGTGTGTGTGTGTGTGTGTGTGTGTGTGTGTGTGTGTGTGTGTGTGTGTGTGTGTGTGTGTGTGTGTGTGTGTGTGTTCTTTTTCTGACATGATATGTAAACACTCTCTCTCTCTCTCTCTCTCTCTCTCTCTTACCATATTGTCCAGAGGGAAGTAGTGGCCTTCTCTGATCAATAGGTCTGAGGAGATACCTATGATGACCCAGGGACTGACTCTCGCCTCCTCCCCCACACTCCACTGCCAATGAGAGAAGAAACGAGTTAGGTCAGGAAAATAATTTCTTGTATTTATAATTACGTTGAATAAATAAATGACCACACCTGATGTTAGATTAATCTTTAAAACTCTTATATTTAAGACTTTATATTATATACAGTTAGGTTAGATTACTTACCAACGTTAAACTGCGGCAATAAATGAATTAATAATATGTAATTGTTTGTGTGAGGTGGAACTATAAATATTCTGGTAATAGTCAAATAAATAGCCAACAAAAGGAATTATTACAACATAAATGCTCGACTTGGCGGAGTTGCTGGGCTTTTAGTTTTTGTCTTTTTTAATTGTACTACGTGGATGTGTGACCCTGAAGTGTGGGGTTATGACTGATGTGACCCACCGTGACCTCACAACACGCGCCTCTCACACATACTCTGACCTACTCTTGCCCTCTGTTGCCACCCAGTCACTCCTCTCTTCTGGTTTGACACAAGCTGGTAGTCCCCCTGTGAGCCCCCCCTGCTCACGGCCTACTCCACCGCCGGCGGCCTTCACTACTGGTGTAGTGCCTACCGGGCCTGCCTTGGTGTGTCCTGCTGCCCCTGAGCGAAGTCCTGCCTCATCTTCACGACACGTGGTGCCTCAACCTGTCCTCCACCCACCGCAAGCCGCACCGGTGGGAGCACAAGGCCTGACAGTGTCAGAGTAGAGACGGGGAGGAGGTCCAGTAGTAGTAGAGTTAGGAGATGGCCGGGACTGGTGTGTTGCAGCCAGGTGAGGCCAGGCAGGGGCAGGCTCTCACACCCTCGCTCACTACATCCTCACTTGCCCTATGATCTCCTCCTACAGGTACCCAGCCGTTACCAACACCTCTTCCCTCCCTGACCAGATATCCCTCCTCCTAGTGACAGGCGTAGCACTTGACATTATTAGGGACCTGCCACACTTTACCATAAACAGATAAATTGTACCGGGAATCCCCCCCCCCCACACGCTCATCGTTCTGTCACTTTACGTAACCTGCTGACAAGACCCATGACTCCTTCAGGCTTTTACGCCCTTAATGCATGAGTCATAAAGGCAAGCATGAACTCCGCATGATTCTCTGATGGGCGCTGTAAACTCACCTTGCACAGGATGGAAGGGGGTGCCCAGCAAACTAGCCTGAATTGTACCTGGAATTCCCCCCCCCCCCTACACACACACACACACTTCAAACCTCCTGTCACTATATGTAATTTGCTGACGAAGCCCATGGCCCCTCAGACACTTGCTTCCTCAATGCATGAGTCACGAAGGCAAACATGAACTCAGCATACTTCCCTGTTGGGCGATGTAAACACTTGCACAGGAGTGCCCAATAAACTAGCCTCCCTGCGGGGATAATATGAATCTGAAACCACACACCAACAGCCTCGCCGTTCTGCCTTCCTCCTCCTCAACGTGACAATGAAGTCTCGGTTCACCTGAAGATTAGACATCCCACCTTATTTCATCTGAAGAATAACCACCCAAACGCCTTCAAAATGAATAACTAGATGAATAAACTCCCAGAGAATACGACGGAAATATTCTGGCGTGTTATATTAAGACAACATTCAGTGTAATACCTACAACAGTATTACCATATAATAGGGATGATCATCGGTTGAGATTTAAAAAGCAACTGACGTTTTTGCCAATAGGTCTTTTATTTCTACAACTTAATGAAAATTAGTTCGTATTTTGATAAATTTTTCTATATTTCATTTAAGACGTCGTTTATCATCTTAATATAACCATATCACACCTGAAGTATTTTTAATGTAAGGTTAGGTTATGTTGGGTCTGGTTAGGTTAGGTTTTCTATTAAGCTATTCATTTATGTGTATTATGATGGTCTCCATGATCGTCTATGGCCAGTCAAGTTTCCAGAAAAATAAATATATAAGAGTTATCGCTGTCAGACGAATATCCCTATTTAGCGTAACGTGTGTGTGTGTGACCGTCCCTGTAGAGCGAGTGGGCGGGCCGAAGACTAGTTAGCAGCTGTTCGTGTCATACGTTGATCAAAAAAATAGATAAATAAATAAGGAGCCTCGCGCCACTCGCCCTCACCTCTAAGAGTCACATAAAGAGAGTCCCCGTTTTTTATCTTTACTGTGTGACTCTACAGCTGACACGCGCGAGGTCGTCCGGCGGCTGAGTCACGAGGATGATTCACACACTCGTAGCCGCTGTAAAGCTTAATTTACAGCTGTCGACCATGTTCACCTTGTTGGACCTGTGACACCCCAGCTGGCGAGGCGGGGCGAGGTGACCAACACCCTCAGAAGACTCAATATAGATCATAAAACCAAATCTAGGAAATATTTACTATACATCTCATCTCGCCTCGAATACGCCTGTCTGTCCGTCTATACGTCCCGAGTGACACTGGGGTTACACACTTTGTTATATCATTTATCTAAACCATCTCCTCCTACACTTTCCCACGGCAGTTTCAAATTTGTCAAAAATAAAAAATAAATATTATTGAAGGACAAGAGATGCGGGTGTTGTGATGTGGGTCATGTTGGTACATCGTTCAGCCGTGTTTGGAACATCTCGACCACATACCTGGTACAAGGACATCCGGTACCTGAACACAAGCTGCAGAATATGTTATAGTGATGATATTAGATACTGTGTAGTGTGCGTATGTGTGTCAGTGAGTGAGCGTAAAAGATTATGTGTCAGAGTGCGTGTAAAAGATGTGTGTTAGCATGTGTAGAAGATGTGTGTGTGTGTGTGTGTGTGTGCAAAAGATGTGTCAGTGAGTGTGTGTGTAAAAGATATGTGTGGCAGTGTGTAAACTATCGTGTAAGTGCCTCTAAGTTAGACAGTTTACACCTGTGAAATATGAACAAAGTAACGTCGGACAAGAGAGGCGAAGATGACCTATAATTACAGGTACTTAATGTTATTGTTGTGCTGTAACTGCCTGGTGTGTGAGAGAGAGGGGGTGGGAGGGGATACTGAGGTAATATGCGGGAAAGGGAGAGAATGTGAGAAGGAGAGAGACTGAAATAATATGTGAGTGTATTACTATTGATTACATCGGTGTACTTGTAGCAACATTATAGCTGAATATTTAAATGAATTATTTTCCTTTCAATTTAGTAAACACTTGATGGACTTCCGCCTTGTTTTAACTGCCAGCGTTGCCACATAAATTCTAGGACATGGTTAATAATATACAAGTTTTCCTTCGTCATGAAGTAATTCTCTCTCTCTCTCTCTCTCTCTCTCTCTCACACACACACACCACATACGTTAAAGGAGCGTCGTAGAGCTCGGGTACTGAGGACGCTGGTGATGAAGATGGGTTTCCTGTAGAGCTGGAAATAGGGCGGCTTGTTATAGGCGCCAGGGACCGAGTAGGACACCCTCGACCCTGGAGGTGACCTGGTGGACGCTGCGATGGTCTGCAGTCCCTCCGGGTGGGTGTTCAGGTCGAGAAAGTTGATGGTCACGGCCTGTCTCCTGAGTATTAGTTGGCGTCCAGCCCTCATCAGCTCGAGGTCGTCTGTCGGTGGAGAGGGAGAGGTGGTGAGGGCTTTGGGGGGACAGACAGACAGGCAGACAGATATAAAGAGAGAGAGAGAGAAAGAAAATGTGTGTGTGTGTGTGTGTGTGTGTGTGTGTGTGTGTGTGTATCCGTAATGGCTATAAAGTGTGTATCTTCTCAGCTGTTGCCCTAAAGTGACAACTCCTCCACTACAGCCAAATGTATTACGTCGTACTGGCAGCAACAAACACCCAACACTCTCACAGTGTACCAGAGTGAAACATTTTAACTAAGATCATTTCAGACTTCGTTGTGTTGTAAGGTTATTCCAATTTTGTTTATGGTTGTTATATGACCTCAAGCTATGGTAGATCGAGATAACACCTTAACACTATGCTATTTTGATATCAAATCCAGCATTGCTGTATCAAAAGATATTTTCAGACTTTGCTTGTGTCGTGATATCACCTCAACATTACCTGTGTTATAACCTATTGATACAAGGTAAAAAAATAATACCTGACACATTTCAGTTCAAGAATCAATACGCCCTCGGTACTACATCATTTATTAAAGCGAGCTAATATTTCGGGACGTCATTCAACAGCTCAGAGTGTGTGTGTGTGTGCGTGTGCTTGTGTGTGTTCTGCTTCTCTATATATATCCGCCGGTCCCGTATCGGCCTCTTTAGTCACCTCAGAACTCACCAACCTAGGTGACATCCTTAATAACTCATATCATTGTATCATAGCTGGATGATCGTTATACTCGATTCCGAGTGACAGCAAAGTAGTAGTAGTAGTAGTAGTAGTAGTAGTAGTAGTAGTGTGTGTGTGTGTGTGTGTGTGTGTGTGTGTGTAGTTGGGATATTAGCAGGAACGAGTCAGTGAGCAATTATATCAACGCACACTAACTTCATGCTCCGTTCGTGCTATAATCAGAATTAATTCAATAATGTTCTTCCTAAAGTAACAAAGCCACGGTAACCACGACCTACATACCGCTACTTAAGTAAATTCAAAGTCTTTTTATTCCCTTGGTTAGAGTAGGTTATACTTACACTAGTTTTAGTGTGTATATGTGAATATTCATAAAGAACAGAGATGATCATTAAAGGCACGAAAGCAGATTTCTTCTACATGTCGTTTTCAAGTGCGTATATTTATTTAATTTTATACTTGAGTAGAGTTTTATGTCGTATTCAAGTGTTTGTAGAAGTTGTCATCAGCTTCACCCATGTGTGTGTGTGTGTGTGTGTGTGTGTGTGTGTGTGTGTGTGTGTCATGTTACCACGATGGTGTCAACAAAACCATCTTGGGGCGGCTCGACCTTCAAACTTGGTTGTCAAGGTCACTACCTCTCACAGACTTGCATGTGCTGCCTTGAGGCCAAAGGGTCAAAGGGCGAGGTCAGAACTTAAAAAATAAAATCACGGTTGTTTTTTTATACTTATAGAATAGGTTTATTTATTTATTTATTTTTGTATAACTGTCGTGGGTAAGTTATAGACAGGGAGGGTGTGGTGCGTGCCTGAGGTGACAGGGAGGGTGTGGTGCGTGCCTGAGGTGACAGGGAGGGTGTGGTGCGTGCCTGAGGTGTGTGGTGCGTGCCTGAGGTGTGTGGCCCTAGTGTTTATATCTGCTGAATTAATGTAAACACCCTCACCTGTTCTCCCACCTCCCTCCCTTTCTCCCACCTGTCCTCGCAATCATCCTTCTTTTCCTCGCTTATTTTTCTCTCTCTTCCCCCCTCCCTTCACCCCCACTTCTCCTCTTCCGTCTTTCATTATCCGGTGTGTCTCATGTTTATTTTGTTACAATATCTGTCAACACAATTTTTGACATTTTTCCGGCTGTCACATTATTCGAGTTTGTTTATACAGTAAATGTTTTCTTGTATTTCTGTCATCGTATTTTATTCTTCTATTTATTTACATTATATTCCGCTTCTTATAGTTTATCTCATTTTTATTTTATACTTTTAATACAGAATTATTTACATATCTATTTATTAATGACTTGAATAATGTTGGTGTCATTCTTCGGTGTGCTGGCCTGCCTCTCTCTCTCTCTCTCTCTCTCTCTCACCAAACATATTCACCTAACATAAAAAAGAAACCCTGAGGATAATAAATAATAATAATCTTGCAAGACAACTCCCAGCACTGTGTAAACCCTGAGGTACAAATCATCCCTTGCTTGGTTCTTTGTATTTTTCAATAGCCGCTCTTCACATACTCGATACTGCCGTCACTACCAACTGCCATCATCGACCTACTGTATACCAGAATACACGAGAAGACATATACTTTCTCTGTCTCCACCTCTCCCTCCTACAATTTGTTTAAACCTGTTACGACCACAATGTATAAGTCCAAGTCAGAGAATATTTTACCTTTTTATTATACAATTTCTAATGCAGATTCAAGTCGGTTTGTATCGTGTACCTTCAACAGTCCGGTAAGCGGCGGATTGCGTGCCGAGTATAGTATAGTATTTACAACTAAATTATTGTGTTATGGATTGAGACCCAAGTGATAAATTTCGCACTTTTTTTAAGTTAATATATAATATTTGTCAGACACTTGGCAACTGACATAGATTGTGTAGATAATTTTACATGGATGTGATGTCGTTCTTCTCTTGCCACCTCTCTCAACTCTGTATACCGTCCTCTTATATATAATGATGTATCTTAAGATCTATCATTCTATTGGTGACGTACAATATATATCAGTCTATCGGTGACGTACAATATTTATATATCATTCTATCGGTGACGTACAATATAGAGTATAATAATCTATCGTTTATGTACAATATTTATTAGTCTTTCGATGATGTAGAATTAGTCGTCAGTCTCAACAATAGTCTCATAATGAAGTGTGTTTACTAGTATTAATATTATAAGGTCAATGCACCGTCGACGAACACAGGTTACAAATAGCAGAAAGCAGCAGTTACGTCTCCTCTCTGGCGTGTGAGGTGGACTGCTTCACGGCTCAGTACTTTGCTTCGTTCGTGTGTTGTGGTTTTACATGTGTGTGGGAGATGTTTTGCCCTAACATGTGTAGCAGGTGTTTGTGGGCTAACATGTGTGGTGGGTGTTGTGCTATGTGGACCTCAAAGGCAGATGGTGAGGATAATTATTTACCGATACAGAAATGAATAAAAATAATAAAATCTAATAGAAAAATATGATAGCTTAGCAAGACGTCGCAATATTGTTCCTTAGGTATTATAAAAAAATAAAACTTTATACACATTAGATCTACGTATTGTGGTTCCTTATTAAAATCTCATGGCATATTCAGGTAACTTATGCCAGGAAACTTGTCAAGGTTGAGTTACGGTTATGAATAAGTAACAACAAAAATGTATAGATAAAGATAGATGGATAAAATAGGGTGCTTAAGGGAGAATTGCTGGCCAAGTTTATGATACATGATTACACCTCAGGCTTGATGGATCTTAAATTATAGATAAGACTATGCGGGAATAAACACTGACACTTTGTACTGGTGGTTGTTCTGTGTTTGGATCTTGTCAGCCGCGGGGTTTGTGGAGTCTCTCACAAGCTAAGATTAGTCGAGTATTAACCCTGCCTGCCTGCATCCCTGCCTGCCAACTCCCCCTGCCTGCTTGCATCCCTTCCTGCCTGCCTATCCCCCCTGCCTTCCTCCTTGTCTGCCTGCTTGACCCCTTCCCTGCCTACCTGCGACGGTCATCCTTACGAAACATAGAATGGAAAATATTGTCTATCTTAATTCTGTCCCATAACTGGTACTAAGTGAATGGCGTCTGTGAGTTAAGGCTGGGTCTCAGTGTACTCGTAGTTTGGAATATTATCTGTTTATGTTAATTATACCCAGATATATATACTCTAACGTCTTCACCTACGAGGACAATATTTGGATCACCTGAAGGTTAACCACCCAAGCTTAATTAACCCTAAGAGTAACTATAATAATGCTAACCTAACCTAACCTAACCTCCTCGTGTAGCATTAATGTGAAATAAAGTGAGAGGTAAATCAGTAAGTGATCTAATAATCACAGTTCACACCTGGTAGAATTCACGTACAGTACAGTAGTTACTCCGAAAACATTGATTGCTGAGTATGGTTTGCCTTCACGATATCGAGGCTTGTGGATCTTTAATTCATCAGCGAACTGTCTTACTGACAAAGGGAATACTGTATGTGTGAGTTCCAGGGGACTTGTCACTGTTTTGAATGTGTGATAAGTCTCGTGAAAATTGTGGCGCGACTCGATAATCAACTTTCTATATATACTGTAAGTTTATATTTATTCTGGACCACACCCGTACTCGGAATTGGGCCAAACTTAACCTAGCCTAACCCAACCATACTCAAGCTAAACCAATCTCAAGCTAACCTAACTTAACCTAACCAAACCATATACAACTTCAACATATCTTGATATAACCTCGCCTAACCTTACCTAACCTAACTTGACCCAACCTAGCTTGACCCAACCTAACTTAACCTAAGTTAAGTTTACCTAATTTAGACCAATTTAACTTAACCTAACTCAACCTTAACCCAATTTAATCTGTCCTAAATCAACCTTAATCTAAGCTAATCCTACTTTATCCTCTCTTAACTCAATCTTAATTTAACCTAACCCCCAAATAACACATTTTAACCTAACATAACGTAACCGAAACAAACTAGTAATTTTAGTATGAAACACAATCCTATTTCAGTCCTAGTTTTCAAAATAGCCTCCCCCCCCTGCCCCCGCCCTGCCCCCCAAAAAAAAAAAATAAAATAAAACTGCCAAAGATCATTCACTATTTTTTTCATATATTAAAAAAATGCAAAAAGTCTATTAAATCTTTTTATTTTATGTTCATCTATTAAAAAAAGCAAAACCGTAATTCACATAACTATAAATCACAAACAAGAAATATGTACAGCGTATAGGATTGAGATCAAGCGGGAGAAAAATCTCTCTCTCTCTCTCTCTCTCTCTCTGTCAGCCAAATGGTCAATAAAACACAATCGCATGTCACAGTGGGATTAATAAATACTGTATATATATTTTTTAACTATGAGGCTTGTGTCCACGGTAACGTTTCGAGGTTTTTACTCACGCTGAAGACGAATTTCCGCTGTTTTTATTTCATTTCTTTCTTTTCTTCTGTTCGTTAACGTTTGTATCTATTTACCTATTTATATATTGTTTTATTTGTCGTATTTACTAATGATAATGTTGTGAGAATTTTAAGTATAGTTTCTCGTATGAAAAAAAAAGAAAGAAATACTGAAGGTGAAAATAAATCTCCAATGTTGAAAATTAACGAGACACGACACGAAGCCTCACAGTACCCGCTGGAGTTCAGATTGAGTACGTTTTTGTGTTGTTATTTAGATTAATGGCTACATCATGGTGGAGGTTTGTTATTTGTCTTCTTCACTACCACTACCACCACCATCACCAGGTACAGTATCATCCGCAGTAAGAACTAGTATCACCGGTGTTCAATTCGTCTCTTTACACATATTTTCTATTTGTATTTTTTCCTGTTAAAGTTGTTAATATTTGAGTAGTTTCTCCAGAATTTCGTCCTAATAACTAAATATTCCATCATTTATCGTCTCGTACCACTAGATTAAAAAATAATTTATCTTTTCAATTTTCTTTTTCTTTAATTTACTCTTGACATGTCTTGGTAAATTCCGTGTTCTCATGGCAAACTAAATCATAACATTACAGAAGGCAGGAGACTGATGGGGGGCAATGAGTGTCGGAGAGGGTACTACAGATTGGTATTATTTGGAGGAACAGAAGATACAAGAAGTGGAGGCGTGAATATTGATGGTACAGAGGAACTAATTAGAAGGTGAGGGATGCAAATACAGTACTGAAGTTGGTCAGGGGACATTGAAAATTAAAGTGGTGGAAGATTCAACGAAATTTTTGAGATACTGAGATGGTCGAGTCAAGATTGGAGGGGAGGGGGTGTATATGTAAACTTTAGAATTGTTGAGGAGGCTTAGGTCGCCGCCCCTGTTGTAGGCTGGTGACGATCATTGGGTAAAACTGTATTGCATCGTGCTTAAGACAATTTTAAAACAAACTTGATTACGGATCTGTGTAATGACCGACTAAAGTTGTCACTACAATTTCTAAAAACGATCGATGTCTATGTGTCTATGGTACAGTTGTGTCTTGTTAAAGGTACTTCATCATCTATTCATAATGCACTTACGCACTTTGACACAGTACTAACATTAATACAAGTGACAAGTATATAATGAACCAAGTTGAGTGTAAGATATTGCTACTAGGGAGTTTAATCTCATAATTTTTAACTATTGGTGGAATAGTGTTACGCGTTTAAAGACCTTAGTTGTTGAAGTGCAGTAACAACATTATAACAACAAGGTATGGCAGTTTCTCTTTGTAATAGCTTTATGTATATATTATGAGAGAATATTATCCAAATTAGAGGAGTAAAATATCATTGAGTGATATATGTTGACTTGGCAGCCATTTATTCGAGGTGTTCTCTCAACCACAGCGATTATATATTAATACGAAATGTGACAATAGTTTTAGTAAACATGACACGCCCTCTGTGACAACCAATCCTTCTGCAGAAATCAATGAAGAATTTTAAAGAAATAACAACACACCATAACACGAGTCAATACTCCTTCAATCAGTTACGGGGAAACACACACACACACACACACACACACACACACACGACCTCTCCGTCAGAACTAAAGCACAGTCTACCGCGGGGCTCTACTTTTGTACTGTACTTATCAGTTTATTTATCTTATGACGACGACGAATTTAGTATCTATTTATCTACCCCCACCCCACCCCCACCCCACCCCACCCCCTCCCCTCCCCTCTCCCAGGATCCTTGACTTGTTCTTGATGAAACTTCGGATGAAAACTTTCTTGGCTATGATCTATATATGAAATGGAATCACCTGAAGCTTAACTACCTTAACGTTATATACAGGTTAGGTTAGGTTAGGGTGGTTAATCTTCAGTTAAATTATTATGATAACTACATACACATAACAAGACACAGGCGTTTGTTGTTATCCATTAATGACTCCGTACGCCTTCACTCCCTCATGACTTACCTCTACCTTGGAAGACCAGGTGGACCTCGGAGTAAGTGTAGTGGTCGATATAGTCGAGGAGGAAGTGTAGGAGGCCAGGGTAGCACTCGACCTTGTGGTCTACACCTTGTACGCCCATCCTCGCCGCCCACACCAGCACGTATACGCCCATCCACATCATACTCGGCTTGTCCTCTTCTCAGTCTTCACAGTTCTTTCTTTTTCTCACACTTTATCTATTTCCTCTTTTAATATTTCTTTCTTTATTTCATCAGTTTCTTTTCCGTTTCAATATTTTTTCCTTTTCGTATTTTTTCTCATTTCACTATTCATTTTTATTTTATATAATATTCTGTTTATTAAAGTTTCGGTATTTTGTTATGTTGACTTTTATCTACAAAGTTTTTATCTGCCTGAGTATTTTGTTTCTTTCTTTACTTTTATTATTTTAAGTTCTTAGCCTCAAAAGTTTCGTTCTTTCATTTATTAAACATTATGTCTTTACAAACTTTTCATGATAATTTTTTTTAATTCTCTTACTGTAAATATTTTGTTCCTTGTCTTGCTCTAGCTCTTCCTCGCCTGTATAAAACACATCACAAAACTAATATTGAATTTTTTTCTTCAATGAATCATCATAAAGATACACACACATGATATCGCCTCACAATGTCGTAGGCGTATAAGGACGAGCCTGTCGGGGCGCGCCCATGAGTGAGCTGCGAGGAATAATAACATATAGACCTCCCCCCCTCCCCTCACCCCCCGCAGGATATATCACCAAACTTCCACCACGAAAACAGTGCACAGAGTGGTGAAAAATTCAAATTGAAATTAAATAAATATGGTGTTGAGACAGTGAAGTGGTCAGTAGAAACACTTTACTTATATCAAAGTCAGTGCTTACAATGTTTACTTTTCCCACGACGCCGCTAGAGGAAAAGATACCATGACAACCATTTTTTTTTTAGTTTAACAACTTTATTGACAAGATTGGGTTATAACTTTTCCTAATCTGAGTAATTCAATCAGGTGTTGACACTGAGGGCGCTGCCGCTAAACAATGTAACACAGGACAGAGGGACGGTGCATACATAAGAGGAGATACTAGAGTGGGTCATGTGATGAGTGACGTTTTGAGAGTTAGCTTCAGGGATTGGTGGTGTGTATCCTTGAATCCAGGTCTTTAGCAGAATACCTTGAGTGACGCTCACAACACCACCAGAGGGAAGTACTTCAACCACGTGTTATCCTCTGCAACATTTTTGTCCATTGTATAATTTCACCCTTTGGCACCTATACATTTCAATAAACCGTTAATTATTATTATTATTATTATTATTACACACACACACACACAAGGCAGAATTGGTCTAATGGTACATATTTCACGTGTTCCGAGAAGAAACACACTGGCTCGTCTTCCTCCAGTCGTGCTGCAGCGTCATAAGGCTGTCTGCCCTCTTGTTCCTACCCTTGTATTGCTACGTAATAGTTCCCGCTCAGGTTCTTTATCCTCGTGATATTACTCTACAGTCTTCACGACATATTTCAGGGTTTTAATAACAAAAATATTCCTACGAGCCTTCCATTAGTGCTGGAGGACCTCGGGCAGGGCTCTCGTTCCTCCCCTTTTATCTGTACATGATAACTCCGAGACAGTCACAGGCAGTCACCCGGCGGTAAAACTCCCACACCCCGTTTAGTGTTCTTTTTGTCGCTTCCCATCCCATTAGAGTTTGGTATATCAGCTGACACACTGACTTAAGGCCGCGACGGTCTCTGTTCCTCTCTTCAGGTCACAACACAGGTTACCGCTATAGATATTGTCAGTGAGTGACACAGCACGAACCTTCACTCTGCACACAAACTAATATTTATTCATGTTTCGTCGTCATAAGTTCTCCATGTTTTATTCATCCATTCACACCTACTTCACTTCTTATATTCCCTACACAACCACCCGAAAACTTCATGTGCGTCTATGGTGTTTTCTCCTTCCTTACACTTGTACACCTTATAACAGTTTGTATAACACTGGGGAGGTGTTAAGGGGGTTATTTTGGTAACTAATAATGAAGGTATTCATAATCTCTACATCGCTGTGATCGTCCTTCCCTCCACTGTACATCTATCATTCAATACACACTCTCTCTCTCTCTCTCTCTCTCTCTCTCTCTCTCTCTCTCATTCTATGCTTTATCAAGGATCCAGCGACACTATTTGTCGAAAGCCTTTAAGAGAATTGTTGCTTTGTTGCATAGTCATCGATCATGGTGGGTGAAGGTTCGTCGGGAGGGACATTAATTTATTTCATGAGGCGACGCTTCACATTAATTGTCAGGTGTCGGATGTGTTGGCCGCGTCAGAATACAGACCAGCTATTGAGGCCAGGACGTGACAGTATGCACGTAGCAATTATAAAATGGGTCGAAAGAAATGAAATCTTAAGAGTAAACATCGTGACGTAACTAACCTTGTGCGATTCTCAGGCAGGTTATTGAAGAATGGACAAAGTGGTTAGTCTTCTATAGTGACACGAAGTTATTGAATCATTAGTGAATTATAACAAGTTGTCGATCCTAACACATGTAGATTACAAACGAGTATTCAGAGTACGTGTTTAAAGACTGCAGTTGTTGAAGCACTGAAACACATACAAACAAGAGCGTGAAACGACTTGCACATATCAATAAGTTCAGATGATTATAGAGTGCACGTGGGTGTCACTCTGCCGGTCAGTGGTGGCAACGACTCCATAAGAATCCGAATCGTATTGACGAATATCACTGACTTCTTGCCTCCTTAAAGTCACTGTGAACCTAATGATTAATTCATATCCATAGCTGTTAAGTAATCGACTGTGTCACCTGTGCGAACATACAAACATCGACTCCTGACCGTCATATCATCATATCCTAGATTAGGGTAACTTCAGCTAGGTTAGGTTAGGTTAGGCTTGGCTGTGGTTATGTTTGGACAGATGGTTAGGATTTCTTTTTGCTACAACAGCTTCTCCTATCTGCTGAATGATCTGGTACAGCTTTGCGGTGACCACAGGTTATACAGCACGACCATCACGGGACTGACAGGCGGCAGGTGTGAGTGTGTCAGGGAGGATGTTTGGCTGGTTATCCTGATAACTGATTTGTTTATTCTATGTTTTAGCCGCTGCACCGTTAAAACAGTTTATTTAACCCGAAAAAAAATATACACCAAGTGAACAATAACAGCATTATTGATATAGCCGAGTCTAGTGTCCAGTCTGTCCACATGTTAACAGTTCCCCAGTCAACGGGTCTTCATGTTACGGGACGAACACAACATCATCGCACATCCGCAAAACACTGAAAAGATCCCCTGAACATCTGTATAAATACCTCGATAAATCAATGAAATTCCTTTAAGTTTGTATGTCTCTAAACTCAGCAGAGATCAACGTTTTATTCCATACATCTCGAGCAGTTCATTAACCTCACCACTTGAAGAGAATTACTTAAGTCTACACAAGTACTTTCTTAAACATTTGAAAGAGAATCTGTACCTTGAGATTGGTCGTGTGTTTTAGATCATCATTCTCAGTTAGACAGTATATAACCTCGTGAGCTCAACCTGAATACAAAAATATCTAAATTTATGTTGTTGTTTTTTTAAGTAAATAAGTAGAAAATCTTTATAAGGTGACGTAATGATCTGGATTAGTAGGATTATGACCCTGCCTGTTCTTGCACCTCTCCTGAGTACACGGGGCCGCCTTAACTCAGCAAACACCACCACTATTGTTACCTAATACCCCAACATTTCTCATTAATATAACAAGAAATATTTATCAGGTTACTTCCAGCTCTTCATTCATCAGTCACGCACACACTTAATGCTTCAGCTAATGTAAATCTTGCCGGGTTCATTGGTCAACTTGGCTATAGAGAAAAACATCAATTGCGTTTTACTGTGTTAATAAGGCTATGATGGTCTAGCTTGGCTGTCCTGGTTCATGTTGACCAAGTGAGTACTACTGTTTGTATACCTGAACTGTTGGTGTACAGTGTATGTATACGTTACATTCAAACAAACGAAAATTCTCGATCCGTCTCCAAGCTCCACACAACAGACGTAAGCCATTAACCACCTGTACTAAACACACTAAACTACACCTAAAGTAATGGCCGGTACTTATAACACTTTACTTATATTTTATGGTTAATATACACGTAAATATTGTTCCCTAAAATATTAACCACACACACACACACACGTTAAATTAGGTTATCCCTCACAACTACAAGGCCTGTTTACAATTACACTGCTTCCTTACTCATTTCTCAATATTAAAGGCACAATATAAAATGGCCGAACGTACTCATTTAATCAACCATAAAAATATTATATAGCTATTTGTAGTAATGGCTTCAGCGACGGTTAGGTTAAGTTAGATACATTGCTTGTATACCTGCACAGTCTACATGCGTCGGAGGTGGTGTAGTGAGGCTTAAGGCTAATGCGCCAGACCCTCTTATGATTGACCCAATATATGAATATTCATCCCATATCTTTGGAAGTACCGCGGGTTCCTGCTAGTATGTACTGTAGTAATTTGTCATAAAAACATCCCCAGAAAGTTGGTAAACATGTTTATTATAACTACCACTAATGTGTATTTATCACCTCTTGGGTTCCACCATGATCAGGTAGAGCAGAGTCATACAACCTGAAGTACAGTGACAGTAGGACGTATTAAACATGGTGGTCATCTACACAAATAATAGTTAACATTACTAATCCAGTGACATTGTATAGTCATCCGGAAGTAAGATATGTATTGTTGAAATCGTTTTGATTTGGCAACTCTTAGTTACTCGGTGAGAAGCGAGGTGCATACGGCAGCCTGGAACGTGGAGAATATTTTATAACAACTTGATAAAATTTTACTCGTTACATGGTCCGGCAACGTTGATGACCCACATGCTCTTACGTTTACATATGTTCTCATAGATTAATTGATCTAGTATGGGAGCTGTCCACCTAAGCAGCATATGGGCCTAACCTCTGCCAGGGTTAATCACAGGGAGTTCGGTGCTGTCAATGGGCCGTATTCTTAATCCATAGTGTCAGGAATATGGGGTGGTGTGATGAACGAAATATAGACAAAGATATACTATGTAATGAAACAGTCAGTAGTTGCCTCACAGTTTCTAAAGGTATCGCCAGTTAGGTGTATAATGTGATAAACTCCCATACTACATCAAACAATCTATGAGAA